TTGGAGTGGGCACCTGACTGTTGAGTACCGTGCCTCCTTTTGAGCTAATGTTGGCAATGGTGCAACTCATTTATGGCGGCAACAAGCAAGAGTGATCTTCTAACATTGTACGTGTACTAGTATGAGGAATCAATCTGAGTGGTGCAAGCACTAGTGAAAATGATAACTTTGTCACAAAAAGAGATAAACATGTAATTTGACCAGAGGGGAGAAATATTTTATTTATTATGTATTTTCTTACTGGTCTTCATGATCTGGCTCCGAAATAGTTTAATGGGACGAAAGGTAGTTCTGACATAAAGTAATATTTCACTCAAGTGAGATATACATTTTATGTTTTCAGATAAATACAGTATTTCATCTCTAAATACATAATAAATAAGATTATTTATCAAATCCTCATACTGATTATCTGCCAACTATATTACAAGTATAACTGGCATAGCCAAAGTTGAAAATCTTATGACAGCTGATGAAGGCAGGGACGTATTGCTGGCATTGAGAAAGCTGATGGCTGATGTCTATTTGATTTGATCAGAATGTGTCAACACTTATCTTCCCCCCCTATTCACAAAATGTGCCACACAAAAATATTTGAACCTTTATTTACATGATAATTGTCATTCTGAGAATCAACCAAATGAAGCTCATTGGAGGTTTGTGTTCTACAGTGGGCGATATATACCTGGTAGATACATGCCGTTTTATCCTGACGTAAAAATGTCATCAATTTCCTGTGTTAAAAAGGGATGAAAGTAAGAAATTACAACTCGTGCACTTTAACCTTGGAGCCATCAATTGTTGCATGTAGATCAAGATTTTGCCCATTATATGTTCGCTGTAGATTATTGAAATTTCGCAGGACAGCACTGCAGATACAGAGACATAAAGTCCAGGCATAAAGCCACACAACTGTTGTTTTACATTTCTCACATTGCAGATAAACAATCCTGAATAGCACTTAATTTGCTAGATTAATGTTCCTGTGTTGTTGTGAAAGGAATATATATATGATATATATCAGGAAATGACCCCATTCGGCCGACCTCTGCTATCCTGCGTGATTACGAAACGTGAAATTTAGACATGAGAGATGTTATTCAGATGAAATAGTCAGGATGTGGAGGTACTCGTGGACAGCAGAATGTGACCTTAGCTCATGTTACGCCACCCAAACATCTAATCTGCCAAGCAACCCATGTTGCTTACGAATACAGCAACCACTGCCTTGACACTACTGTTGCTAAGCAACCCATGCTGCTATGCAGCTAGCGCTTCCAGACAAGTACTATTGCCAGATAGTGAACGAGGGCAACTATTGTTGCCAAGCTGACCATCCATTTACAGGCCCTCCTATCTATTTGAATAAAAGCGTTGAATGGGTTTAAAATGAAGGCGTATTGGTAGCATTGCTCCGTATTGGAACCGAATGCATTCATTATGTGAACGAAAAGAAAAACTATCGGACACACCCGCTAATGGAAAATCAAATGTAGAGGAATAGCTTTGGCTGTATCTTTCAAAAGACGAACCTTCCTAATTGAAAACACCGTTTCCGGGAAGAAAAAGAAATGGCAGCAATAAGCAACAAGCAAAGTAATTTCTTTTGGTTAGTCTGACTCAAAGTCTTGACAATTAAGCATATAACATCTATGGCATTGAGCAGCCAGTGTTCATATGTATCAGAATTTGTTATCTAAAGTTGGAGACATGTTTTCTTGTATCAGAGTTATCACAAATAAATGGTCAGTAGTCAGGTATGGTTGCCAAACAAGCTGAAGATGTCTGACATCTTGTACATCTGCCCACCAGATACCAGCGATCTTGGCAACTATGTGGTAGCCAAAACACTCACATCAGGATCTGGTTATGGTATTATGTTAATAAAATACATATAAATAATTATTATTGTTGAAGTCCCAATCAGCCACTGATGAATTCCTTACTGGACTGACAGAACTTTGTATATGCCCTTATGTATATATATACTCAACAGTTATAGGGCAAATACTAGATCTAGCTCTAAAACAGTGAATTAAATTATGGGTGAAGTAATTTATCTCGCTCTATGACTGATAAGATTTCCATTCTACTCCCATCAAAATACATCGATAATGTGAACGAAATACATTTTTGCTGAAAATGAATTGTAATAATTACATTCTTATTAAAAACAAGCGTTGATTAACACACTTCCCCGTTTGTCTTCTCCGCTACTGTCAGCCATGTTTCGCGCACTGTGGCGTCAGTAAGTGTTGTTGTAGTTCGGCGGAATGTAATGGACATGACCAAATGTATTCGGTTGCCGATGCTGTCGGTTCCAATAGCGTCTGTGTGATGATTCCAATAAGAACCGCTGCTACAACGATAGTTACAACGATAGTTATACTGCATTTGAAAGTATTCCTTCGCACTTGGTAGCTGTACACATGATATTGCTTACATTAATTCTGATAGTGCTTCTTTTCATTCAAATAGAAAGGAGGGCCTGAGTTAAGGCAGACACTAAGCCACCTGCTGTAAAACAAAATGGATAAAATTGGTTCCTGTTGTAAAGCAAGCAACCCTATCCTATACAATTTATAACTTCGGATGGATCCCAAGACGTCAAATGTAACTTGTAATGCAGTCCACCAGCACCCTGTCGGTCTGCAACATTTTATTTGTGAAGAATATTTTTGCAATCCATGATTTTTGTTTGAGAGGAATATTTTTGCAAAGTGCTTAAGTGCTTTTCTATGAAAGGAAAAGCAAAACTTTTTCATTTTTTGTCTTTGTGAAGATATCATTATATACACACTTACCACTCCAGTAAAGCTTGATTAAATAAAGAAATAAAGGATAACAGGGTGGGTAGGCAGGTGTAATGAAAGATGAAGATGAAAACCTGCGTGGCAGCATGGGATGATGGATAATGCAACAGTGAGCCGATGCTACGTCACAGGACGACATGCTTACTTATAATGTAATACCTAGCCTGGAAATAGACCGGCTGGGATGAAGGTATTAAGCTGTAGTAATGAATAGGAACCAGCAATATGGTGTCAAGATTGATATAAAGACAGTTAGTTCTGAGCACTAAATGCTGATATGTGGTTTCTAAAAGGAGATCATCAACATTTAGACAAAGCCTTAGAGTAGGAGTAAAAAAGTAGAGAATACAAATACTTAAATTCTGACCATTTAATATTGTGCAAGGATTTTTGTTTGAGAGGAATATTTTTGCAATCAGTGCTTCAGTCCTTCACTGCTTTTCTATGAAAGGAGAAGCAAAACTTTTCAATCGGATCCACATCACATTAGTGTTCTGAACAACCATCATGTCCAGTGAACATTATATTTGTGTTGGTAAAACTTGAGAACAAATTATTATTTTCAGAAACAGATGATTTGTTTTTTAAATCACACAGGGGACACGGGCGGCCAAGCCGTCTAAGGCGCCGAGATTCGCTGTGCAGAGTTGCGTCCCTTGGGCACGCCAGAAACCTATGATTGTGGGTTCGAATCCCGGTTCGCCCCGATTATTTTTCTAGGTTTGTCAGCACCATACTCGAGTTCGTGGGTTACACCAAAGTGGTAAACGTCTGAGACCTGCATCACTTAGGGCTTTCCTCCGACATTAAGCTGACACGCCATGATATAACTGGAATACTGTTAAAAGCAGCGTTAAACCCAACTCATTCACTCACTCACTTAAATCACACACATACAAAGAATATGAAATGGTTGTCCCCTAGCATAGCAACACTATGCAACAGATGTATTACTGCCAAGTTTCAATCCAGCTGTGACATATTGAGACTGTCAAGCCTCACCGTTCACGTGATGAGCACTGCTGCCAGTGCCTGATTTCTCTGAGATGAGAGCTCCCTCAAACTGGCAGTGTATGCATATGGATTCTGACACCACATTGTTATGACATCATAAACAATGCATGAGGACCATGTTTAAAAAGTCTCACTAGTACAAGACAACATGTCTCAATTCGAGACACATTCAGTTGTTAGTGTGATGGGAAGTGACAGAATTGCCGACAGAATTGCCGACAGGGACTGCGACTCTTGATGAATGGACAGCTCTTATAGATATTGTGTCACTGAGTGGGTCTGTCAGTAGGGGATGCCATAGCGACTTTAATTACAGAGCAAGGGAACTTGGGAACCACACATGCTAAGGCATTGACATTCAATAATCTGAGGTGGGACTGGGATTTTTGATTGAGACAAAATGTTTTTTCAGTCAGCATTTTTTAATATATACTGAACCAAAAAAGTTAGGGATAGTGAATATTTTGGGGATATTTTGGGGATATTTTTATGAAATTGTGTGCTCAGTTGTCACTACAAGAAAATATTCATGATCCCCAATTATCTTCCACAATGCATTTTGCAGAGGGTGTTACAATATATCATGCCCGAAGCAGATCTTGAAAACCGTAAATATTTCTTCACCAAACTTGGTACATGGGCCTTGTGGTGAACTGGTGCCTTTTGATAGTTTGGGATTTTAAAAAATAATTTATTTTTTTTTAGTTTTACTATAATAGGCTGAAAATGGTGGTAGTGCTTTTACTTGTGCAGATCTTGAAAACTTTACATTTCAATATTTACTTACAAACTTGACACATAGATACTGGTGCCTTTTGATAGTTTGGGATTTTTTAAATAAATATATTTTGAGTTTCCATGACAACAAGTTTCATACATTTATTCACAAGTATATTCCATTGTGGGGGATGTTGATGACTTTGTGCTGTTGTTTATTTTCAAGGAGCCTCACTATTTCATTGGGATCCACAACTTATTATCATGAAATATTTCAGAAAAAGGATTATGTCTTCACACCAATCCTAGGCTGAATATTAAATAGCCATCCATGACCTAAAGTTAAAGACAAAACTTGCCATATAACTTTGTATGTGACCAGCTATATCATTATGAAATGCTAGAAGTGGGTATTCAACAAAATGGAGTACTTTATTACTTTTTTATTTATTGCAGACGAGCAAACAAAATGACACAAATGAACCCTTGGTATTCGGGCAGTTTGACCCCTATAAGAAAGAACTGAATCTTGATGTACCTTTACAGACAGATGACAGGTAAGTCAGTGAGTAATGTGACCGGAAATATCTATGAAAGTATCCCTTTGGTGTATTCTGTATGAAGGAGCTACATGTTGATGTATTCTGTATGAAATAGCTACACTTTGATGTATTCTGTGTGAAAGAGCTACATTTTGTTGTATTCTGTGTGAAAGAGTTACACTTTGATGTATTCTGTGTGAAAGAGCTACACTTTGTTGTATTCTGAATGAAAGAGCTTCACTTTGATGTATTCTGTATGAAATAGCTTCACTTTGATGTATTCTGTATGAAAGAGCTACACTTTGATGTATTCTGTGTGAAAGAGCTTCACGTTGATGTATTCTGTATGAAATAGCTACACTTTGATGTATTCTGTATGAAAGAGCTACACTTTGATGTATTCTGTGTGAAAGAGCTACTCTTTGATGTATTCTGTATGAAAGAGCTACACTTTGATGTATTCTATATGAAAGAGCTACACTTTGATGTATTCTGTATGAAAGAGTTACACTTTGATGTATTCTGTATGAAAGAGCTACACTTTGATGTATTCTGTATGAAAGAGCTTCACTTTGATGTATTCTGTATGAAAGAGGAACACTTCAAATTCTTGTAGGGCAGAACATGCTAGTTTGGCAGAGAAAAGGGTTTATAAATCACGATTTGATGACTGCACTCAGTGTTTGTGTCCAGGTATTGTGTTGATCAGATGTTGCTTTCATGCTTGCTAAGCTGCACTTCCTAATATTGATCTCAAGAACATAGATTAAAAGATGAAAGTATCGGCAATATTCACAAGTTATTTATGTCTTTACTTAATAATATCAGGATCTTTGAAATTCCTTGATGAAAGTCATTTTGAGCGGCTAATTTAATTAGAGAAAAGAGAAGAAATATTTGCCAAATCCACTTTTCATCAAATTTATGGAACTACATTAAAAGCCATATGTCACATCTATCAATGGAGTAGCATCAATGAAATGACAATTACTTGCTTTCATGTTGAAGTGGAACTCTTGTTTCAGAGACTCGGTACAGAGGATTGATATCGTCTTTGTGGAGGAACAGGGGAATGTCACGGAGCTGGTTTCCTACAACATCACACAGGCAAATTATGTCGACAATAATGTTGCTGTGGTGTGGTCAGACATGTCGTCTGAAAATGTTGCCAGATTAGAGGTACAGTATTCAAATTGCATATTTCTATTATTTGTACAGTTCATTGTAAGCACGACCATTTGTTCATTGTATATATTGTTGTTATTTCCTTATAGGTAAGGTCAATCTTTACTACAATAGTTATTGAACTGCTTAAGTTCTGGATTAGATGATATTAGATGGTATGTCGTTTTTCTTTTTTTCATTAATCAGAATCTTCTTTCAATGCAACATAAGAAATCTACTTTTCTTTAAAACTTTGTTTTCAGTTTCTAAGGCATGGTTATATCATCAGGCCTGAAACTTAATATTGTAGTGGTCCTTGCCTTGGCATGTCTGTCAAAGTCAAGATCATAGCACCATTGTGATAAGCAGTTGTATAATTCATTGCTAGTTATACATGTGACCAGAATCCATGCTTGTAAGAGGCGACTGTGCTTGTCGTAAGAGGCGACTAACGGGATCGGGTGGTCAGACTCACTAACATGGTTGATGCATGTCATTGTATCCAAATTCCGTAGATTGATGTTCATGATGGCAATCACTGGATCGTCTGGTATAGATTCGATTATTTACAGATTGTAGTTGTATAGCTGGAATATTGCTGAGGGTGGCATTTAACAACAAACAAACATGAAAATATTGTGATGGGACTGGTTCTATTTTCGCATGTGATGATGATATCTTTGTATATCTTGGGGACAAAGAATTGATTCAATTAACAGAAATCAACTTTATTAACACCAGAACATTTCTGGTAAGGCTTCTCTCCTTGTTACTTGATATTACTAAAAAAACTGTTAAATTGTCCCACTCTTATGTCAAATGTACTCACAAGATCAGCCCTTAGTATCTAAAAATGATATTGACATGGCAATATTGATGGCAAAACTATTGACCAAGGCAAGTGTTGCTCTGTAAATTTTATACTGACAGTAGCAGACTTCTATGAAATGATTTGACTTTTATTAACCCCACTGTATTTTACCCCCGACCTTTTAGGTATTAGTGAGCCACGCTCACTTTTGCCCTTGTTTAAAACTGAGATTGATAAGCTAGGAAGATTCTCGCAAGTAATGGTGAAGTACCTTGATTCATGCTGTATTAGGTCAAATGTAATCAAGTTCAGATAGCCTAGTGGTTAAAGCGTTCACTTATCACGCCGAAGACCCGGGTTCGATTCCCGACATGGGTACAATGTGTGAAGCCCATTTCTGGTGTGCCCCGCCGTGTTATTGCTGGAATATTGCTAAAAGCGGCGTAAAACCATACTCACTCACTCACTCACTCACTCACTCACTCACTCACTCACTCACTCACTCACTCACTCACTCACTCACTCACTCACTCACTCACTCACTCACTCACTCACTCACTCACTCACTCACTCACTCACTCACTGTAAGCTGGTTCCCAGTGTCCATGATTGTTCAAAGGAGGAGGACAGGGTGGGTGTCAAGTGTGACTGGACTATGTGTCATTGTCCCCCGATGGAGCTTTGCTAATGTTATCAACCATTGGGTCGCCTGATCCAGACTTCATTATTTTCAACCTGACTTGATATTGCTGAACTAATGTGTTGTAAGATGTCAGTCATCCACATTAAATGTGATAAATTTTATCATGAGTGAAACTTCCTTATGAGACTGGGCCACTGTGACCTACTTTTGATGTGGGGCCATAATTACCTCACCTGATTTAAAGGCAAGTGAGCTTATTATCCCCCGCCGCGCGAAAGCGCGAAGCGGGGGATATAGTATTCACGACCGTCCGTACGTCCGTCCGTACGTCCGTCCGTCCGTACGTCCGTCTGTCCGTACGTCCGTCCGTACGTCCCACCTGTTTGTTGCCGCGATATCTCAAGAACTAAACACTGGATTGTCTTCATATTTGGAACTATGGTGTATATACAGACTCCGCAGACACCAGTCGGTTTTGGTGACCTTGATCCCATTTTCAAGGTCACAGCAGACAAATCTGCTTTTGGAGTTGGAAAACGGTGTTGCCGCGATATCTCAAGAACTAAACACTGGATTGTCTTCATATTTGGAACTATGGTGTATATACAGACTCCGCAGACACCAGTCGGTTTTGGTGACCTTGATCCCATTTTCAAGGTCACAGCAGACAAATCTGCTTTTAGAGTTGGAAAACGGTGTTGCCGCGATATCTCAAGAACTAAACACTGGATTGTCTTCATATTTGGAACTATGGTGTATATACAGACACCGCAGACACCAGTCGGTTTTGGTGACCTTGACCCCATTTTCAAGGTCACAGCAGGCAAATCTGCTTTTGGAGTTGGAAAACGGTGTTGCCGCGATATCTCAAGAACTAAACACTAGATTGTCTTCATATTTGGAACTATAGTGTATATGCAGACACCAGTCGGTTTTGGTGACCTTGATCCCATTTTCAAGGTCACAGCAGGCAAATCTGCTTTTGGAGTTAGAAAACGGTGTTGCCGCGATATCTCAAGAACTAATCGCTGGATTGTCTTCATATTTGGAACTATAGTGTATATACAGACACCGCATACACCTGTCAGATTTGGTGACCTTGACCCCATTTTCAAGGTCACAGCAGGCAAATCTGTTTTTGGAGTTGGAAAACGGTGTTGCCACAATATCTCAAGAACTAATCGCTGGATTGTCTTCATATTTGGTACTATGGTGTATATGGCGGGGGATATTTCGTCACTCTGTGACAAATACTTGTTTCATTCCTTTTTATCCTGTGTCTGGCGTGCACCATAAATCATAATATCTGCTCTTCAAAAACCATTGCTGAAACTTCACATACTTGTTCCGACCAATGATGACAGCCCAATTTGTTCAAGATGTAGGAATCTAAATTTTAATTCAGCCCCAACTGCAGCCATATTGAAACACCTCTTTATGGCCATTACTCCACTATTTTTGTTTAAAATATGTTTAAGTTTGGTACATGTGTAGTTACTAGTCGAACTCAATATGTATGTTTTCTTGGGGTATTTTGCATTACGGGTATTTTAAATTTTGACCTTTATCTGGCCTTTGGACTTTGACCATACTGTGAGATGAAATCGCTTATGGCCATTTTCTTTCCAACTGTACATGTGTAGTTAGTAGTGGGGATCAACACATGACCTGGGTTGAATTTAAATTTTGACCTTGTTAAAGTGAGTGAGTATTGTTTTACACCACTTTTAGCAATATTCCAGCAATATCACAGCAGCAGACACTAGAAATGGGCTTCACACATTGTACCCATGTGTAGAATCGAACCCGGGCCTTCGGCATGACAAGCGAGCACTTTAACCACTAGGCTACCCCACCGCCCTGACCTTGTTAAAACATGCTCTTTAATTCCCCCAAAATGGACATCTACTTCTGTAATCTTTTGCTCCTCTGAAATTGCCAGATTGAAGAAGCTGAGCTTTGGCATGCATGGCTCTCTTTTTGATGACTTTGTTCAGTTTGTAAGATTCTAGTGTTAGTTTTTAATATTTGTGCAGAATATATTTAAATATCAATGCTCACAGCAATTTTGTTGAATGACTGTCTTTGTGTTTTAACACTGTTGTCTACATATCCAGGTGAGCTACGATGCTGTGGCACTATTTTTGCTTAAATATCATGCACCTATTTATAACGTTCAATTCATCTTTTGAAGTATTGACCTGTACATATTATTTCTCTTTCAGGGTGCTGGTTTAACAGTGGTGGTAACATTCAAACAAGGACAACGGAATGGCACTCTCAAGCTATCTAAAGAGGTGTGTGTAAAGAAAAGATATATATTTTTCCCTTTGTTACATTGAAATGCTTGTTGTATGTTACCCAAGAAATTGTTCTCGCTTTAAAATAGGCAGTAAGCCTGTGATAAATCTGGCCAGAAATCTGTCTGAAACGTTATTCCGCTTACCTTGACATTGTCGATGTGAGCTTTTGTTATACATCTTTGTTCATCTTCCATCCATCAGCACTGAAACTTAATAACTCTTCTCCTAATTTCCTGAACATATCAATCTAATGGTCACATAACATATTCTACATTTCCCTGGTTACAGCAAAGTTAATTTAACTATTGAATGTGCTAAAACATGAAATAAATTTGAATATTAATGTGGAATATGATTAAATAGTCATTATTGTTTTGTCAGCATAAACAAAATATTACAATGTAGGGGTATTGCAAAATGTTCTAAAAACTTGAGAAATAGCAAAACCCCATTGTATTTGCGTTTTCATCCAAAATGAAACATTTTGCACATCCTCACCTCTCAAAGTTTGCTAAAGGTGAGCTTCAGTACCTGTGGTACTCCGGTTTCCACAGCCATCCAGATAGGAAGTTGAATCTCTGGAATAACAGGTCTAATAATACGATCAATAGTATAAGCATCCTGGAGCAATAGGGTGGGCCAGTGGTTTGAGGTGCCATTTTAACATAGATCCTAAGAGCTTGGAGATGAATGTCTTTTATGGGGTGGCAATTTCTAGTCTGTCACACAGACCATGAAACAAATATATCCAATACAGCCCATACAAGTCTGTGATACTTGGTAAGTCTAGTTAACTGTTGTCTGAAAATGAAGAGAGTCTCTAGGCTCCTTTTATATATTCTAATAAGATAATTTAACAACTGGTTTTTTATGTTAATATTTTCATTTATTTGACTGCTGGTTTTAGTCTAAGCTATTTCCTGAGAATTAATTAGGAATATCCTGTAGTGTATAGGTAATCATAATTCTAACCAGTGTACTCCTTCCTAATGAAACCAACAAACCTTCTTGCAAATTGACATGTGTCATGTGATACATTGAAATTTGTAATTACTAACATGCAGAGCTCCAAATAAGCTGCGTATCTGTGTAAAATACACATCAGAAATGCAGAAATACGCAGTAAAATAAAATCCAAGCGTATCAAATATGCAACAAACATTACAGATAGGCTACAAAAATAAAACTTGTGCGTATCATCAAAATGTTGTGAAGTAACCCTGCGTATTCAATAAGCTAATCAGCAACCTATTTGAAATTATAAACGGGCATTCCATCAACATTCCACAATGACAGTTACATCATGATCATTTGCCATCACACTTTCTTGTGGAAGTATTGTTTGATTTTTGAGTCCTATAAAGCTCTCGAACCCACACGACATCAGTTTGCAGGGACTAGATGAATAGTGTTTTTAAATATTTAACTTAAATACCCACATGTGTAAAAACTAGTGGGTAACAGAAATTTGAATACCCAGATAGAATTACTGATACCCAATGATTTTAAAATGCATGAACATGTATACTGTTCCTTTATCAAAGAATACCAGTCGAAATGATTTGACTACAACTTGTCCTTTTGAAATTCAAGAAGAGTTCCCGAATCTCTGGGCTGCAATATGACTTGAAATTGTTGTCTCAATCAATATTTCATTTGGAGAGATGACAACTAGAATATTCAGAATTCACTTCGGTATCATTTTCAATTTTAAAATTAGGACTCCTGTATCAGAACTGAAAACAAAGAACTTTCCCAATTACAACTTGTCAGTTATGCCACAAAAGTGATCAGCAAATAATCCTGATTTTCAGAACTAATATAGCTATTTTAGAAAGTAAGTGGTGATGAATGGTAGCATGTTTCATGATAAATGTTTTTTTCGGCGTAATTGTCAAAAAACAATGTCTTTTACGATTTTACTCTTAATATTGTAGGATTTTCAAATAATTTATGATTTTCTTAGAAGAAAACCATTTCACATTCCAAGCTGAAATATTACTTAAAAGACAAGCAGCTATACAGTTTGTTGTAAAGATCTATGTAAATCTGGAAAGGTTTGCGAAGTGGAAAGTATACCTCCCTTGTCAACTACAACAGCACATACATCTATAGTTTAAAAATCACTGACTGACACTGAGTTACCGTTTCATCAGGCAGCTTTTCAGTGTTTTCATATTTGGTAATGTTAACAGAGTGTTGCAGAACTTTCCAGACACAGTTAAGGCTATTGTTAGCTATTGTTAAATTCATCGTGCAAAACTTTCCAGATTTACATTAAATGTTAACCAAAGAAGTCTGATGAAGGCTGCCTGGATCTAGTGAAGCACCTGCTGGGTGTTAAGTCAGAGTAATGTTGTCTGTCTTCCATTATCACACATACTGCTGGTGCTACCAGTGCAAATGTGATGATATTTTTCACAATATTTGAAGAACCTTTTACCGTTGTTTTGGTACATAATGGTAAATCTGTTGATTTTATTTCTTATAATAACAGTTTTAACAGTAAATGTGCATGATATATAAAGCTATGAATATACTATAGGCAGTGAACTGCTAAAAGATAATGTTAACAATAAAGAATACCAGATATATATTGTCCTTTGGTGTCCTTTTTGTGCACTGAGGTTCTTTTTCTTTACATATGACGTCTTTAGTTTGCGAGTTGTTCATTGGTATTGTTTTGTATCTTGAAATCATTATTCGTTTGTAAATAAATATCATTATTTGTAACACTCATTCTATATTTGTAACGGAAGGGTCGGGTAATCTAGTGGTTAAAGCGTTCGCTCGTCACGGCGAAGACCCAGGTTCGATTCCCGACATGGGTACAATGTGTGAAGCCCATTTCTGGTGTCCCCCTCCGTGATATTGCTGGAATATTGCTAAACCAAACTCACTGACTCACTCACTTTAATTGTAACATTTGGCTATTATTGCGTACTTTTGTCTTTTATTTCAACTTTGTATTTTTTGACCGAATGTCTGCCCACAGAATTCATCATCAAATTGAATTATTGACATTACAGGATAAAACCAAAATATTCACATAATTAAAAGAATGATTTAATATTAGATGTTGATTAGGATTAATTAAATGATAGATGTTGAACATGATTAATTGAGATTAGTAACAAGCTCACCAAAATCAGATCTTTCACCCTGATTTTATAACTCTCTCCTTAAATCTGGTAAACCTTCCACAGAAGATCTGGTAAAGCCTGTGTAAACTGTGGCAACCCAATCAGAATGGTTGCTGACAGATTTTTAAGCCAATAAGATGTCAGCTTCCTTAAATGATCCCACTTTCATTTCTTTACCATTAACATCCAAGATTTAGTCTGAACCAAAGAAAACCTTTTAGATGCCATTCCGCTGCCCATTCAGGTATTGTTTTTTAAGATACAGAAATCAGACGTGCTTCTTGTACTGAGAATTTCGAAGCCTCCATGCTGATTGTCTAAATTGAAAACTCACTTGATGTGACACTTGTTGGAAGTTTTTTTCAGATCATGATGGAGAGTGGTATCAAATCGAAGAAAGAAATCTGATTTTGATGAGGGCGAGACAAATGCATGTAGTTGATGCATCAGTGTATCTTTGAATCAGTCTGCTAGCCTTTGGCACTATGGTACCAAGAACTACACTGGTCATATCCTTGAAAAGAGTGTTTCAATATTTTTTATATTTTTTTCAACCACATAATTTACCTTCAAACTTTATTTCTGTACAGGTGTAAGATGTACCAGGAACACTGTATAGGGGTGGTTGCTGGGTAGGGGTACATACAGGTGTAAGATGTACCAGGAACACTGTATAGGGGTGGATGCTGGGTAGAGGTACAGACAGGTGTAAGATGTACCAGGAACACTGTATAGGGGTGGTTGCTGGGTAGAGTTATTGACAGGTGTAAGATGTACCTGGGACACTGTACAGGGGTGGTTGCTGGGTAGAGTTATTGACAGGTGTAAGATGTATCAGGAACACTGTATAGGGGGTGGTTGCCAGGTAGAGGTACAGACAGGTGTAAGATGTACCAGGAACACTGTATAGGGGTGGTTGCCGGGTAGAGGTACAGACAGGTGTAAGATGTACCAGGAACACTGTATAGGGGGTGGTTGCTGGGTAGGGGTACAGACAGGTGTAAGATGTACCAGGAACACTGTAAAGGGGTGGTGGCTGGGTAGAGGTACAGACAGGTGTAAGATGTACCAGGAACACTGTATAGGGGTGGTTGCCAGGTAGGGGTACAGACAGGTGTAAGATGTACCAGGAACACTGTATAGGGGTGGTTGCCAGGTAGGGGTACAGACAGGTGTAAGATGTACCAGGAACACTGTATAGGGGGTGGTTGCTGGGTAGGGGTACATACAGGTGTAAAATGTACCAGGAACACTGTATAGGGGTGGTTGCCAGGTAGAGGTACAGACAGGTGTAAGATGTACCAGGAACACTGTATAGGTGTGGTTGCCGGGTAGAGGTACAGACAGGTGTAAGATGTACCAGGAACACTGTATAGGGGGTGGTTGCTGGGTAGGGGTACAGACAGGTGCAAGATGTACCAGGAACACTGTATAGGGGGTGGTTGCTGGGTAGGAGTATAGACAGGTGTAAGATGTACCAGGAACACTGTATAGGGGGTGGTTGCTGGGTAGGGGTACAGACAGGTGTAAGATGTACCAGGAACACTGTATAGGGGTGGTTGCTGGGTAGGGGTACAGAGAGGTGTAAGATGTACCAGGAACACTGTATAGGGGGTGGTTGCTGGGTAGGGGTACAGACAGGTGTAAGACGTACCAGGAACACTGTATAGGGGTGGATGCTGGGTAGAGATACAGACAGGTGTAAGATGTACCAGGAACACTGTATAGGGGGTGGTTGCTGGGTAGGGGTACAGACAGGTGTAAGATGTACCTGGAACACTGTATAGGGGGTGGTAGCTGGGTAGGGGTACAGACAGGTGTAAGATGTACCAGGAACACTGTATAGGGATGGTTGCTGGGTAGGGGTACAGACAGGTGTAAGATGTACCTGGAACACTGTATAGGGGGTGGTAGCTGGGTAGGGGTACAGACAGGTGTAAGATGTACCAGGAACACTGTATAGGGATGGTTGCTGGGTAGGGGTACAGACAGGTGTAAGATGTACCTGGAACACTGTATAGGGGGTGGTAGCTGGGTAGGGGTACAGACAGGTGTAAGATGTACCAGGAACACTGTATAGGGGTGGTTGCTGGGTAGAGGTACAGACAGGTGTAAGATGTACCAGGACAACTGTATAGGGGATGGTAGCTGGGTAGAGGTACAGACAGGTGTAAGATGTACCTGGAACACCGTATAGGGGTGTATGCTGGGTAGTGTTATTGACAGGTGTAAGATGTACCAGGAACACTGTACAGGGGTGGTTGCTGGGTAGAGTGATTGACAGATATGTAATGTATCAGGAACACTGTATAGGAGTGGTAGCTGGGTAGAGTGATTGACAGATATGTAATGTATCAGGAACACCATATAAGGCACAGTATTTAAGCCTTCTTTATTGACAAATTGTGAATATTCAAAGGTTACCTCATTACAGGTTTCTCCGCCTTTGCAGTCATGGTTCTCATTAAACGAATCCATTGGGAATGCTGTCAGCATAATGGCTTTATGATCAGCTGAACCCATAAAAACTGAACTAATACACTGTCCTCTAAAAATACTTAATTGAATCAAGCTACTTTGCATGTAACTGATTCCTCAGGTTTCTCGTTTTCCTTTGATTTACAAATAGATTAGTACTGCTGTCCGAATTGTCATTTGTAAAGAACAAATGTGTTTACTGTTTTCTGTACGTTGTAATTATTTCTACTGTGTTGGTTTGCATGTTTAGACACTCCCTGACCCTGAAATCTGTTTAGTTTTCTATAATCTTGGCCTCCAGCAAATATTCAGTCATTTTGTTGACATGTTGTAGCCATATATCTGTAATTAGAATATTCTTTTCTTGTCAAGGTGGGTCATTGCAATTAGTTTAGCCTGATATTCAATCTTCTCTGATTTCAGTACAACAAGTTGAGACACTATAATCTGTTGTTCAGTTCGTACACCACTGAGGGTTGGCTGGCTGGACGCGGGTTTTTGGGTCCCTCCACCAAGTACCCCAATTATGTGGAGCCGGCAGGCCCATGTGTACAGCTGCCTCACAACTATGTGGTAAGTCTCATAGGTCATGCACCCCACAACTGTCTATCAAACCATACAGGCACCACACAACTGTCTATCAAACCATACAGGCACCACACAACTGTCTATCAAACCATACAGACACCAACAGCTGTCTATCAAATCATACAGGAACCTTACAACTGTCTTATCAATTAATACAGGCACCCTACAACTATCTATCAAATCATACAGGCACCCACAGCTGTCTATCAAATCATACAGGCACCCACAGCTGTCTATCACATCATACAGGCACCCCACAACTGTCTATCAAATCATACAGGCACCCACAGCTGTCTATCAAATCATACAGGAACCTCACAACTGTCTTATCAGTTCATACAGGCACCCTACAACTGTCTATCAAATCATACAGGCACCCACAGCTGTCTATCAAATCACACAGGCACCCACAGCTGTCTATCAAATCATACAGGCACAACCCAGCTGTCTACCAAATCATACAGGCACCACACAGCTGTCTATCAAATCATACAGGCACCACACAACTGTCTATCAAATCACACAGGCACCCACAGCTGTCTATCAAATCATACAGGCACCCCACAGCTGTCTATCAAATCATACAGGCACCCCACAGCTGTCTATCAAATCATACAGGCACCACACAACTGTCTATCAAATCATACAGGCACCCCACAGCTGTCTATCAAATCATACAGGCACCACACAGCTGTCTATCAAATCATACAGGCACCCAACAGCTGTCTATCAAATCATACAGGCACCCAACAGCTGTCTATCAAATCATACAGGCACCCCACAGCTGTCTATCAAATCATACAGGCACCCCACAGCTGTCTATCAAATCATACAGGCACCACACAGCTGTCTATCAAATCATACAGGCACCCCACAACTGTCTATCAAATCATACAGGCACCACACAGCTGTCTATCAAATCATACAGGCACCCCACAACTGTCTATCAAATCATACAGGCACAACCCAGCTGTCTATCAAATCATACAGGCACCACACAGCTGTCTATCAAATCATACAGGCACCACACAGCTGTCTATCAAATCATACAGGCACAACCCAGCTGTCTATCAAATCATACAGGCACCACACAGCTGTCTATCAAATCATACAGGCACCACACAGCTGTCTATCAAATCATACAGGCACCCCACAGCTGTCTATCAAATCATACAGGCACCACACAGCTGTCTATCAAATCATACAGGCACCACACAGCTGTCTATCAAATCATACAAGCACCACACAGCTGTCTATCAAATCATACAGGCACCCCACAACTGTCTATCAAATCATACAGGCACCCCACAGCTGTCTATCAAATCATACAGGCACCCAACAGCTGTCTATCAAATCATACAGGCACCCCACAGCTGTCTATCAAATCATACAGGCACCCCACAGCTGTCTATCAAATCATACAGGCACCCCACAGCTGTCTATCAAATCATACAGGCACCACACAGCTGTCTATCAAATCATACAGGCACCACACAGCTGTCTATCAAATCATACAGGCACCACACAGCTGTCTATCAAATCATACAGGCACCACACAGCTGTCTATCAAATCATACAAGCACCACACAGCTGTCTATCAAATCATACAGGCACCCCACAACTGTCTATCAAATCATACAGGCACCCCACAGCTGTCTATCAAATCATACAGGCACCCAACAGCTGTCTATCAAATCATACAGGCACCCCACAGCTGTCTATCAAATCATACAGGCACCCCACAGCTGTCTATCAAATCATACAGGCACCCCACAGCTGTCTATCAAATCATACAGGCACCACACAGCTGTCTATCAAATCATACAGGCACCACACAGCTGTCTATCAAATCATACAGGCACCACACAGCTGTCTATCAAATCATACAGGCACCCCACAGCTGTCTATCAAATCATACAGGCACCCCACAGCTGTCTATCAAATCATACAGGCACCCAACAGCTGTCTATCAAATCATACAGGCACCACACAGCTGTCTATCAAATCATACAGGCACCACACAGCTGTCTATCAAATCATACAGGCACCACACAACTGTCTATCAAATCATACAGGCACCACACAGCTGTCTATCAAATCATACAGGCACCACACAGCTGTCTATCAAATCATACAGGCACCACACAGCTGTCTATCAAATCATACAGGCACCCCACAACTGTCTATCAAATCATAAAGGCACCCCACAGCTGTCTATCAAATCATACAGGCACCCCACAGCTGTCTATCAAATCATACAGGCACCACACAGCTGTCTATCAAATCATACAGGCACCCCACAACTGTCTATCAAATCATACAGGCACCACACAGCTGTCTATCAAATCATACAGGCACCACACAGCTGTCTATCAAATCATACAGGCACCCCACAACTGTCTATCAAATCATACAGGCACCACACAACTGTCTATCAAATCATACAGGCACCACACAGCTGTCTATCAAATCATACAGGCACCCCACAACTGTCTATCAAATCATACAGGCACCACACAACTGTCTATCAAATCATACAGGCACCACACAGCTGTCTATCAAATCATACAGGCACCACACAGCTGTCTATCAAATCATACAGGCACCACACAGCTGTCTATCAAATCATACAGGCACCACACAGCTGTCTATCAAATTATACAGGCACCACACAGCTGTCTATCAAATCATACAGGCACCACACAACTGTCTATCAAATCATACAGGCACCACACAGCTGTCTATCAAATCATACAGGCACCACACAGCTGTCTATCAAATCATACAGGCACCACACAGCTGTCTATCAAATCATACAGGCACCACACAGCTGTCTATCAAATCATACGGGCACCACACAGCTGTCTATCAAATCATACAGGCACCACACAAATGTAGGCCTCTCAGGTCCATCACCTCACAACTGTGAAGTAAGTCAAGTACCTTGTATAGTAGTAATAGTAGTTATTGTGATGCAGATCTCGTGTTTATGGCTTGATATTGTGAATACCTTGTTGCACTTGGCTGGAAAAGAAGTAAGTGTACATGAACATGCATCACTTCAAATTCATCCTGCCTGATGCTCCTTTTGTAAGTGTTGATCAAAACTAAAAGCAACTCGAGCCAGTTCGAAGTGATAGCATCTTAGATAAATTTCTCATTAAAAAAATTAAACTATCAATAGTTAATCTCTTTTATTTTATCACAAAAGTACTTGTGTCGGAAATATGTTTGATGTTCCATCCATCAGCCATGGCTAGAGATGTTGTTGGACATGTGAAGTGTTTAATCAGTCCCACCACAACCTCCCTTCACACTGTTATCAGCTGCCATGTCAAGTGCCAATCCCCCATGGAGTCTGAAAATCATTTGTAAACAAAATGTGTGCCATATAAGTCTGTGCTCCCCATTCCAGCAGCCACATTTCAGACACAACAGCAGGCACTGCTGTGAAATTGGCTTTCTGTCATTACAATTTAGCAATCTTTTCAAAACTGAGAGATAGTATTTGCATAATTGTAGCTATGTACATATTGTCTCTTGTCTGTCGAAATTCAGGCCTTGCGAGTGTCTTCATCAGTACAGAGTTTTCATTGGGAAATGGATGATTAACATCCCTTACTTCTAGGGCTGTGGATTGACCAGAAGGTTCTTTTACAATATATTGCAATTCAGGTATCTGTATTGCTGTATGTATTGCAATGTATTGGGCGATAAAGTGACACTGATTGTACATACAGATCAGATTTCCTACATACAAAAGTAAGTGGGGGCACGGGTGGCCCAGTCGTCTAAGGCGCCGTGATTAGCTGTGCAAGGTTGTGTCCCTTGGGCACGCCAGAAACCTATGATTGTGGGTTCGAATCCCGGTTGGCCCCGATTATATTTCTAGGTTTGTCAGCACCATACCCGTGCTTGTGGGTTTCACGGAAGTGGTAAACGTCTGAGACCTGCATCACTACGGGCTTTCCTCCCACATTAAGCTGTCACGTCGTGATATAACTGGAATACTGTTAAAAGCAGTGTTAAACCAACCTCACTCACTCACTCACTAAAGTAAGTTTGTAGTCATGGATGCAGGGGAGATAAAAACATGAGAAAAAAATCACTTCCATGTGTCTGACGTTTTGTCAGTCAATTTTGAAGGGAAACATCATTTGTGAATGAATTTCTCAAGCTCCTTCCCAGCGCGTGACACCTTCGTTACACTCTCAGTAACCTCGCTGCCACCAGTGTGGGCGTGGCCATGACAAGAATCTTGAAATTTGCCCTCTAACCCCATATGTAGTAACGTTTATACTTTTGTTTATGTCTTTGGGAATGCCATCATATTTCATTTTGAAAAGGTTTATGACTGACCATGTTTTCCAGATGAATGTACTTGGTTGTTTTAATAATCAGATTGGTTCGAAATTGCAGACTAACGGAAAATCAACTAACATCTCCCTTACATTCTTACTATATCAATTAAAGATGATACTTTTAATGAAGTAGAAATTCAAATTGACAAACAAAGAAAGTAATTTATCCAAGCATGGTTGGGGCCATCTATCACAGTGGGGAGTTTTGACTGGTGGCAGCGATAGTATAGATAGCTCTGCGAACGGACTATCGCTGTGAGGAGCTTGTGAATTTCTGTGTAGATGTTAGGTTAAACAGTACAAACAATAAGGAAATTTGCTCTGTGCTTTTCAACTTTTCAATTACATACTGTGTGAAAATTGGACAAGTTTTCTCAGAAACAACTGAAGTTACATGAATGAAAGTTTGCATGGTTTTTACTTATCAAGATTTTGTTCGAAAATTTGTCGCGAAATTATCTTTTGACAGAGTTATGATTCTTACTCCGTGCTTTTCAACCAGTTACATACTGTGTGAAAATGGGACAAGTTTTCTCAGAAACAACTGAAGCTTCATGAATGAAAGTTTGCATGGTTATCTATGAGATACTTATCAAGATTTAGTCGAAAATTGGTCATGAAGTTATCTTTTGACAGAGTTAAGGCGCTTGATGCATGTTATTTTACTTTGTGCATTGTGTCTGCAATGGGGACAAGTTTTTTAAGAAACTGCGAGAGATGGGGCCTTTTGTGTGTATTACTTTCAGATTTAATCAATTTTACTGATGACATAAAGCAACCCAAGTGCTTGTCTCTTCTTAAGGCTATATAGCACTCTATTTTATACTTTATATTCACTACTATATGAACGAACAAAATTCTAATGTGTCATTTGGCAGGGAATTGTGATAACGCTGTTTTCTTTCTAAGTCTTTCTTCAACTTTAAAAAACAACTTCACAAGGCCGTTTTAGAAAGCTAAACATGTGGAACAATGTGGAACACACCACAACACCTTTTATTAAAATAGCAAATTATGGACAACTTGAACTTGTACAGTTATCATTATTTTGTTAATGTTCACCTTACTAATTATTTGGCCACAGAGGACAAGAATCTGAAAACCATCAGTTCCAGGGACCAGTGGGCGTGCTGAGATATTAAGCCAAATCATGATGAATTTGTCTCCAATTGTGGTATGGCAGTTTACAAAGTGTAGCCTTTGCTGTAATATTAATACTCTGTGAGGCCAAATGCAGTAATTGTAGAGTCTTTTCTTCTCTAGACTTAAGATTACAGGCTTTGTTGTCACTGTTCATAACTCTTTCTGTTTCCAGGCCTTCCTACATCTTCATGAGCTACAACAAGAATTCCATGGTGTGGTCGCTGTGTCGTTTCTTGACCATCGAGCTTACATCACAGCCGCCATTCATGGCCTAGACAAAGCCATCGAGTCAGTGCATCTTCTAGGACCTGAACTCGGGGGTAAGATTAGTCTGTGGACCTTGTAGGACCTGAACTAGGGAGTAAGATTTAGCCTGTAGGACCTGAACTAGGGGATAAGATTTAGTCTGTAGGACCTGAACTAGGGGATAAGATTTAGTCTGTAGGACCTGAACTAGGGGATAAGATTTAGTCTGTAGGACCTGAACTAGGGGATAAGATTTAGTCTGTAGGACCTGAACTAGGGGGTAAGATTTAGTTTGTAGGACCTGAACTAGGGGGTAAGATTTAGTTTGTAGGACCTGAACTAGGGGGTAAGATTTAGTCTGTAGGACCTGAACTAGGGGATAAGATTTAGTCTGTAGGACCTGAACTAGGGGATAAGATTTAGTCTGTAGGACCTGAACTAGGGGTAAGATTTAGTCTGTAGGACCTGAACTAGGGGGTAAGATTTAGTCTGTAGGACCTGAACTAGGGGTAAGATTTAGTCTGTAGGACCTGAACTAGGGGGTAAGATAAGTCTGTAGGACCTGAACTAGGGGTAAGATTTAGTCTGTAGGACCTGAACTAGGGGATAAGATTTAGTCTGTAGGACCTGAACTAGGGGTAAGATTTAGTCTGTAGGACCTGAACTAGGGGGTAAGATAAGTCTGTAGGACCTGAACTAGGGGTAAGATTTAGTCTGTAGGACCTGAACTAGGGGATAAGATTTAGTCTGTAGGACCTGAACTAGGGGATAAGATTTAGTCTGTAGGACCTGAACTAGGGGATAAGATTTAGTCTGTAGGACCTGAACTAGGGGATAAGATTTAGTCTGTAGGACCTGAACTAGGGGATAAGATTAAGTTTGTAGGACCTGAACTAGGAGGTAGGATTAGTCTTAAAAAACTGGAACCAAAGAATTTGAGTGAAAGGTCTACTATGGAATGATCTAGACATCAACAATTTATTGATGGCATGGAGCACCATATCCAACAGGGTATGGACAGAGACAGAGCAGTTATTGACTATTGACTGAAATTGTCATAAGAAATACAAGAGTGCAAAATCGGAGAATAAAATTTGTATTATCGATTAAATATTTTAATCTTCAAATTGTTGCATTGTCTCTGTTAGTTACTGTAGGTGACAGAAGGCAGCACAGTTCTCTGTGTAGATTAGGTGCCTGGAGCCTCCAGATGAGGGAGTTAATCTTTTGTCTGCTCAGATGCTAATATTTGCCTGGAGCAAATGTCAGTAAAAAAATCCAAAATTGGAATTACAAATTCATGTTATTTATTTCGCTTTAAACAGATAATTCGCTGATAACAGAACCATTAGCAAGAAGAGACTTTAATGCATCATGTTGACTGCAATGTTAACATGCCTCAACATTTAAGAAAAGAAGAATCCAAATTTTGAACAAAATGTTACCGTAATTTTGCCTGACAATTGCCCAAATTGACGAGGTCACATAGTATGGAATCCTAGATAACTATCTTTCGGTTCACACCCTGGCTTTTTTCACATCGGTTTCAAGTTGTAAACATGTACATGCCACAACATGATTAAACCTGAATTATTTCCTGTTTTGCAGGTTCTCCTTCCTTCTTCGTTGCAAAACAAGATGGTGATTCTCCATTCATCCACACCATAGTTAATGTCACATCTCAGATGCCGTATATCGGATCAGGTGAGAACACACACCATTGTTAATGTCACATCTCAGATGCCGTATATCGGGTCAGGTGAGAACACACACCATCGTTAATGTCACATCTCAGATGCCGTATATCGGATCAGGTGAGTAAAAACCATTGTTAATGTCACATCTCAGATGCCGTATATCGGGTCAGGTGAGAACACACACCATTGTTAATGTCACACCTCAGATGCCGTATATCAGATCAGGTGAGAACACACACCATTGTTAATGTCACATCTCAGATGCCGTATATCGGGTCAGGTGAGAACACACATCATTGTTAATGTCACATCTCAGATGCCGTATATCGGGTCAGGTGAGAACACACATCATTGTTAATGTCACCTCTCAGATGCCGTATATCAAATCAGGTGAGAACACACACCATTGTTAATGTCACATCTCAGATGCCGTATATCGGATCAGGTGAGAACACACACCATTGTTAATGTCACATCTCAGATGCCGTATATCAGGTCAGGTAAGAACACACACCATCGTTAATGTCACATCTCAGATGCCGTATATCGGGTCAGGTAAGAACACACACCATCGTTAATGTCACATCTCAGATACCGTATATCGGGTCAGGTAAGAACACACACCATCGTTAATGTCACATCTCAGATGCTGTATATCGGATCAGGTGAGAACACACACCATCTTCAATGTCACACCATTGTTAGGACACACAAATGTCTATATCAGATAATTTTCTGGAAATCGGTTCAGGTGAGAACACACACAATCGTTCAACATCATACCTCAGATACCGCACATCGGATCAGGGGAGAACACGCACCACATTCAATGTCACACCATTGTCAGGACATACAAGTGTCTACATCAGATAATAAAGCCAAGTGATCTGATGTCATGGCCTTTTCGTCAGGCATGCAGCGTCCGTCATCCAGTATGTGTCATAAATATCATCTCCTTGGAAACCATTTGGCCAATGAAGCTGAAGGGCTCCAACGGTGTAAACAAACTTCTACAAGGGAGGTTCATTACAATTATTTTAATAAGGAATGTCATATCCACTGTATCTAGAGATGTATAGAAGTATTTCAAAATACATACAAACAACACAGTAAGACAAGTTTAATATTCAAACCCTGTTGGGATTCCCAAGTAGCCTTTGCTTGGTGTTATGGGTGGGGTGGTGAGGTTGGGCGAACAGGTTGACTGCGTGCCATCATACCCCGACGACGTGGATCGTTGCTTACAGTATGAAATACTGGTTGGCTTTGGCTGGTCAAGTCACAATTATGTACTCAAGTGAAAAGATCTAGCTGAATACAAACTACATGCTTGATACAAAATACAACAGCTTTGGTATAGTTGGTATTTAACTGAAGACTTTGTGTAGGAATAACATAGTCCCTTACAGGTTTAATAAGCCAGAATATATGTATGTCACCATTTAAGTTGTTAAGAATCCCTACTTCTTAATTACCTTAATTTTCAATTAACAATTTCTGTAAGTATTTAATGCTGATATTTATATGACAACATTCTGTTACAAATTTATAAATAATTTGTTTGAATATCTTAATTTCATATTTTTTAATGATTTTTTCATCTATATTTATGCAGCATATATTTGAATAGCCTTGTGACAGCAAAATGTGTTATATGGATGTCTTTGTTAACATTTTAAACTATTGACAACATATTCATGTGAGATAAAGTGCTTGGGCAATATTTTTGTTTCAAGTTGAATAGGTATCCAGTATCCCATGTTTGTGAAAACAACAGATTTGCCAGCACTTAGTGGCTACAATGTATGTTACCTTTGCTTGCAGTGAGATTCCTGAAGACAGTAGTGCTACGTACCTTGGACATGCTAATAGACGGCAACCTACAACAGGCCATGCATGTAAGTTGTGGAAGAATGTAGGAAGGCGTTGTTCTAGATTTTCAGATATATAAGACTTATAGTTTGAGCATAGTGCACAAAACCAACAGCGAGTGAGAGAGTTGGGTTTAATGCCGCTTTGAACAGAATTCCAGTTACATCATGGCATGTCACCTTAATGTGGGAGGAAAGCCCAAAGTAAGGCATCTCTCCAATGTTCACAAATTTGGTGAAACCCACAAGCATGGGTATGGTTCTGACAAATGTAGAAACGTCATTGGGGTGAACCGGGATTCAAACCCTCAATCATAGGCTTCTGGTTTGTCTAAGGGACGCAACTCTGCACAGCAAATTTTGTCGCCTCAGACAACTGGGCCCCCATGCCCTCCAGATCCTACAACCCCCACATGCATGTAATTTATCAGTATTTACACATGGTCTGTGGTCTCATCTGTCAACATGGTAGTCTGCTTGTGATTTCTGAATGACTTGGTTGCAAATTTGCTTTTAAGTAGCAAGTTGTATTTATTCACTGATTCACTGTTTCAATACCTTCTCTAGTGTATTCTCAAGATGAACAACAAAGTCTATGGTGTTGGAGGATTTCAGTTCACTAAAGGAAGATGGTTGACATATGAAATATTGGTAAGACCATTTTATTTGATGAATAAATAAATAATTACATGTTGTATAAAGAAAATATGATAGATGCTCCACCTTTTTAACTATCATGTATGGGAGATCTGTGCTTTATAAACTGTCATGTATGGGAGATATGTGCTTCAATAACTGTCATGTATGGTAGATACTGCACTTTATACACTGTCATGTATGGGAGATACTGTGCTTTATAAACTGCCATGTAAGGGAGATACTGCACTTTTTACTGTCATGTATGGGAGATACTGTGCTTTATAAACTACCATGTATGGTAGACACTGTGCTTTATAAACTGTCATGTACGGGAGATACTGCACTTTTTTTACTGTCATGTATGGGAGACACTGTGCTTTATAAACTGTCATGTATGGTAGACACTGTGCTTTATAAACTGTCATGTATGGTAGACACTGTGCTTTATAAACTGTCATGTATGGGAGATACTGTGCTTTATAAACTGTCATGTATGGGAGATACTGCACTTTTTACTGTCATGTATGGGAGATACTGTGCTTTATAAACTGTCATGTTTGGTAGACACTGTGCTTAATAAACTACCATGAATGGTAGACACTGTGCTTTATAAACTGTCATGTATGGGAGATACTGCACTTTATATACTGTCATGTATGGGAGATACTGCACTTCATATACCGTCATGTATGGGAGATACTGCACTTTATATACTGTCATGTAAGAGAGATACTGCACTTTATATGCTGTCATGTATGGGAGATATTTCACTTTATATTTTGTCATGTATGGGAGATACTTCACTTTATATACTGTCATGTATGGGAGATACTGCACTTTATATACTGTCATGCATGGGAGATACTTCACTTTATATACTGTCATGTATGGGAGATACTGCACTTTATATACTGTCATGTATGGGAGATACTGCACTTTATATACTGTCATGTATGGGAGATACTGCACTTTATATTTTGTCATGTATGGGAGATACTGCACTTTATATACTGTCATGTATGGGAGATACTGCACTTTATATACTGTCATGTATGGTAGACACTGCACTTCATATACCGTCATGTATGGGAGATACTGCACTTTATATACTGTCATGTATGGGAGATACTGCACTTTATATACTGTCATGTATGGGAGATACTGCACTTTATATTTTGTCATGTATGGGAGATACTGCACTTTATATACTGTCATGTATGGGAGATACTGCACTTTATATACTGTCATGTATGGGAGATACTGCACTTTATATACTGTCATGTATGGGAGATACTGCACTTTATATACTGTCATGTATGGGAGATACTGCACTTTATATACTGTCATGTATGGGAGATACTGCACTTTATATACTGTCATGTATGGGAGATACTCCACTTTATATACTGTCATGTATGGGAGATACTCCACTTTATATACTGTCATGTATGGGAGATACTGCACTTTATATACTGTCATGTATGGGAGATACTCCACTTTATATACTGTCATGTATGGGAGATACTGCACTTTATATACTGTCATGTATGGGAGATACTCCACTTTATATACTGTCATGTATGGGAGATACTGCACCTTGTTACTTACATGCTTCATCTGGTCTTACATCCATATTATTCTCTTTATGTGTGTATTTAAAATAAATTTATGCCTTTGAATTTAATGTTGTAAATCAGTTTCTCATATGATTGTTTCTACAGTTGAAAAACATTCACACCAACATCTCATCTGTGACGTTAGATGGCCCCGCTTCATGGGGGGTGAGTGGTGCCACCATGTACAGCCTCACAGACAACGTCATCAACTACAAGACAGGGGACTTCCTCGTGAAAGGCATGCTAAAGGTAGGACTAGCAAGGAGGCATTACAAGGAGTACAATCACGGTTTGTGTAGACTTTGGTTGCTGTAATACAGCTAAAGCTACCATCATATGTCTCAGAAAGAAAATGTTTAACAGCAGTGCATATATTATGCACAGATTCAATTATTTGATTCAGATTATAACATCGGTCATGACTTGTTAGGATGTGGTTGCACTGGATAGTGAGAAGGAAGACCAAAGAAATAATAGTTGCTGAAATACCCTCACCCATTAATTAAAAGACGCACACACGGACAATTCACCGCAGTATTTCGATATGTCTCTCATCGAAACAGTTCCATTTAAAGGGATCATTGCAGTATATACGAAACAAAATTTAATGAACGCTCTTTGATACAAACCAACTCTTGATACAGTGACCTCTAAGGGTTTGTATTTTATCCCTTCAAGTGCAAGTCCCATGGTAGGTGCAACTTTCAGAAATGGGAAGATGATAACATTGTTAACATATCACTTTCAAAACATTGAAAGTGGCACATAAATGGGTTAATTTGCACTTTAGTCCTGTCTATCAATTTCAAAGATTGAATGAAAATAAAGCGGAAGCTTCATATCTGGTCTCTGTCAAAGTGGGCTAAATACATTTTGTTGCAAGTAAACTCAACATAGTAACTTTACAGATTTGAATGCTTTGGGGCATACTTGCATCTCTGTGCTGTGCCCATTTCTGGTTTCCCCTGCCATGATATTGTTGGAATAGTGCTAAAAGCGGCGTAAAACCAAACTCACTCACTTACTCACTGTGATATGTCAAATTAACCAGGGTTCGTATGGAGAAAAGTCTTGGAATTTTTGTTTGAGTTTCCAAGGCCTGGTATTTTTTTGGAAAATAGAACATTGTTATAAAGTCATGGGAAACTATTTTATTAAACCAGTGTTTTTCTCTGGTGATATGTCAGTGACAGTCGAAACACTAAAACTCAAATATCGGCCATTGTCTGTGTATGTTAAACCTCCCAAAAATACTTCTTAAGGGCTCAAAAATCCATAACACGAGGACATACTATGTTTTTACAATATACATAATTGATTGTGTATGCAAATGTCATTGTATTATTGACAGGATCTGAGCAGTGAGTTCCTCCTGGCGCTCTGGAAGGGATGGGTCAGTGTGAAGGTGAAAACCCTGGACAAGACAACTGATGATAACATCATCGAGGGCAGGGTAGGTGCAGTCGCTTGACTCTTCCACAATGTGCTGCTCCCCGAGGTTGTGATCCAGGTCTTACAGGGTCAGAAGTTAAAATAAGTCCACTGGTACAGACTGGTAAAATACAAGAAGTACTTGTGACATTGTCTTGACCATGTCTTTTACCATTACCTAGATGCCAGCTCTGTAGCAGTTCATTTTTTGTGACAAGTGAAAGTAAACATATATTTCCAACCCTGTCACAATGCATGTGTTAGGGTATCGCAACATATGGGTCATAGTCATGGCTGAGTGTGCTTAGCACCCCAACCAGTGGTGTCCTGTTAGGTGGATCAGTGCTTAGCACCCCAACCAGTGGTGTCCTGTTGGGTGGATCAGTGCTTAGCACCCCAACCAGTGGTGTCCTGTTGGGTGGATCAGTGCTTAGCACCCCAACCAGTGGTGTCCTGTTGGGTGGATCAGTGCTTAGCACCCCAACCAGTGGTGTCCTGTTGGGTGGATCAGTGCTTAGCACCCCAACCAGTGGTGTCCTGTTGGGTGGATCAGTGCTTAGCTCTCCAACCAGTGGTGTCCTGTTGGGTGGATCAGTGCTTAGCTCTCCAACCAGTGGTGTCCTGTTGGGTGGATCAGTGCTTAGCACCCCAACCAGTGGTGTCCTGTTGGGTGGATCAGTGCTTAGCACTCCAATCAGTGGTGTCCTGTTGGGTGGATCAGTGCTTAGCTCTCCAACCAGTGGTGTCCTGTTGGGTGGATCAGTGCTTAGCTCTCCAACCAGTGGTGTCCTGTTGGGTGGATCAGTGCTTAGTTCTCCAACCAGTGGTGTCCTGTTGGGTGGATCAGTGCTTAGCACCCCCTACCAATGGTGTCCTGTTGGGTGGATCAGTGCTTAGCACCCCCTACCAATGGTGTCCTGTTGGGTGGATCAGTGCTTACAGACCCAACCAATGGTGTTCTGATGGGTGGATCAGTGCTTAGCACCCCCTACCAATGGTGTCCTGTTGGGTGGATCAGTGCTTAGCACCCCCAACCAATGGTGTCCTGATGGGTGGATCAGTGCTTAGCATCCCCTACCAATGGTGTCCTGTTGGGTGGCTCAGTGCTTAGCACCCCCTACCAATGGTGTCCTGTTGGGTGGATCAGTACTTAGCTCTCCAACCAGTCGTGTCCTGTTGGGTGGATCAGTGCTTAGCTCTCCAACCAGTGGTGTCCTGTTGGGTGGATCAGTGCTTAGCACCCCCAACCAATGGTGTCCTGATGGGTGGATCAGTGCTTAGCATCCCCTACCAATGGTGTCCTGTTGGGTGGATCAGTGCTTAGCACCCCCAACCAATGGTGTCCTGATGGGTGGATCAGTGCTTAGCACCCCCAACCAATGGTGTCCTGTTGGGTGGATCAGTGCTTAGCACCCCCTACCAATGGTGTCCTGTTGGGTGGATCAGTGCTTAGCACCCCCTACCAATGGTGTTCTGATGGGTGGATCAGTGCTTAGCACCCCATACCAATGGTGTCCTGTTGGGTGGATCAGTGCTTACAGACCCAACCAATGGTGTCCTGATGGGTGGATCAGTGCTTAGCATCCCCTACCAATGGTGTTCTGATGGGTGGATCAGTGCTTAGCACCCCCTACCAATGGTGTCCTGTTGGGTGGATCAGTGCTTAGCACCCCCTACCAATGGTGTTCTGATGGGTGGATCAGTGCCTAGCACCCCCTACCAATGGTGTCCTGTTGGGTGGATCAGTGCTTAGCATCCCCTACCAATGGTGTCCTGTTGGGTGGATCAGTGCTTAGCACCCTCAACCAATGGTGTCCTGTTGGGTGGATCAGTGCTTAGCACCCCCAACCAATGGCGTCCTGTTGGGTGGATCAGTGCTTAGCATCCCCAACCAATGGTGTCCTGATGGGTGGATCAGTGCTTTGCATCCCCAACCAATGGTGTCCTGATGGGTGGATAAGTGCTTAGCAACCCCCGCCAATGGTGTCCTGATCGGTGGATCAGTGCTTAGCACCCCCAACCAATGGTGTCCTGATGGGTGGATCAGTGCTTAGCACCCCAACCAGTGGTGTCCTGTTGGGTGGATCAGTGCTCAGCACCCCCAACCAATGGTGTCCTGATGGGTGGATCAGTGCTTAGCATCCCCAACCAATGGCGTCCTGATGGGTGGATCAGTGCTTAGCATCCCCAACCAATGGTGTCCTGATGGGTGGATCAGTGCTTAGCATCCCCAACCAATGGTGTCCTGTTGGGTGGATCAGTGCTTAGCACCCCAACCAATGGCGTCCTGTTGGGTGGATCAGTGCTTAGCATCCCCAACCAATGGTGTCCTGATGGGTGGATCAGTGCTTTGCATCCCCAACCAATGGTGTCCTGATGGGTGGATAAGTGCTTAGCAACCCCCGCCAATGGTGTCCTGATCGGTGGATCAGTGCTTAGCACCCCCAACCAATGGTGTCCTGATGGGTGGATCAGTGCTTAGCACCCCAACCAGTGGTGTCCTGTTGGGTGGATCAGTGCTTAGCACCCCCAACCAATGGTGTCCTGTTGGGTGGATCGGTGCTTAGCACCCCCTACCAATGGTGTCCTGTTGGGTGGACCAGTGCTTACAGACCCAACCAATGGTGTCCTGTTGGGTGGATCAGTGCTTAGCACTCCCTACCAATGGTGTCCTGTTGGGTGGATCAGTGCTTAGCACCCTCAACCAATGGTGTCCTGTTGGGTGGATCAGTGCTTAGCACTCCCTACCAATGGTGTCCTGTTGGGTGGATCAGTGCTTAGCACCCTCAACCAATGGTGTTCTGATGGGTGGATCAGTGCTTACAGACCTAATAAATAATCGCATGATTTGTAATACTATGATTTTCCCTCATCTTGTTCAACGTAATTGCTTCACTTGCAAAAATGTGACTCCCAATATTTCTACAGACCCTGTACCATGCACTGTCTATGCTGTTGTGTATGATTTCTGTCTTTTGTCTGCAGCTGAGCTCCCCGGGGATCTGGTACTGTACGCAGCTTGAGGGAGCACCATGTAAGTCTAGCATAAATAAACTGTAGTAGTGCTGACTAGGCCTAAAACATCATGCACTTACTCAAGTTTGGACGTAGCTCTAATGAATAACTAAAGTTGGATAAGGTTAATTTCCAATTTTTTTCACCACCTTTCTCTTACTTATATCTCTGTCAGGTCCGTTGGTGAACATGCTGCCTATCGACACAGTGTTTGTGGATGAGGGTGCAGAGATAGTCCCCGCCATGGGGCTTGGGGCGTTTGTCCTGGACAGGGTGGACGTCCTACAGTACAGGTTAGTGACTTGTGACACAGTGTTTGTGGATGAGGGGGCAGAGATGGTCCCCGCCATGGGGCTCGGGGCGTTTGTCCTGGACAGGGTGGACGTCCTATAGTACAGGTTAGTGACTTGTGACACAGTGTTTGTGGATGAGGGGGCAGAGATAGTCCCCGCCATGGGGTTCGGGGCGTTTGTCCTGGACAGGGTGGATGTCCTACAGTACAGGTTAGTGGCTTGTGACACAGTGTTTGTGGATGAGGGTGCAGAGATAGTCCCCGTCATGGGGCTCAGGGCGTTTGTCCTGGACAGGGTGGACGTCCTACAGTACAGGTTAGTGACTTGTGACACAGTGTTTGTGGATGAGGGTCCGACATTGTCCCCGCCATGGGGCTCAGGGCGTTTGTCCTGGACAGGGTGGACGTCCTACAGTACAGGTTAGTGACTTGTGACACAGTGTTTGTGGATGAGGGGCCAGACATTGTCCCCGTCATGGGGCTCGGGGCGTTTGTCCTGGACAGGGTGGATGTCCTACAGTACAGGTTAGTGACTTGTGACACAGTGTTTGTGGATGAGGGGCCAGAGATAGTCCCCGCCATGGGGCTCAGGGCGTTTGTCCTGGACAGGGTGGATGTCCTACAGTACAGGTTAGTGACTTGTGACACAGTGTTTGTGGATGAGGGGCCAGACATTGTCCCCGTCACGGGGCTCGGGGCGTTTGTCCTGGACAGGGTGGATGTCCTACAGTACAGGTTAGTGACTTGTGACACAGTGTTTGTGGATGAGGGTGCAGAGATAGTCCCCGTCATGGGGCTCAGGGCGTTTGTCCTGGACAGGGTGGACGTCCTACAGTACAGGTTAGTGACTTGTGACACAGTGTTTGTGGATGAGGGTCCGACATTGTCCCCGCCATGGGGCTCAGGGCGTTTGTCCTGGACAGGGTGGACGTCCTACAGTACAGGTTAGTGACTTGTGACACAGTGTTTGTGGATGAGGGGCCAGACATTGTCCCCGCCATGGGGCTCGGGGCGTTTGTCCTGGACAGGGTGGATGTCCTACAGTACAGGTTAGTGACTTGTGACACAGTGTTTGTGGATGAGGGGGCAGAGATAGTCCCCGCCATGGGGCTCGGGGCATTTGTCCTGGACAGGTTGGACGTCCTACAGTACAAGTTATTGGCTTGTGACACAGTGTTTGTGGATGAGGGGGCAGACATTGTCCCCGTCATGGGGCTCGGGGCGTTTGTCCTTGACAGGGTGGACGTCCTACAGTACAGGTTATTGGCTTGTGACACAGTGTTTGTGGATGAGGGGGCAGACATTGTCCCCGCCATGGGGCTTTGGGCGTTTGTCCTGGACAGGGTGGACGTCCTACAGTACAGGTTAGTGACTTGTGACACAGTGTTTGTGGATGAGGGGCCAGAGATAGTCCCCGTCATGGGGCTCGGGGCGTTTGTCCTGGACAGGGTGGATGTCCTACAGTACAGGTTAGTGACTTGTGACACAGTGTTTGTGGATGAAGGGGCAGAGATAGTCCCGGCCATGGGGCTCAAGGCGTTTGTCCTGGACAGGGTGGATGTCCTACAGTACAGGTTAGTGACTTGTGACACAGTGTTTGTGGATGAGGGGGCAGAGATAGTCCCCGCCATGGGGCTCGGGGCGTTTGTCCTGGACAGGGTGGACGTTCTACAGTACAGGTTAGTGACTTGTGACACAGTGTTTGTGGATGAGGGGCCAGAGATAGTCCCCGCCATGGGACTCGGGGCGTTTGTCCTGGACAGGGTGGACGTCCTACAGTACAGGTTAGTGACTTGTGACACAGTGTTTGTGGATGAGGGGGCAGAGATAGTCCCCGCCATGGGACTCGGGGCGTTTGTCCTGGACAGGGTGGACGTCCTACAGTACAGGTTAGTGACTTGTGACACAGTGTTTGTGGATGAGGGGCCAGACATTGTCCCCGTCACGGGGCTCGGGGCGTTTGTCCTGGACAGGGTGGATGTCCTACAGTACAAGTTATTGGCTTGTGACACAGTGTTTGTGGATGAGGGTGCAGAGATAGTCCCCGTCATGGGGCTCAGGGCGTTTGTCCTTGACAGGGTGGACGTCCTACAGTACAGGTTATTGGCTTGTGACACAGTGTTTGTGGATGAGGGGGCAGACATTGTCCCCGCCATGGGGCTTTGGGCGTTTGTCCTGGACAGGGTGGACGTCCTACAGTACAGGTTAGTGACTTGTGACACAGTGGTTGTGGATGAGGGGCCAGAGATAGTCCCCGTCATGGGGCTCGGGGCGTTTGTCCTGGACAGGGTGGATGTCCTACAGTACAGGTTAGTGACTTGTGACACAGTGTTTGTGGATGAGGGGCCAGACATTGTCCCCGTCACGGGGCTGGGGGCGTTTGTTCTGGACAGGGTGGACGTCCTACAGTACAGGTTAGTGACTTGTGACACAGTGTTTGTGGATGAGGGGCCAGAGATAGTCCCAGCCATGGGGCTCGGGGCGTTTGTCCTGGACAGGGTGGATGTCCTACAGTACAGGTTAGTGACTTGTGACACAGTGTTTGTGGATGAAGGGGGGAAGATAGTCCCCGCCATGGGACTCGGGGCGTTTGTCCTGGACAGGGTGGATGTCCTACAGTACAGGTTAGTGACTTGTGACACAGTGTTTGTGGATGAAGGGGGAAAGATAGTCCCCGCCATGGGGCTCGGGACATTTGTCTGGGTTGATGTTTTTTAGTGCAAGTTTGTGACTGATGACACAGTGTTTGTACATAAATATTATATAATAATAATAATAACTACAATCAGTAGATTAGTGTGCAATATACAAGTATACAAACTGGATGAGGGTTAATTCTACCCTCCATGGATAACAGGGCTTTTGTACTGGACAGGTTGAATGCCTTGCAGTACATGCTGAAAGAGTCCTGCAGAAAAAATCACCATGCATAACAGTGGCAGTACTTTTCCTTTGCTTGATAGTCTCAAACGAATATTGAATATGAAACGAGACCACAGGTTAGACCAAAAGCTGGACAATTTATTGAAGCGACATGTCTGTTAGGTGACAAAAGCAGTAATGTGAAGTTTATGTGACGTCATTGCTACCTTGATCACGTGGCTTAGGTCGTGCTTCACACTTGTTTGGAACAACTTTTTTGTTTAGCTGGATCCCACACAGCTTCGTATCTGTCAAAAGTAAGCAGTAAATGCATTAAGGAGTAATGAAGGATAAGTATACAAATGGAAAAAATGTTTAGATTTTACTAATATGCAACAAGTGGGTAAATGTCACTGAATCAAGGCACTGTACTGGAAATGTGGATCCCTTCGTGTGTTAGCTGGTGCCCTCATGTCGACAATACCATACCCAGGGTACTTCCCTGTGGTACAATGCTATGTCCCTTTCCACGTCAGTGACCCACTGGTAATTGATGTGTGTTGTGTTAAGGTCTCCCTGTTAATCACACTGCTTGTCTGTCTGTAGTATCCTGGTGGAGAACATCCCCAGGAAAGCTGAGGGTTCGGTGACTGCGAACCTCACCATCCTGACAACGAACATTTCCATCACCTTGGAGCTGCATCCTTCATTAGACAGGGACAAGGCATACAAGGCTCATGTGAGTTACTCTCAGTATCGGGAATAGTACTACTGCATGTGAGGATAACTGCTTAGTTACTAGGTTTATTTATCAAATGCACATATTATTTAAGAATTGACTTTCACTTTGTGTGAGTTCATTTGAGGTGTGAACCTTCATAGAGTGAGGGCCAAACTGTATGAACGGGGGAGCTTTCAACCAGGGGTTCCCCCAGGAATGTGGAAGTAGTCCATCAGTGTTTACATCGTTTCAAGAATACGGTCGCATGAAAAACGTATGAACGTCAAATTGTGTCGTTCATAAACTTATAAACGTCGGTTTCGCAGTCCTGTGACGACCTCTCATCGAATGTAAAAGCTGTATATTATGTAAACTTAAATTGAAATTTGTGTTATGCCCCTATTAAGAATCTTGCAATTCCATTGGTTAATCCGTACCATGTTACGAAACGATACATTTCAATGTAGACCCCCAAATCATGTGACTGACATTGTTCTTGAATATTGACTCATCACATGATCAGTATTGACCTGTCATGTGGTTGATATTGACACGTCTGCTAGAAAACAAGATGACGTCTGGTACTAACATTTTACAGTTCGCAGCTAGGTTATTGTGATGAAACAGAGGACGGTAGAAAGGCTTCCTAAACTTTAAAGTCTGACTTGACCACCTCAGGGGTCGGGTCTTCAGGTCCTTGTTTTGACATATTGACCTTGTCAAGAGTAATTATTTGTATAGTATTGATCTTTTTAAATTTTGTGGTGCCAGGGTAAGGTTCCGGAGTCCACCCAGGCCATGATCCAGGCCCTGGCATCAGGTCTCCTCAAGCTTGTCATTCACAGCCCTGTCATCGGGAAGAAGCCCTTCAATGTTAGTCTGCCCACCATCACAAGGGATCTGTGCACAAGCCCCAAGGTAGGAGTCAAGGACAAGGTTAATGTCCAGAAACCTCTTCCACAAACTGTCTAATCACTACAGCTACAACTATGTATGAAGGAGGGACTGCAAGGGACTGAGTGATGGTAGATGTAACGAGTAGTGAAGATGGCAGAACAACACACCGCCCCTTTCCCTGAATCCTGAATATCAACAAATGTTTAACTCCAAGTCTTGTTGCTAACCCCTGAACCCCGAATACTACATAACACAAATCTCACACGCACTTAGAAAAGGGTGCGAATCAAAGTTATAGAACTGAAAAACTATTGAAAAGATAAAATATATAAAGGAAATCTGTATGTCACCATTACTATTTTTTTAAGTGTTGAATCTGCATACAAAATATAATTTTATTTGAGTCCCACTTACCAAACTGTGGTGTCCCGAATACATTCTAAATTGACCCCCAGTTCCTGCAAATCAAAAGGGGGCTGAAAGTCACAGTATTGCAATCTGTTGTCAGAAATTGTTGCCCATAATTAAGGGTGCATATAACACACGAGTGCATATTATACGCGAATAAATAAGTCTTGTGTACATTGATCAATCGGAAGGGGTTTTAATTGGGATTGTTCACTAGCCTGTATATTAGCAAATATCGCCGTTGGCGCTTATTAGAGCCGGGCGCTTATTATGTCAAATACGGTAGGTTAACATCATATTCCTATGTTTGCTTTGTGTTCTCTTCCTACCCATGGGTCTTAGTGCAAGGTACTCAACTCATAATATCATTGAATTCTCAACAAAACCTGATACCATGACAAATTACTTGCTATTTGTTGACACTGCAGTCAAGCCCTTGAGTCAATCTGGTGGGGTTTGAGTAATCAAGGTTCAGGATACTTCAATGTTTATTCCAATAAATGAAATGTTTTGAGAGATAGAGTTGCTCAACATATACCTTTAGTTACTAGACTGGTGATATGCAGAATTCCATTGTGTTGTATGCAGAATTCCATTGTGTTGTATGCAGAATTCCATTGTGATGTATGCAGAATTCCATTGTGTTGTATGCAGAATTCCATTGTGATGTATGCAGAATTTCATTGTGTTGTATGCAGAATTCCATTGTGATGTATGCAGAATTCCATTGTGATGTTTTCAGGTACCCTGGTACTTTTCATCTTCCAGCCATTGTGTGTGACTCAGATATGGTCTTTCAACTTAGAAAACACTTCTTTCAGGACTTCTTCATTGGTGAAAGTGACCACTTCTGGTCTGTCGGGGACAAAGATTTGCCCAGCGTGTATGCTCTTGTCGGAGACAGACTCATCTTCAAATACGCCTCCAACCACTCCGTCTACCTCATGGCATCCAAAGTAGGTTGGTGTGCTGACAATGCTCCACACAGAATGTGCCATTCTATTTGTAACTAACAATGTTTGCAAGTCATGTAACATCTAGGCCATGTGGAACTCATGCTTATAGTATGGAAATTGAAATCAATTTGATGCCAATCTTAATATGCCACCAGGTTGAAATAAGGTTGAGTATTTACTTTGTTTCAGAATCATTTATTTCCATTGCTGTCTCTTTATTTCACACATTTCTTAAATTTACTATATAACACATGTTTTCAAGTAAGTAATCACACTTTTCAAATGCTGAAATATATAAAGTGTTTCACAAAGTATCTGCATGTTTGATCCCAGAATATGTAACACGGATAGCTTGTAACTTCACTCTGGGCTGTAAGCTTGCAATCTACTCCAAAAAATGCCTCAGTTGTAAAAAGAAGATATTTAGAACTTGTCCTGGTTCATCACACCAACTTCTAAATGCCACTCGATCTCAGAAACTAGCAGTGTGTTATTCAGTGCTCATAGTTGGTACAGGTGGGGTGAAATTGGGTTTAATGACGCATCCAAGATTATTGCACTTATAAAGCAACGTGCATGCACATGTGTGTGTGTGGCTGCTTGAACTAGTCCGGACTGATGCCGATTTATAGTGCTAGCCCACTGAGAAACCATGCCACGGTTCAAAATGAATACCCGTCAGACACAGTATACTGACTCCGAGCCAACCAGTCCTTGTTTTAACCCCTTAATGCTGAACGTCAGACAGGGTAACAACAAGTACCACCTTTTAGTTTGTGCAGGATGAATGATACATGTACACATCATGTATAGAGGTGAAGTTAACAGGGGTCATGGGTTCTCAAGATCTTTTCCTCTTACTTTTGATCAAGAAACACCCTAGATCTTTCCATGCTAACATTATGGTTATGACAAGGACACATTGTCCATCATGCTTGAGGCAATCATTGAAGACCAGAGATCAGTTACAAGCCAAAACATACTAGAGACACTGACACTTTGAACTCTGCAATTTCAAAACCAGTAGCTGAGTATTGTTTGGTGTTCCAGGCCGCCTACAGCAGCTGCAACTTCAGCGATGCCACGATGCTGGAGGGGCCGGCTGAGAACACAACGCATCACCTGCACCCGCTCAGGAAGGCTGGCCGATTGTACTTTGCATCTCAGCTGGACTGTAATGCCACGCCCCCAGTGAAGGTCATGGTCACTGTGGTACAAGGAGGTAGGTGTTGAAAAAATTATTAATGGGCCTGAGCTTTCCAAATTTTATGATCTAGAAAATAGGTCATAATTTTAGGCTAAAGATACCAAGGTTACAATGATTGTATGCTTGAACCAAAAGCATGAAGTGTTGCAAATAAACTTGTACTCGATTGATCCTATACACTTGACCCTGAGGGGTGCAGGCCTAGTGTCCAGTAGCCATGCTTGTCATAAGAAGAGACTATAGATGTTAAAATCTTCCTGTTTCAGTGGCCCCACAAACGGCAGATCTGGATGACTGTGGAGTTTCACTGTACGACATTTGGAGGAAACAAAAGCTGTCAAAGTTCGTACCACCCAACCCCATTGGCTCAGCCTTCGGGGGCATCATTGTAGGGTTGATTCTGCTGGGACTGTTCGTGATGTGGGATCGGAGAGTCAACCAGAAGAAGAGTGGGAACTTAGCACTGTTTGAACGATTCTAGCGCAGAACAGTACTGTACTGCAGCGTAGTGCATCTCAACATCGGGTTAGGAATAACAGCATTACTCTTGTACTCAGATAAATTTGGTTCAGCTCAGTAACCTAGTCAACTATTGGTATTTCTCACCACTGGAATTGTCAAATAGAGCCTAAAGATGCTGTGGTTCAAATGAATTGACATACCAAATATTTTGGTTTGTACAGTTTAATTTTATGAAATGATTTGAAAATGTTCACCTCACCCTATCAATCAACTTTATGTTACAAACAAGAGTATTAATGGAATGTATTTAGCAAGTATATTTTAATCACTCAACTATGTAAGACATCTGCATGAGACCAAGTCAACTGACAGTCAACTGGGTTGATCTGGGATACAGACGGAATCATCCACAGTGTTATATGCTTAGCAAATTTGACTCCAGAAAGGTACATTACACATTTCCTGACACCAAGATAGCTCCAAATTCTTCCCATCCACCAAAAACAGTGAGTCTGAACATATTTATTTTCAATTTATTCACCACCACATATTTTCTGAGCTTCCAACTTTTTTATTGAGACATGAGAACCACATCAGAAGTAAACAGTTGGATCTCGCCACCGATTTAAAGAGACCAGCACGTGTACTTAGGATCTCATCCCAGGCGGAAGCAGCCATCTGCTTCAGTAGTGTTCAATTCATACAAACATTCAACTTAAGCAAATCTGAATTTGCTAGCAGAACCATTGTTACCCTATCACAAAAACAGTTTAAGAAACTCACCTAGAAAACACATCTAGAACCCGTCCAATCCGAACCTGATCTAGTTTCCATGGTGACACGACTCTATTGCTAAGCTGTGGGATTATGTAAGACTGTCTCTTAGGGCTGTTATGATTCACTGATGTATTGATGAATCGCAAATGTTAATGACAATGTGATACACATATTGATTCATATTTTGATCCTGTATCAATTTTGAAAATTAAGTTTCAGATGGATAACTCCTCCTCCTCCTTATTTGCTAAATCTGATTGGATGATACAAATAATATTCGCCTAAATTAACTAGTCATGCGAGTTAAATATGCACTCTTTGATTGGAACAAATTCTTATTAGGCATAGCCACATGAACATAAAATCAAATGTGAAATTTATGTATCATGATACATACTTTTGTGGCTCATGTATCACAATAAGTATTGATACAAATAGGTAGAAGTATCATGACAGCCCTACTGTATCAAGTCAGACTGGTCTTCAAATACTTTATTTATTATTCACATCACGCTGTATTTGAGCGGAAGTCAACAGGAAACTCTTGAACAGTTTACAAGAGAAACGTAAGGCTAAACAGCCTGTGTGACCAATGAAGCTTTAATGTCAAGCTCGATTGATCCACTAAACCAACTTGTTCTTGCACCAAGGATGTCCTGCTAAGGGTGTTGTTGACATAGACACATACCAAGTGCTTCTTTGGGTCACAGCACTGTTGTCAACCATTAGAGATACTGTGAACCCAGTGGTTAACCCTATAACCCTCTACAGCCATAGTACTATGTCAGAAGTTGACCAGGTGTTCATCTTGTAATATGAGTCCTGTGAACAAGTACAGTGTTTTCCTTATCAAGCACTTGTTGATGTTGCCTTCAATTGCATTTATATATTTGTTTCATTCCACTGATTTTAGAGAGTATTTTTACAATTGGGACCAGACTTTTAGATATTTTACATTTGCAGAATTTTTTGTTTTCTTTATGATAAAACCACAGTGATTTGCTTCCATCTTTTGATTTCTTGTCTTCGCATATCACAACTAGTACTTAATGCCATTGTATACCTATGGCAGAATACAATATGGTGAAGTCAACCCATCTTTTTTGTCAACTGCCAAATATGTGAAAAATGTCACTTTTTCTGCTCTGAAAATGTGTTTTTCAAATACCATAAAAATTACCTGTTGAGAACAGGTTCAGCTCAAATGGTCATTTACCCGTGGTGTTCATTTGAACATGTAATGTAATGCCTGTGGTCTATTATGTTTGAACATCGTTCAAAATCAAACATTTTGTATGTTGTTATTAATTGGTACTTTGGGATTAAGTTTGGTTGTTTGAGATTTGGGGGGTAAAACAAGGGCTCACTTAAGGTGTTGACACCCCTGCAAGGTCCCTGTATGTACTGTGAAACCAGTGATAATCAAATCCCTATAACCCTCAACAACCATAGTGCTGTGTGAGCAGTAAGAATACAGTGTATAGTTTCCAGGTGTTTGTCTGGTAATACGAGTCCACTGGTGCATATTACTGGGCCCGGTTCCATAGTGCGATCTTAGTGCTACGACTATCATAAGCATATGTTAAAGTATGGGAGTTCTGATCATCTTTACTTTGAGGAAGGGGCCCAGTGATACGACAGAAAAAGATGGTGAGGGATAAAAAGTTTACTATTTTATGTTTTTGCCTCACAGTTTAGTATTGTACACACCACAGTCATGTACAGATTCTGTTGATAATGTTGTAGTTACCATGGCTACCACAAGTATGAAGCTGACATCACCACATTTCATGGTTGAAGACCATGGTGATCATTGTTGTTCATCAGTTTAATGTGTGTAAACTATTCTGTTATTTGGCCTAAAATTCATTGGAGGTGGTCGGAATGACAATTTAACATTTTATCATCTTCTACTGCTGCTGTTAAACGTATGAAAAACAAATACCGGTAAGTTTTACCATGGTTAAATACCGATAGATATTATATGGCTTTTAACCCGACTCAACTCCTACAGATATTCTTCAAGAAGCTCCAATAAGCAGAACACAGCATTCCTTCCAAGTATTATTTCCTTGTTTATTTTATCAAGCTGTAAAGTGTGGATAAGCGTTTAATATAGACTGGACCATGATCCTGTAGACTTCCTATTTACCTTGAATCAAAGCACCTTCAAAGTGTTCGTGTTAAAACGGGACATTTATGTCTAGTCATGTGGTAGATAAATCTAAGCACTTCTGTCCCATGATTTGCCCATGAGTGTCTGAATGTTAGATTATAGGTTGACGTTATGAATCATATCTTCCTTGTTTCAGAACTTAGCCAATGAAGTTGACGTTGAGATATTCCTCATATTTGATATAGTTATCAGGCTTTACTGCTGCAGTGTAGTTACTATGCAAATAGTATTTACAGGTGAATGTAAAAGACTGGATGCATGATGAATATATAACCGAAGTGAATCTCTTACAATAGCTGTCTGTTTATTTTCGATAAATCCGTCCAATAAATTTCCATCATTATATAAAGTCATTGCTCAAATGCTCAACTGCTAATGAACAAAAACAGAGCAACTCAAAACTTGTCATATGACTAGAAAGAGATTCCATGAGTGTATATAGTCAGCCTAAGACAAAGTCGGGAGGTTCATAAACATGATGTTTTGTTTATATGTATTGCAATACGCTAATTCAGAATAAAATTGCGTGAATATATTATGATTTTGATAAACTGGATAACAGGATGATTTTTCTACCTAAAACATTTTTATTGGCATTTTATTTGTGTTAATTCAGAACAAAACCAATACATCAGTATATCATGTATGATATTGTTGAGTTTAATATTACTATGTGCAGGTGTGTAGAGCCCAAGTGTATAGAGAGGCGGATCCAGGATTTTTCAGAGGTGGGACATTATCAGAGGGGTGGGTCAAAGCCCATGAAACCCACTCTTGATCTGCCATAGATCACAAGTTACAAGGAGATATCCAGACAACTGAGTTGTGGAAATTATCTCATGAGATTGATAGGGATACTTTGATGAGATATATATACACTTTGGAAATGTTGAAACAATGTGGAAGACGTGAAAGAAAGGTTTAGTTGGGGAAAAGTGAGAGGTCTGTGGATATCAAAGACAGGTATCAGATTTATATCTTGGTTTCCAGATAAGAACAATATTTACTAATGTTCCCAACTTTGAGTTTTTAAATATAAAAATAACTTGAAATAATTGTTCATTTTTAAACCTTTCAGGTCTCAAATAAGAATTCATTTTTCCCCCATAATTATATTCCTGATCTATTTCGGGGGAAATATTTGTAAATAAAAAATAAATAAATATGAGTCTCATTGTAAACAGCTCATGTTTATCCTGATCTTTGTGTTATTAACATACATGCACAGTAAAGGCTGGCCATGTTGATTGAATGTCATGTTAGTTGGTGTCTGTAATCTCTTGTAGTGTGCCATTTGTGCCTAGATCTGTCTGTGATACTTTGGTAAGTTGTGTACATTGTTGTCACAGAGATGATGTGTTATAATGGTGATATATACACATGTATATTATATAACCTACATTAGATCTGTATCACATAGCTGTATCATACTCATGCACTCCTTTACTCTATTATGAACATCATCTCTGAAGACTGTTTATCTAGGTTTCGGAAAGTAGGTTTTGCTGTTTTGAACATTAAAGATTGTCTGACCCAGTTTATCTAAGAAATTCAAAGGTTATTACTGAACATCAACTTTTCTTTGTGGTTGATCTCAAATCAACCCTGACAATATTCTTTATGAAGTTTGTTCCTATTTCTTATCATAATGACCTAGAAAATTTAGGAAAAGAAATTCTAGAAAGATTTGGCCTTTTTCAGACTAGTAAGATAAGACTTATAGTTGGTGTTGAAATTACCTTCAGTGCTTCTTTTGGACTTGTTGGCACTGTCACTGTGTTGATGTACCAGTAATATACTTATAGTTGGTGTTGAAATTACCTTCAGTGCTTCTTTTGGACTTGTTGGCACTGTCACTGTGTTGATGTACCAGTAATATACTTTAAAGTTGAGACACATAGGCCCCCTGCGCTATTGCTTGTCCTAAGATGGGGCATGTGGGAGGATGGTAGTACACGGGTTATCATGTTCCTGGCGAAATGGGATGTTGTTTATAATATCAACTACTGGTTTGTCTGGTCCAGACATGATTATTTGCAGGTCATTGTAAAAACACGGGAATAGGAGTGCAGAGTGAGAAAACATTCACTCACTCACTCACACAGACACTCTTTGTTCAGTCAAAATCGTGTTGTTTGCCCACATACTGTCGGAAAAAAACGTAAGAGGCAACTAATGGGATTGGGTGGTCAGGCTCGCTTACTTGGTTGATGCATGTCATCGATCCCAATTGCGCGGTTCGATGCTCATCGCTGGATTGTCCTGTCCAGACCTGATTATTTACAGACTGTCGTCATATAGCTGGAATATTGCTGAGTGCGGCTTTTAACAACAAACAGAAACATATTCAAAATATTTCATGAATATCTTTGTTCAGAAAAATCACACATCAGTACTGAATAACATTTAACACAAGGTTTAATGTGTCCTAGGTCACATGATGATTCAAGGGGATTTAGTATTGAGATAGCTTTCAGTGTAGAATTACTGGCATTATTCAGCATGATGACAGGCCTATATGTTCTTGAAGTCTAAGATTCTGCAGTTTGGGAGGATGCTAAGCAAGTGAGGTGTGTGATATAATTACGAACTTGACGTTTTCTGCATGAATACCCACGTCTCTTCAAGAAAGGTGGGGGTTTTTCAATTAAAATGAACGGAAAGGTAAATGATAAGCAGTACCATATTTGCCATTGAAAGCACCCTGGGCATTATTAAAATGATACACAAGTTAAGTTCTTTTCAGAGATCGAGCAGTAGTGAACAAACTTCCTTCAAACGTCTATAAAACTAAAACGTCACTTGGTTATTATACCCCTTCTACTCTGCAATTTTCTTTCAACAATGTGTAATAAACTAAAGTTAATATGGATTGTTGTGTAAATTTTCAGAAACAGAACAAAGATTAATCAGAGATTTATGTAGAAGTTAGTCGGGGGAGCTTATAGGAGCAGGGCTTAAAACAGCAAATACAGATTTATGTTTAAGTTAGTTAGGGGAGCTTATAGGAGCAGGGCTTCAAACAGCAAAAATGATTTATATAGAAGTTAGTCGGGGGAGCTTATAGGAGCAGGGCTTAAAACAGCAAATACAGATTTATGTTGAAGTTAGTTAGGGGAGCTTATAGGAGCAGGGCGTAAAACAGCAAATACAGATTTATGTTGAAGTTAGTCGGGGGAGCTTATAGGAGCAGGGCGTAAAACAGCGAATACAGATTTATGTTGAAGTTAGTAAGGGGAGCTTATAGGAGCAGGGCTTAAAACAGCAAATACAGATTTATGTAGAAGTTAGTTGTAGAAGTTAGTTAGGGGAGCTTATAAGAGCAGGGCTTAAAACAGCGAATACAGATTTATGTTGAAGTTAGTTAGGGGAGCTTATAGGAGCAGGGCGTAAAACAGCGAATACAGATTTATGTAGAAGTTAGTTAGGGGAGCTTATAAGAGCAGGGCTTAAAACAGCGAATACAGATTTATGTTGAAGTTAGTTAGGGGAGCTTATAGGAGCAGGGCTTAAAACAGCGAATACAGATTTATGTTGAAGTTAGTTAGGGGAGCTTATAGGAGCAGGGCGTAAAACAGCGAATACAGATTTATGTAGAAGTTAGTTGTAGAAGTTAGTTAGGGGAGCTTATAAGAGCAGGGCTTATAACAGCGAATACAGATTTATGTTGAAGTTAGTTAGGGGAGCTTATAGGAGCAGGGCTTAAAACAGCGAATACAGATTTATGTAGAAGTTAGTTGTAGAAGTTAGTTAGGGGAGCTTATAAGAGCAGGGCTTAAAACAGCGAATACAGATTTATGTAGAAGTTAGTAAGGGGAGCTTATAAGAGCAGGGCGTAAAACAGCGAATACAGATTTATGTAGAAGTTAGTTGTAGAAGTTAGTTAGGGGAGCTTATAAGAGCAGGGCTTAAAACAGCGAATACAGATTTATGTTGAAGTTAGTTAGGGGAGCTTATAAGAGCAGGGCTTAAAACAGCGAATACAGATTTATGTTGAAGTTAGTAAGGGGAGCTTATAGGAGTAGCGCTTAAAACAGTGACACAGATTGATGTAGAAGTTAGTCAGGGGAGCTTATAGGAGTAGCGCTTAAAACAGCAAATACAGTATTTTTATGGAATTATGGATGTTTTTGATACTTGTCATCAGTGTGCGGCCATCTGGGCCCACTTGCACAAAGCGACCTTAGCGCTAAGATGATCGTAACTCCCATACTTTAACATAGGCTTACAATAGTCTTAGCGCTAAGATCGCTTTGTGCAAGTGGGCCCTGGTCATAGACAATTGACAGTTGGATCAATCTACACACGTCTAGTCCCAGTCTTCTCAGGATAAACCACAGCTTTGAGTGGTTTGCCTGGCCATGGATGCCATGATATTTATACATGTACATGTAATTGAAATATTGCAGACTTGCATTTGATTCCTATTCTCTTACAGACTTCTCATCAAGACCACATGTACATATTAATGTGTGTGTAGATCTCTGTTGGGTAATCTAGTCATGACTCAACATGACATCTGCATTTGAACGTGTGTGCATCTGGTGATAAACAGTGTGATTTACATCTGCATCATTGTTTTACAACCATGATTGTGTTCTCTTTATCTTCCTCAACGATCAGCTTTGTCAATGTTTTGTTTAAATGGGTATGTTGTACATTCCATTGTCATATATAATGTCATGTTTGTGTTACATTGGTTTTGTTTGAATGTTTTCTGTATGTTTGTTTTGCCTGAATAAATTCCCATGGAAAGTTGTTTTTTCTGGCAAGAAGCAGTTATAACATGAATATTTCTCTTTTTATTGTGATGTACTTTTTTTATAGGTATGAACAATACCTACAAGAGCTTTTCTTCCCCTGTATTGTTGTACTTGGATGTGATATGTATGGTGATTTAATTGGTAAAATAAAACATGAAAAGGATAATACTCTTTATTTGTTTCACTTATGTCATAGGGAGGTGCAAGTCCTCTGAACTAGGTTGTCTTTCTCCTACTCGGAAAGTTGTTAATGGTGCGATCATTTTCCATGAAGGCCCTGGTTGGGGCTGTAAAGGTTTCCTCTCGTATCACAGATCTACAGATACACAGCGTATTTGAGTAAAATACCCCCCAAAATTGTCAAAACACAATTACTTTCAATTAACTTGCGTACAGAAACACATGCATTAAATGAAAAACTCAAATGTATGAAAACAGCACTCGTAAATACCCAATGAACGGAGCTAATTTCCGTAACACAATTACCAGCTAATTTACTTTCCGAGTCAAGCCTATATATTTCGAACAGTTATAAACATCTAAAACATTATTTTCATTTTTTTTAAATCTTAAAATGTTCACTAATCTGGGGGGAAAACCCAATAGAATGTTGAATAGGTGAGTGAAAAAATATTGGTTACCCAATGAAAAATGAAATAACCCAATTAAAATAGAAACCTTAGAGTAAAATACTCAATTGCTCAAAAAGTTAGCTGGAGCCCTGTATCACAAACGCTGTCTCCTTCCTAAACTGAGAAAAGGCGGCAAGCAATATGTGGAAGAAGAAGCTGTGCAAACTGTGTAAAAAGACAACAATAAAAAAATGTCAAAACAAATTTACTAGGAACTTAAAAAAAATATATGTGGCAAAAACAAAGCTTAACTTCTTGTTAAGGATCAAGGAACACAATGGTGGTTTCACACACAACAGAAAAAATGCCAGCTGCTTATCACTTCAAACAAAATGGTCACTAGCTACTAGGGATTTCCTCTAGCAGATCCATAAACAGTTGAAATCAGACCCCGAGGATTAAGCTAACATCTAGTCTCTGAAATGACCATATTTTACAGAAAAAAAGTTGTTAAATTTATAGTTAAGGTTCATTTTCATGTTCAGATACTGCAGTAATCTTGACTTGCCAAATATTATAGACTTGCATGGGCTTTATTGGATATACTTGTCTCAGGGTCTGTATGACAGACTACGCGAGGCTGTCAAGCACAGACAAATGCCGGTCCATAGAATTGAATTGAATGAAACCACAAGGCCTGAATGATAAAATCCAGTCCGGGTGTTCCACACCCAAACCTTTCTATACCATGTATACATTTATTGTCAGTTGAAACTTTTATAACATTGAAATATGCATTGCCCAAAAGAACACGGCATAGGTGACATTTCCATGTAAGAGGGTCTCTCTAATAGAGAATTTATTACGAAACTATTAATATTTACATATTTTGAGAATGTGTTTCTGATTGTGCTGTGTGAGTGAGTTGCTTTTTACACCGATCTTAACAGTATTCCAGTTATATTAATATGTGTCGGCTTACCGTGGGAGGAGGGCCCAAAGTGATGCAGGTCTCCGATGTTTACCACTTTGGTGAAACTAACAACGCGTGTCTGTCTGACGTTGATTAATGAATAATTTGCATACTCGTATATGCAATGAGTCGGCATATGGTTCTCAGTAGGAAGTGACAACTTGGAGACGATGGCTTGCGGTATATACAATTTTACTTATACATGTAGATATACACATACAAAAGACACTATGTGCCAGGTCAGCACATAGTGGTAGTGCTTGTTGTCTTGGTGCCCCGGAGCACCCAGCCTGACCCTAGCTAGGCTAAGGGTAAGACCTTTCTTTCTTTTTTTTCTCTCAATCTCTCTTCCTGGACCAAAGCTTATATAGCCAAGGTCACCTGACATTTACTAAGTAATAAATATAAATGTAAACAGTAATTCATCAGCAGGATGGCAGACGGTTGATGTACACAAAAATGGGGATTAACAATTAGGATTAGCATCTTATAAATAACAGCAATTAAGTGTTTCAAGGCATATTGATGTCATGGCTCCAGGGTAATGAGCCTTTGCAATTAAACATTCTTCAGACAATGGGTGTCGTAAATCAGTCGTTATGACAAAACACACGAGCATTGGTATGGTGCTGACAAACCTAGAAATATAATCAGGGAAACCAGGTTTCGATCCCACGAACATTGTTTCTGGTGTGCTCAAGGGACAGCACCGCTGTGTACACCTACAGGAATGGAATAAACGTGATGTATCTACAAAATAAAAATGTACATCAACTATGGGTTTGGTATTTATTATATGCATGATAACTGCAATCATCCTTGAAAAGAATCAGCTTCACAGTCGTACATGGTGACCTTCTGTCATGGTGACACAAATATATAACATAGGAACAGTTTTCACAGCCTTTTAGAAGAATAAAATTTTCATATCGACATAAAAGATGTTTTCTGTCAAATATTTTAATACATATAAATGGACATCATTTCATTTTTGAACATCCCATCATCATTTCCATATTTCTGTTTATCTGCCTTCGAAAGAAAGAACAATGACGCACTAACACCACCATCATCTTCTGGAAATAAAGCCTTAAAGTGTCAGTTAGGCCTAGCTTGGGCCTTGGTTCTCCCATAGCCTCCAGACCAAATGCTAGGACAGACTCAAAGGACAACAGTTTGAATTTCCACATGAGGTTAGCTCCTCCTATGAATGCCTCCACCATTCGAAGGAAGTCCTTGGGTGGCTTTTTCAAAGCAGGGATAAGAACTTCCTGTTCGATAGCTTTGCACTTTTCCCAGGCACTACTATAGCCGTCATTACATATGTTATATCTGTCAGACATACCCAGCAAGTATCCCATTCCTTTCCAGAAATATACATAGTCATCAATCTGTGCTTGATGGAAAGGAACTCCAAAGTATTCTGGGTAAAGGACGATGCATCCCATGAATCCACACTGCACCAATGCCATGTCGTACTGGGAGAAATACAGTCTTTCAGGCTGCTGCGAACTGTTCATCTGCGTCGCAACTTTGTTATGAATCTTCCTGACATCAACAACAGACCGATATGCATCACTTTCATTATCCCAGACATTTCCATAGTGCCAACATGTGACATGGCGAAATGTGCTGAAGTACCTTTTCCAGGATTTCTTGGGATCATCCGAGGCTTTAGTGAAAACAAGAGGTTCCAGGAGATTTATGACACTCAAACCACCGACAAGAGATGTAAACATTGCGAGGAAATTGCTGTAGAAATATTCCTGAAAGAATTTTCTGCCCCTGTTAAACTTTTCAACATCAAGCCAAGGAGGGGCAGGTGGGGGGATTCCTGACTGAGCTGCAAGTTCTGCATGACCTTCTTTAAGTTCTTCAAGGTCACACATCATATGGTCTCTCTTCTGAAAAAGGAAAAAAAAAAGACAAAAAGTTATTTCTTGCTTTTCTAAAAAGGTCTCAGTTTCAATGTTGGGAGCACATTTAGCAGGGATAATTCTAGGGTTGGGCCTTGTGCTTTTAGCCCCTAAATTTGAAAAAAGGCCCACCTTTTCAAATACAATGGGCACTTTAGCATTGTGCTGTATGGGCAAGTGTGGGTGTACCTCTGGAATATTTGAAATTTTCACATAAAGGTCCCATGTCAGAAAATTCCTAGAGTGACGTGCGAACGCTTTAACCACTAGGCTACCCGACCGCCCTCATGGAAAGGAACGAGGAAGCCATGGGCATGGTTAGTGACTCCACGAAGGTGAGTCGACTTTTGAATCATTACTGAACAAATGTGGCCAGTGAATGCGGCCAGGACAGTTTCTTGTAGCCAAAATATTCAATACTAAACCATTTCATCCTTCTCGCGACATAATTGTGTGAAGAATATTATAAGTGAGTGAGTGAGTATGGTTTTACGCCGCTTTTAGCAATATTCCAGCAATATCACGGAGGGGGACACCAGAAATGGGCTTCACACATTGTACCCATGTCGGGAATCGAACCCGGGTCTTTGGCGTGATGAGCGAACGCTTTAACCACTAGGCTACCTGACTGCCCCGAAGAAGAATATCATAAATGCAACTGAAAATTTACAAACAATTCCAAACAAGTGCATTTATTTGCATGTGTTAATGCTTCAGTTTCCGTCCTTTAAAACGCACGAGAAGGGGAACCCCCTTAGACTCGCAGCACATCTCTTCATGACAAAAATGGAGCCTTCAAACCTTATTGATCGGTTGCAAAAAGATCTCCCATGATAGATAGTGTTCGGACTGGCAACGTTTGGATGTGTGCAGCATTAATATTTATATAAGCCTACACAATAAACGGCATTTCTGTGCATGATAATGAAAATTACCGAATCAAGAAAATAATATATGTATAAGTTCCCTTTCATAATCCTTTTTTGCTCCATGAAACATAAAAAATATTGAAAATAAAAGTTCTTTCATAAACACATGATAAAGTAGCCCTTGCTATAAAATGTGCCACTGCAGGCCATATTTGTTTTAAAAAATATTGACAACTGAAACCAAACGACAACTCATCATGCTCATAAAATTTATTACTGAAACATTACTTAACAGGACTTTGAAAGGCATTTAGAAGGTGTAAGTTTATACTCAGAAACATTGTGTTTCATAATAAAGAAGTTGACATCCTTAAATTCTCTTCCTTATTACTCAACAGGAAGGCATTTTACTCCCAGGTATGAAATCCTCTACATCAGGACCGCCTCCGTGGTCTAGAGGTAGAGTGTCCGCCCAGAGAGCGGAAGGTCCGGGGTTCGAGCCCCGGCCGCGTCATACCAAAAGACTTTAAAAGATGGTACTTGTTGTTACCCTGTCTGGCGCTCAGCATTAAGGGGCTAAAACAAGGACTGGTCGGCTCGGAGTCAGTATAGTGTGTCTGAGTGGGGTATTCATGTTAAACTGCGGCATGGTATCTCAGTGGGCTAGCACTAAAGATCGGCATCAGTCCGGACTAGTTCAAGCAGCCACACACACACGTGCATGCACGTCGCTATGTAAGTGCAATAATCTTAGACACGGCATTAAACCCGATTTCACCTCACCTCACCTCTACATCAAAAGTGTTGTAAAATCTACAATATCATCATGAAAACACTTTACTGGACTCACGCTTTGGATTAGAAGCTAAGATCATGGAATGTAATGACATAGCATGGAAACTGAGGCAGGATCAACTTTACGGTACCAAGTGTGTGCTACATGTATTATGCAAGTAGTTTGCCACGACAAGGCTTGCAGTATTTGTGCTATTTTGGGAGCAAGATATTTCCACCTACTAGTCATTGTGCAAGCTCAATGTAAACATACAAACAAGCTAACTCAGTGTAATTCATTTCTTTTGTTGGTATCTACCAGCATGTGTTTTGTGTGAGTTATGGCCCCATGCAAAAACAGTCCCAGAAAATAGCCACAAAAAAGTGAGAATGGCAACAAGTTTTGGAGAAAATAGACCCAAATTTGGGAGAAACAAAACGAACACAAATTCGTTTTATGACTTAGTTCATTTATCGATTGCCAATTTTGGATGATCATTGTGTCACATGGTCCATCAACACTGTCTGACTTCAATTAACTTCTCAAATGCATTTCAGAGTAAAGGCATTTTATCCCCATCCAAACCAGCTGATCACATATGCTGCATAAACAAAGTAATTAATCATGCTAATTAATCCCAATCCTGTTAAGTAAACAATGCATTTATTTATCATGATGAAACATGTTATACATCTTTAAATTATTGTGGACAATATTACAAAATGTGTCTTTTTCACAAAATGTATATTAAGAAATTCCAGCATATATATCAAGGCTGTATTTTGTACGGGAGAGGTATTTATGTAGGCATTTACACTTGTATTACACCCATTTCTTTTTCAAATAAATATTGTTTAAACCATTATCCTCAATAATCCTCACTTCTCCTAAATTATTGTTATTGAAAACACCAAACAAAAACAGTTAATACACGTATGTGACCAATTTGGGGCCATAACCAAACCTCACTTCTCCAGTATGTGTCATTGTCTCTGGCATATCTGGCTTTTGAGGTGACAATTGTTAGATTAAATTAGATCTACTAATTGTTAAACCAACAAAATAACAATTAATAATGTCAAATTGGAGGCTACACTCTCATGTAATAATTGCATAACTTCTTTGAGAGGCATTTATAAGTTGGTGTACTATGTAAGGATAAGATATATGGATGAACAACTTCTTTATTACGTTTCGGTGTAGGTTCGAACACTTGCTTGATAATGGTGTTAGAACCTACACCGAAACGTCGCTCCTAATTGCATGTACATTTCGGTGTAGGTTCTAACACTTGCTTGATAATGATGTTAGAACCTACACTGAAACATCGCTCCTAATTGTAATAAAGAAGTTGTTCATCCAAATATCTTATCCTTACTAAATAACTGTATACACTAAAAACCAGATTTTATTTGGGTCCGTTTTCGGGTCCATTTTGTCCAAAATTTGGTGCTTTTTGCATTGGAACATTGTCTCCTGGTCCCGTTTTGTGCTGAGGTGTAAGAGGAAGTGTAAAAATTGTTGTCAGGGTTGATACAATGAAACAAAAGAATGCAAAGTTACCAAGTATTCGAAATTAAACAAAACGAAACCAGACAAAATTGATATCACAAATGGTGTTACTGTTAGGACAAGAAAAAGATTAATGTGTGTTCATTGCAGGCATTCAAGATCTAGGCCGATCTATCAACTGACCTCTTGAAACAAAGTCGTCCAGTCGTTTCTTAGATCTAACTGACAAATTCAAAAATACTTCAGTCTCCGTTATGCAAGGACCTGTTATGATCTCGGTGCACATTTGACTTCAAACATGGAATCGTCATAAAAACATTATGTCATCACTGCGCCAGAGTGTGCGGAGTTTGTAGATTGGGCTCCTGTCTACCTAACTGACGCGACCCCTAAATCGAGCTAAACTTGCGCCGACGAAATATTTGATATTATTTTCTTGATGAGTAATTCAACGTACGTCCACATTACACCATATAACGTCAGTATGCCATCACAGATATAGATCTTACATTCAACCCTTGATAAAACCTATTGCAAATAAATATATGTTTTATGTGTATGAAGGGTATCTCGAACTTAGATCTTATGTCATGTTTGTCAAGTAATTGTAAATTATTAGTTGTGACACAAGTACCCCTCACCATTGGCGGCAAGCTCCGCGAACTGGCTATCGCTGTGAGGAGCTTGGAGCTTCGGGAACGAGTTATCGCTGCGGGGAGCTTGCTTTCTCCCCACCCACCATCAACAATAGCACTGCAAGAGATGGATGACAACGTAATTTCAGGTATGTGCAGGTACTATGTATTGATTGACCGCAATTTATATCGAGCAGGTCGTGTTGCGATTCCGAAATTATTAAACATTTGACATGACATGTTCTTAATACAACACAGACTGTAGTGACAACTAGTAGCTAGATCTACCTGTTCGTACATTGGTAGATTTGTAACAGTAATTGCACGCATTCTCTCGGTAGTCTCGTGACCAAGTACTTCCGTATCTCCTGTGTCATTTCGAAAACTGCCAGTTTTTATATCCATTAGGTCTAGTTCGTTTTGTAACCATGTTTTTCACCAGGTTATTTTCAAGGAGGAATTTCAGTTAGACTGACAATAAAATTAATGTTGACCTGGCTTTAACTTACAGTTTGAGTTCAAAGTCAGTTAACTCGGGTACTCGGGTCGGGTGGGTACTGAGTAGGACCCGGGTGGGTACTGATTAGGACCTGGGTACCCCCATGACTACCAGGGCCTTTGGTTATAGTCATGTGATATATGTTTTATGACATTAACAATAACAATTCATGGTTACACTTTATATAAGTGCAAGTCTCTAATGTTCGCTTTCTTTCTGACTGTGCACACATTCTTTCTGCTTATTAGATGTTTGAATAAAGACAAAACTTCAGTCAACTTCTGTGTATGCACGATCATATCGTTTTATACTATATCTAAATACTTTTTGCCCGGGCTCCAGTATAAAACATCCCAATTGAACATTTTGTACCCAATTTGAGACCTCCAGTGGGTACCCGGGTAGGGTCTGGTACCTGGGAAGTAAATTTAGACTCATCCCAGCCTTAGTTCACACAATAGTAACATAATACTGGTCACTGACCAGTTGTCACCCTTTTTTTCATGTTATTTCTGACATATTCCAAGTACAGAGTTGACTGTACCAATAACTTTAATTTTGGGGAAACTCGGGCGGAGCATATGAGCTTATTTCTATCCGTGGAATAAGGTTCAGTTGATTGCTGTTATAACGCAACGATAGGGACTCAAAACAGTGGAAATAGAACTTTCCCTTCGATTTACAATTCCAGTTATCGCCATCGTCTTAACAGCTCGTGCCACGTGATTCACGTGCAACACTTCAGTTAGACAACTTACATTTTTTAGTATCTCGGGTATCCCACTCAATTTTATTATTTATCGAAATGAATACGAAATACTATCATAAAATTGTCGTTTGCAAACTGACGAAAGTCAGTATTCCCAAATTCGAATACTTATCCTTAACACTATGTACTATGGATTTCGCGATATATACAGGTTAAGCAATTTTGGAGTATGTCTCAAATAGGTATCAGAATTGTATTTTGTGGAAGAAACAGAACTGAAAGTGTATCATTGTGTTGTTTGACTTATATTTTCGCGTGATTTAGTCACGTGACATCGCCCGCATGTCTTTTCTAAAGTTGTATTTGAGCAAGGTGATTTTGTTGGGTTTTTTAAATATTTCCTCACAAGAGTCCGTTTTGTTCATCATTTTCTGATAAAGTAGTTCTCTCTTCTAATGAAATCGAGCAAAAGTAAAATGAGATGCAATCACGTGCGTGCTATAACGGGGAGTTGGTGACAATTGGTCCTCGGCCAACTGTTCGCCTGGCCAGTAAACATAAAAAAGTGAACGGAGCACCTTAAAGAAAAACAACACTCCAACTTTTAATTAGCTCGCATAATCACTAGAAACCAATTACTCTTGCAAATCCAGCAATCGAACTAAATCTGCATGACAGTCGCCATGTTGTTTACGAACTGAATGTCGATTTTGCCAAAATATAACTATAAATGCCAGCCTAGTTCGGTAAGATGTGTATGGATAAAGTAGACCATAGTATGAAACGAGGAAGGCTTTAGGATTGCTAGTGACACAATGAGTTCAATAGGAGTTTCCTCCAGCCATTACATGCTCTGCTCTCTAGATGTTTTTTGTATCAAGAATACATGCAGCTGACAATGTGAACCCAATAAAATGAACAAGAATACCCTGACAAGTGCTTGAAAAATACATGAGAATAAATGGGTACCAGCTCACCGTTCACATCTTTTATCCATCCTTGTCATTACATGATTCATTTCAAAAGATGACCCAGGGTACATAAGTAGTTTTTGGACCAGAGACATTTGGAAGAGTGCAGCATCAATAAATAAATATCCTTACCATAAACTGCATTCCTATGCATAAAAGTGAAAACTACCAAATACGAAAATGAAGATATGTAATAGTATATCAGTTCCAATTAATAATCCCTTAATCCTCATGAATTAAGTTTTAAAAATACCACAAAATAATATATTTTAAAAAAATACTTAAAAAAATGTGCTTGTGATAAAATGTTTACAAATATTGAAAACTCTCAACATCACAGGGCTTATTCAGTGACATTACATGTAGAGATGATAGGTCACTGAGAGGAGCTTATGCACACTCAATGTTCCAAAAGCCTGTTGCTGGGCTGATGTCACTGGGCATTGTTTAACAAAATACAACAATTATGTTGTAGGGTATTGTGACCTGTTTGAAGAGAAGGTGGAAGTGAAATCTAAAGAACAGCTTTCTATAAGCAACTGGAGTAACAAAACCACCTGAGGGAGTGAGTGAGTTAAAGTTTAAGGTCACATCGGCAATATTTCAGCCATATCGTGACCACCTGAGGGTAACGAAACTACCAGGATATGAAATGAAATAAAAAAGAAACCGATAGACTGATTTCTGTCGTACAAATGTAGATCATATCAAATTTACACTGACTGACTTATGGTTTTTGTTTAGATATGTTAGATGAGGAACTATACATCTCACTACAACAACATATGGGGGTACTAATTAGGGCTGGGTGAGTCCAAATTTACTACTACCTGATCCCCCAATTACCCGAACCTACCCAGGTACCTGCTGTGGGCCTCATGAGTTGGGTATCAAATGTCTGATGGTTTTACTGGGGCCTTGGCAAACAGTATTCAGATACACATATAAAACAATCTGGTCATGCATGCATTGAAGTTTTTGTTCAAACATAAAAGTCAGAAGGAATATATGTATAATCAGAAAGAAAAGTAAACATTAGTGACTTGTAGTGTCAACATGGAAGGATAGAGAATTGTCATTAAACAATACATCATGTGACTAACCAAGGGCCTGGGTAGCCTTGTGGGTAGTTGGTACATGGGTCCTACTCCTCAGTACCCACCCGACCCCGGTACCCGAGTTACCTGTCCCAGCCGTACTACTTATATGCATTAGTCTGTTTTAATCCACATAATATTTGACGTCCCTCTTTTTGGGTGAAGTGATATAAAAAGGATGGTGTAACATCAGATTTTTTCTTCCATTATATTACTTGGAATCATTACCGACATTATATTTCCAATCAGGAATCTCTTGTTGTCAAAGGCCAATTTACTAACGATACAAGGGTTGACTTATGAATTCTGAGCCTCACATAGAAGGAATTGAGTAATAGTGAAATGTTTTGTTGAGGACATTACATGATGTTATGGAGGGTTTCCAGAAAAACTTGAGTCTCTTGAGCCAATTGTTTCATTGTGACAAGTCAATAAAATAAGCAGGGGCCTGTGACTTTGGAAAATGGACAAACTTGAAGAACATGCAATGATCAAGTACTTGCAGAAGGGCTTAGCACTAAAAGCCATCCATGAACATACAAGTCGGACACCGGGAAGGATGCCCCTTCCTCTGCCACCGTACAGAGGTGGGAGCAGTTTCAACATGATCCCTAGAATCCCTGATGTGCTGATGACTTTCTGGCAAATGACGCAGCTTCATATTGCTAGTTCAGAAGAAATTTCCCAGGAGAGAATACAGTATCAGCTCGTTGGGTTACAAATTCAGCTCTGTTTGAAGCTGATCCAGAAAGGTTCATGCAATGATTTGTGACTATGTATGAAACCTGCGTTCACCACTTTCAGGTTGAGTCCAAAGGAGGCAAAGACTGTCCCGACAGCTGGAAAGGTTATGACAGGATGAAATTAAGACTTAAGAGATGTGAGAACCTGAGAAAATGTGTGCTCTTCCATCAGGACAAAGCATCAGAGCACAAATGAGTCATTGCTTGAAAGCTACAATCAATGAGTGTGGCTTTTAACTCCTTCAGACCCACCTAATTCTCCTGATATGGCTCTTTCAGACTTCCATTCTTCCAAAACATGAAGAAAGCTCTAGCCAGAACTCTTTTCGACTCGAACGATATCGTCATAGCAACTATAGAGAACTTTTTCGGCAGCCAAGAGATGAACTTCTACAGAACTGAGGGAAAATCCCTACAAACATCATTGATTATGCTGAAAAATAATTCATTTTAATGTCCTTAAAACAAGTGTTCTATTTGTGGCTCAGAACTTATCAATCACCCCTTGTATTTAAAAATCAAACCATAAACATTAGTCACAGATATCTGTTTTACATTGGTCATTGTTGATCTTGTTGATAACAATAATCACTTGTGATAATTAGAGACCCTTTCATGTCTTATATTGATTCATGTAAACTAGGAGTGAAGCTGATTATGATGAATCCTTTGACACTGAACACTGAACGGTCTTTATGATGCATCACATAGCCGGCAGTCATGTTTCAGGCTTAACATGCTTAACGTACAAAATGTGAAAGCCTTGTTTTTCAGAATTACCATGTGTGCCTTGGACAGATGTCATCAGTGTTGATGAATGGCTGAAGACACAACCATGGGAAACATTTAAGGAAAAATTCAACAATGATGGATACTTGGTAAGATATATGGACATTTCTGGTGTTTATCACATGAGCATATCACGCAACAGGCTAAAATAAAGCTAATAGGGTTTTATTCCCCTGTGGAGAATCCGAGGCAGAAGTTATTAGAATGCCATGATTTATTTAGATCTACTCAGAGGCTGGTGTTTGGGCCCAAGCCTTCAACAAATTCAAGTTAACCTTCCCAAACTGAAATTACAAATTAGTTACAACTAATGTTAAAGTTTAGCAGGCCACTTGTGTTTCCCTGATAACTCTGATAACAGGAGCAATAAACATGTGATGAGGAAGCTCTCGTGCTTTGTCTCGTGCCTTGTCTCGTGCTTTGTTATACATTTATTGTATTGAATTCAGTGTTGTAACACCACTGAAATTAAGAAAATGAGAACTATTGCAAAATTACCAATTTCATTTTTTTTATACCCCCGACAAAATGTCGGGGGTGTATAGTTATACCAAGGTTCCGTCCGTCTGTCTGTCCGTCCGTCCGAAAACTTTGTCCGCTCAATTTAAACTCTTAAACTATTCAGTGGATTCATCTCAAACTTAGTACATATAATCTGTGTCATATGGAGGGGTGCAGTCAAAAGAAAAAAAATGTTTTCATTAATTTTCCATTTTTTATGAATTTTTCAAACCCTAACGTCCATCTGAAAACTTTGTCTGCGCGATTTCTCTTAAACTATTCAGTGGATTCATCTCAAAATTAGTACATATAATCTGTGTCATATGGAGGGGTGCAGTCAAAAGAAAAAAAATGTTTTCATTAATTTTCCATTTTTTATGAATTTTTCAAACCCGAACGTCCATCTGAAAACTTTGTCTGCGCGATTTCTCTTAAACTATTCAGTGGATTCATCTCAAACTTAGTACATATAATCTGTGTCATATGGAGGGGTGCAGTCAAAAGAAAAATATTGTTTTTATTAATTTTCCATTTTTTAATGAAATTTTCAAACCCTTACCCTATCCTATTTAATTTGTAACTACTGACACACTAGGCGGGTCGGGGTTATTAGTGAGCCAAGCTCACTTTTGCACTTGTTTTTTTTTAAAATGCCCAATTTATCTGCCAATGTCACTTTTTATAGAATTCTAGACAAATAAATCCCTTGTACGCCATGCTTGTCACAAGCTTGCAGACTAAAAAGAGGATTGGGTAGTTATGATGTGTAATCAGATTGTTTTTCTTTGTATGTCTTAAAGTTAAAATGAAAAAGAGTGTTTGAATTGAAATTACAGTCAATTCTCCTATTTTTGCAGATTTCCATTTTCTTGTGGCAATGCTCATTCTCATTTCCCACACTTGTGGGTTGTTAGCCCTGATGGTAGAATACCATAGCTATGAGCATCGTTAAGACCATGATGCAAACACTGAAGTACATGTATTATTTGTGTTCTATTACCATGGTACCCCACTAGTTCTACTTCGGATATTGTTAAGAATGCATGCAAATTCCTCCTCTGTGGACTTGCATGTGTAAGTTTTACTAGAAGCATTTTAGTCGTATGTTTGTTAATGCTTTATTAGAAAACATATGCAGTGTTAAAATAGTCTTATTAATCATGTTAATCCTCCTAGTAGGATTAAGCAGCACATAAAAGGAGTGATTGAAGCTGCCTTTAACAACCAGGTGTACACTACTATTTCATTAGATGAAGTCCCCCTTTATTCCTTCTGACAGGGTGGGACTGCCTCCGTGGTCCAGTGGTAGAGCGACCTCCCGGAGAGCAGAAGGTCTGGGGTTCGATCCCCGGCCACGTCATACCAAAAGCCGTTAAAAGATGGTACTTGTTGTTACCCTGTCTGGCACTTGGCTTTAAGGGGCTAAAACAAGGACTGGTCGGCTCAGAGTCAGTATACTGTGTCTGAGTGGGGTATTCATGTTAAACTGCGGCATGGTATCTCAGTGAGCTAGCACTATAAACTGCATTAGTCCGGACTAGTAAGCATGCACGCACACATGCATGTTGCTATATAAGTGCAATAACCTTGGACGCGATGTTAACCTTATTTCACCTAACCTCTAAGAGGATGATCAGCTTAATCCAAGAAATTCATTGAGTTAAATTAATAATAATATAAATATTTATGACTTCTACTCTCATAAGAATGTTTCATTTGTTTCAGATAATTGAGAGTATTCTTGATAAACAGGAAGTGGCTGTTTATCGAGGTAAGACAATTAATAATCGCCTTTTCAGTCCTGCTTTGTCACAGAATGTAATTGTTCTACAAACCCCGTCAGTTTATGTGTAGACACATGCTTGTTCTACAGCCGAGTGATCAATTTAGGCAATAAACATTTTCTGTCTTCAGCTATACCTGGGTGATATTGAGTGTTTGATACTCTGGAATTGACAATATCAGGAGAGGTTTCAGATGTTGACGTTTCTCTTTAATATTAACAGGTGTTGAAGTCGTATCCTTTTGATGCTCTTCCCATGTTAAAACTCCTTTATATTATCCCTCCCAAATCATTAACAGAAGCAAACCATATTAGGGCATCTTCCCGAGGCAAGAGAGTTAACTAACTAAAAAAGTCCAGTTTCCAGCCTTGCCGAACTAGGCTGGAATTACTGGGCTCGATTGTAGCGTCACCAGTTATGTCCCCTCTAAGCCTCTCCTATGGACCAATCAGATTCCACCTCTCGTATCACTTGTGTTTGCTTCACACAAAATGGTGGCGCCCAGTCAGGGCGATCAGATCGATAATCAAGATCTATATTGTGATAAAACGGGTTTACATCGCAAAATGTATCAAATCACGCGAGCACCTTGATTAAAAACATGAAAAGATTTGGAAAATATCTGCTGACAACGAGTTGGCGGTGCACATGCTTTGCAAACCCTGCAATCGACCGAAATGTGCACGAAAGATTACGAACCGGATTTCGGTGCGCTATTTTGATTGGACTATGCATAGACTCGTTAGTCCAGGCAAAATGTAACTCCATAATACCAGCCTAGTTCGGCAAGTTTTATAGTCAGTAAACTCCCTTGCCTCCGGAAGATGTATTAGGGTGGCCACAGGTGCTCCACTTATCGAAGGCACAGCAATTTGATGTGAAGAGTTGCGTCTCTTGGGTGTGCCAGAAACCTATGATTGTGGGTTTGAATCCTTGATTTGCCCAGATTATGTTTCAGGGTTTCTCATCACCATACCCACGCTCATACATTTAACAATAATTGTAAGCGTGTAAGACCAGCATCTCTTCATTCTACTCAGCCTTTCATGCTGAAATAGTCTCTCTGTTACTCACAATTTTAATCATGTTATTTGTGTAAAGGATTATCACAAATTTAGTAATTGACTCATTGATTTAAAATTGAAAGTATCCGATTATCAATTAAATTGTTTGATTAGAACATATCATCTTTCATTTAACAATGATCTGTTATCCTTCAGACCTGGTGGAGAAGATGCTGTCAGGGGAGATAAACACGTCAACTCACCGACATGATCTCGGAAACCATGGTAACCACATACACAAGATTTCCACTCCATGGTTTGATTCAGTTTTCCTAATGTCTATCCCCATTTTAGTGGGTTTACAGATCAGCTGATACACAATTTGACACATGTGAAATAAAAAAGACTGAAATGGGTCACATGATCCTTTTGATTGTTATAAGTGTTGACATAGTGAGGATCATATCCTGTGCGACCTGGTTGGTTGTAATCTCCTTAAAACCAGATCTTTTGTTCCAATTCAATACTTCTTTCCATCAAGATTGGTGAACCCTGAGCCAATGCTTTGGTTTCGGAGCCAATCAGATAAGAGCATTTTGAAATCTTTGGCTTCACTTCAGTCAACAAGATCCATTGTCAGACATATTTCCTGTTTGTCACTTTTCTTTACCGTCTTTGTACATGATTCTGAAAAGTTTGGTCTGTACAATAGAAAGCCCGAAACACAAATTGTCTTTTGCCAGTATGCTCTTTTCGGTGTAGATTATCATTCTTCTTTTAGAACTGCCTGTTCACATTCATATTTGAGATACAGAAAACAGATATACTGCTTGAATGCTTTGCTCAATTGTACTGAGAATTAACCTATCGCCAGAGCGGAGTTAACCTTGCCCCAGCAATAGGGACAAATTAGTCATCAACATGTATGGGTATTTTTTAAAATCTGTAAACTTCTCATAATGAGTTATGTTACATTTCCAAAGATACTGATGTTTCTGAGTGACAAAATATATGTTTAAAACATCTGTTACTTTGACAAAAGTCAGACAGGTTTAAAGTTGTTGAACAAAATGGCAGCTTTTGACTTTCTGATTGGTCCGTCAAGTTGCTTGATTCACAGGGGGCAAGAGCTTATAGTAGGAAGCCTATACCCTGATTATCCTGATTGGTTTATTAGAAAGTCCCCCTGTTTGTCAGATCTTGACGAGAGATTGGGTTGGTTGTTGGACTGAACCAGTATTTAAAGGCATGATGTGATATGTAATATTATCATATTTCGAAAATATATCGTGAAGTTGCAGTTTATGATGCAAGGGATAAAATTAACTGACTTTATTTCTTCCAAGTCATACATGATCTAGACTGTTTATCATAATAATAATGTCATCCCACTGAGTTACTGAGTACACTGTAGAATGCATGTGAAACAGACTGTTATATTTCTGACAGCGGACAGGAAGAGAAGTGACAAGGAGAATATCTGCCAGATTATGTGGCCTAGTCTCTTTGTGGACCGCTTGAATGAGGTAGGGGACATCTTCAGTGTGTCAGGGTAGTTTATAGTTGTCAGACAACTCCCATCATCAGATGGCATATTGTGAAGTATGTTTTATGTATGTGTTGCAAATGGGTGAGCAGGATCTGCTGGTCATGGTTCGATCCTAGATTTTGCTGATTATGAACCATGGTTTGTCAGTACTGTAGCCCAGCTCATGACCTTCACCAAAATGGTAAATGTTATGACCGTGTTCACTTTGAACAAACTGGTGGACTTTCCTCCCAAAATACCAGCAAGCTAAACTACAGTGGTTTGTATTGGTTCCAAGCAACCTAGGCTGGTTATAAGAGTCGACTAAATGGTTTGGGTTGTCAGGGTCGGTAACTTTGTTGATGGCATGTCCAGGTTCCCTAACAGCGTTGATAGATGCTCATAATATCAATCACTGGATTGTCTGGCCCAGACTTGATTATTTACAGACAGCCGTCATATAGCTAGAAACTTGCTGAGTGCGGCATTAAATAACAAATAAATAAACAAACAAACAAACAAGTTTGTTTTTGATGACTTTTAGTTTCAAGCATTTGTATTGAGTGAGTGAGTGAGTGAGTGAGTGAGTGTGCCTTGGATGACCCATGTGCCCTCGTTTTATTGAATATCTTTGAAATATGGAGTCATGTGATGGTGCACACATATAAACTTCATTGTCAGCTGAAGCCTTTTCCTGTTTGGTAATGAATTTTTAATCCTGTTGAAAGTCTGTGCCCAAAACATTTGAGTATACTAGCCTGAACTAGCTCTCATCACAATTTCAGTAGATGTGATATATTTGATGATCTGATGTTTCTAGACCAAACATGACTTCTTGCTAATGGGTATAGTCGCACACAGTTGATATTTTGTAATGTCTCTCAAAACCATTCAATATATCTTTGTGAAGCACCAAAGAAAGAAAGATTCTTGTTGTTATTTTGATGTTTTGTTCTTTTCCTCACTATCCATGTCATGGAATTGCTCTCTGAAGCAGAAATATAACAATCAACTTATCAAAACTGGGGTGTTTAGTTCAATACCATATATATCATATTTAATATGTTTGCATGTGATTACGTGGCATTCCATAAACCCCCAAAACACTGGGCCACTCCTGGTAACAGAGTACTGTGTCCTGATAATAGAATGGGCTGAACTTGTGTTGCATTATAGTGCTGTAAAATGACACAGATGACGTACTGTTGTGTGTATTTTTGTGTTGATGATTAGCCTACTACATTGTTATTGTTGATATATTTATTGATAAGAACTGACTTCAATATGTTTTTGCATTTACGGAGATATCCACATGAAGACCGATGTGCACACTTGGCGCAGTAAATCCATTTTGCAGATTTACACAGTATGCAAAAATATGAAATTCCATTCTTAACAATGATGCATTAGATGTTTGTAAGTCTAAGAATCAGGTAGTGATAATTACCTGGATTCATTATATGGTATTTCATGCTACAGTGTTTTCATTGTTTCACTCCATAGGGTCCACTCCATGCACGAACAATGGCCGTGGCTAAAATCATCATTGGAGACGATTCTGGGTTTGACTTTGACATGGTCCTGTCTAAGGTGATTAGATTTGTAATACAGGATATGCTGGAGGCTGGTAAGAAGTGATTGTAAAGTGATTAGGCAGGGTATGAAACTCCCAAAAATTTCAGCCAGACCACAGGACTGGCTAGTTGAAATACTTGCCAGCCCTGACCAAAACCTGCCTGCCCACTATAATCATATGTTTCTCAGGATAAGCTAACGGGGTTTCTTTTGGGTTACATTTTATCATTCATCTTTACATGTGAATTAATGCTTATCATCGGGAAATATTTAGAATATTTTCACATATGAAATATAACCCGACCGTCGGGCAGGGGGATTTGAAAATCTGGCAGCCCGAGTTGAAATCAACCCGTCTCGGACGGTCGGGCAGGCAGGTATTTCGAACACTGGATTAGGTGTTATTTTTAGAGAGATAGGGATATGATTGTGTCATATGGGAGAGATGGGGATGGGGATGGGGTTGGGTTGACCACGCATGAGGAACATGTCTGCCTCTGGACCCTGTTCCACAAGACAATGCTATCTCAGCGATTGTAATTATATGTGAAGGTATGGGAGGACGTAACAAATGTTGGCATGTTGGAAAGTTGTTTTGGTTGGTAAAACTGATAACAAACTTCTCTGCTGATTTCAGCAAGTTTAATGTTGCATTGCCACAACAAAAAGATTCTTCTAGTAAGCTATGTGTTTTCAATGGATACAGATAAGAGTACCAATAAATGCTGTTTATCGTTGTCCAATCACAGCCTCCAAGACATCCGGCACTTCCTGTCTACACGTTTAGGTAGACAGGAGTGTTAATATGAATACAAAACTGTAGCTGTGAGGACACTGCATATTGTCAGTGGAGATGACCAGCTCCATAAGCGTACTAGGTGTGAGTTGGCCAAAAAGCGTGTTTGTATATTGTAGAGATAGTGAAGTAAATGGTCACCTTGACTTAGAGTACTGCTGTCCCGACCGAGTTTAACAAGGGGCCCTTTCAAACTTGTGTTGATTTAACCTATTTTGTGTAACAGGCTCCTCACACCGGAACAGAGACACCATGGCACCAGGACGAGTCCTACTGGCCAGCCCTCGATGACAAGCGCTCTGTCAGCTTCTGGGTATGTCACTATGTGTAATGATTGCATTACTTATGTCGGGATCTATACATAGCGATGTGATCTTGCCACACTCTCACTGTTGAAGGGAACATTGTCAGGAGCATGTAATGTAGATCCCAGTAATCCATACAAACAAGGTACAATTGCACAACGAGGAGGGAATACAAGTAAAGTATCAGCATACACAGTTCTCAATACATTACACTCTGTATTGCAATCTACCACAATTCTATATTAATATGCTGTAGTCATCCAGTTATGGTCGTTGTTACAATTTCCCATGAGGTAGGCATAGTGTGCCGGTATAAAGGTCTGTAACCATGGTAACAGTAGTTTTCTAATAAATTGATAGTTATTTTTTGTGCATAAAAAATGTAAACAGGTTTTGTATTACTTGAATTGAACAAACAAAGGCTCGAGACATGGTTTAAGTAAGGGAATAGTAAATATTCAGCTCACCTGCAGTCGTAAATCAAGGTATTTCTGGTTTAACTGTAATACCACCTACACAAGCACCCATTAAGGGATGCATACACAATTTCAAATCGTATCCCAAATGCATGGATCGATGCTCATGATGTCAATCACTGGATTGTCTGGTCCAGACTCGATTATTTACAGACTACTGTCATATAGCTGGAATATTGCTGAATGCGGTGTTAAACATACAGACAAACAAACATACCCATGACACACAATGCTTATACATTTTTACCGCAACTTTTATAATACATGTAGCTTAATTTTATCTAGGTGCACCAGTACTTTGGTAGATTATTGAAGTCCTAGAAATGCGAGATGCATGATGAAATAAGAACTTGATCCCAACTGACCATGATTCCTTCACAGACGGCAATGGATGACGTGTTCCGAGATTCTGGATGTATGTGGTTCTCGCCTGGCTCTCACAAGAAAGGTCTTCGAGCTCACAGACCCCAGAAAGAGGGATGCCATGTTCTGACCTGTGAGGGCAGTGAGGTGGGTATGATTCCAGGCCATGACAACAGGGAGCTCATGTCAAATTGGGAAAGCCATACTTTAATACATGTATATCTTTTAAGGACTTCTGGAGGATTTGTTTTGCAAGTTTTACTATGCAGGATATATCCTTCAAGTCTGGTAGCCTTGTGGTTAAGGCATTCACTCATCACACCAAAGGTCCGGGTTCGATTCCTTACAGGGTACAATGTATGATGGCTATCTCCGGTGTCGCCATCGGGATGTCACTCACTCACTCACGCTACAGCATACATCTTATGTAATGGTTGTGTTAATTTGGCCAGCTGTGTATCACAAGGATCACATGGGTAGTAGACACGAGGGTTGTCTTGAATCACGATGATACTTGGTCATTGATTTTAAGTTGTATCTTGTATCATACTTATACTTTATTACCAACTGATGCGATTATTACTTTTAATATTTGTGTGAAGCCCATTTCTGGTGTCCCCTGCCGTGATATTGCTGGAATATTGCTAAAAGCGGCGTAAAACCATACTCACTCACTCACTTTTAATATTTGCTTTTGTTGTGATGTCCGTAGGTCTGTATTAAGATTATTGAATTTTTTTAAATAAAGGTATTTCTAAAAATATAATTATTTAATCTAACTGTTCAAATAAATAGATAAGGGGGTTAGTGTGAATTTTATAGCTGTGCACCGTAATTAACACACCTTTATGCAATTCTCAAAATGATGTTGTCTTCAATCATACTTGGTTTATCAGTTCTAAGCCTTGGAGTTTAAACTTACAATTTCAACAGTAAAACACCAATTCATCTGACATTTATATCAAATGTACCAAATTGCCACCTGTAAAGATTTTAAGACACAGAGTGGATTGATCAACCTGGATGACACATGTAGAAGGTTGCCATGTGTTGTCAGGCAGAGGGCTTCCCTGCAGAGATCAAGGCGGGTTCATGCACTCTCCACCACGGCCGCACACTGCACTACACCCGCGGCAACACCACCGATAACCAGCGTCGTGCCTTCGTCACAGCGTACCGGCCAACAGATATGATCACGTCCATGAGAGAAAGGGGCTTCGATCATGGCAAAAGGGTAAGGATGAGAAGATTAATGTTAGTGTTTTAACCTATTTGTTGCTGTCATTATTGAAATAACAGTGAGGCTATTCTGTGACTATTTCGGGGCAGGAATTGATCCTCAGTATTGGTTCTTATAAGGGCTGAATTAAGTAGGACTGGCTTGTATTAGCATGTCTTCACTGCATGTGAAGATTCCGGGGTAAAATAGGTCTTCAGCAACCCATGCTTGCCATAAAAGGCGACTATGCTTGTCGTAAAAGGCGACTAACGGGATCGGGTGGTCAGGCTCGCTGACTTGGTTGATGTATGTCATCGATCCCAATAGCGTGGATCGATGCTCATGATGTCAATCACTGGCATGTCTGGTCCAGACTCGATTATTTACAGACCGCCGTCATATAGCTGGAATATTGCTGAGTGCGGCGTTAAACAACAAACCAACCAAAAAATCACTGCATGTCATCTTACCCTGATGGTGCCGTTTCTTTAAACTGATATTTTTCATCCTGAGACAATTAATACCTCCTCTCTGCATGAAGAAGTGACAACACGTTATCAACCTTTTAGCCTCGAAGCTTCTAACTTCTTGGTACAAGTGAACAAAGCATGCACACCAGCATGTCTGATTTATGTATCTCGAAAAAGAACAACCAGTTCTAAATGTAAATAATTAAAGCTGTGCCGTTATGTTGGTGTGGATATTTTATACACCATGTTGCCCAAGAACCAAAGTAAAAGATCTAATTCGTGATATTAAGTAGACACAATTTATGGATAACAAGTTCTTTAATTACTTTTAAGGTGACGTTTCAGTATAGATCCTTATACTGATGTGAAGCAAGACTGTGATATTGTTGTGCCGATTTTTGCAAGGTTGTAGTTAGGTAACAAATGTTATATTTGGGATAACACTTTCTTAGTAAAGTACAGATTCTCGTACTTTTTTGGGTTGAGTACCGTCAGCGATCTAACCCACTGAGGCTTCCACAAAAATGAATGTATGGTAGTCTAGATCACGTACTTTGAGTTCTTCTCTGACGAGTTGAAATTTGCACGGCTCCCATGGCCGAAAGCTATGAATACACAATGCCATTTAGAAAGTGGTCAAATGTAACAAATGTTATATTTGGGATAACACTTTCTTAGTAAAGTACAGATTCTCGTACTTTTTTGGGTTGAGTCCCGTCCGGGATTCGAACCCACACTTGCCAGAGTGAGGCACCTAATCGCCAGCACACAAAGTCAGCGATCTAACCCACTTAGCCACCGAGGCTTCCACAAAAATGAAAGTCCGACAACTGGTAGTCTAGTCTAACGTTGTAGTTAGGACCTACCATTACTATAACTTCAAATAACTTGTCTATAATGTTACAAAAATTTCTAAAATTCAGGTGCGTTTATGTTGTTTATAAACTTTATGTCTGATAAATATCTGTAAAGCTGTGAATCGTGTCATCCGATTGGTTGTAATTCTATTCACTACTGCTTCTTGCGTCACTCTGACAGCCAATCAAGTTGATTATAACAAAATCTATTAAAGGGTGATGAAATGTAGGGGTGTAGTGACTGACCAAAATTTGGTGCCTCACGATATTCTGTGCCGCTATAAAAATGTCATATAGTGATGTCCTGTATCGATACAAAAGATACAAAGATCTTTAGGAGTGAAGTGACATTTTATGAAAAGTAATTAAGAATACTATTTTCAAAGAGGTCACCTTTTCGTTTCGAAAACAAATGTATTCTGTCAGATAATTGATACTGGCTATGATTTTAAAAAATGACGTTTATATGGAAATATGTGGTGCTTGACGTTTTTCCAGATGTGTGCAGTACTGTCAGTGTTGAAGAGGGACCATGTATTTTCTTGTTTGCAGGGGCTTGCTAATTCTGGACTTCTAAATTCTGGGCAAACCCACCAGGGAGACCAGGAGTAGTCAGCATCCCTATCAGACAGCGCCATTCGTACAGGCTCATGTACTGGAGTACAAGAAGTATTATTCAAGAAGGCTCCTTGGCATCCACAATGATTAATAAATCATTGTCATCAGTCATTGCAGTATGTCATTGTAATATATCCTTGTTATACAAATGGGAGGGAGTGTGTGGTGCAGTCACACTGGTTGGGAAAAAATGAAATGGGATTCAAAGCTTGGACATGTTCTTTTAACTTCACAAAATATTTCCCTTGATGGAATTATCATGTGTCAAATGTGAAAAAAACCATTTGACTCAGGGAATGTGACTATTGTGTTCATCGTATAACATATTTTTAACAAAAACATTGATTTAGGTTTGTTGTTTTCATTCTGCTATCATCCATTGTATCATGTGACATATGTGATGACTCACAGTTGGTTGAGTGTGTAGAAAGGAGTGCTACAGAAAATGTCTGATAACAATGTATTAACAATGTCAGTATATGCCATTGGTTCCAAATGAAATGTCTGGTGATTGAAAAGTCAATAACACCATAAGATCTGAAAACACTCCATTTTTATCTCCTAAAGAAGGCTTGCTAGCCAAAACCACGGTAGGTACAGGTCTCTGCTTCTTACCTTCTTAGTGACAGCACACAGACAGCACTAATGCTGTGTGGCCAATTTCCTGTAATATATATATATATTTTTTACTGATGTTTAACCTATTTATTTGTTCACTGTTAGTGATGTAGACCATGCACTGATATCTGCTTGTGACAATAATTGTCAGATGTCATACTTATTGACTCAACAGTTTTAATATAAAGTCTCTGAATGTCAAGATTATAGGGATCTTAATGGAAGAGTTATTCTTGCCTAAACTATTTGACTAGGGTTGCTTCTTGTTTTCAGCATCCAAGGAAAAATTGCAAACATGTGTTTTATGTTTTGTTACATGTTGTTGTTTGTTTGTTGTTTAATGCTGCACTTAGCAATATTCCAGCTATATGACAGCAGTCTGTAGATAATCGAGGCTGGACCAGACAATCCAGTGAGTGATGTCATGAGCATTGATCCACGCAATTGGGATACGATGACATGCATCAACCAAGATCTTCACAGGTCGTGTTTCATGTAGTCAGATGCAAGGACTAAGATGGTTAATGCCCTGTATTTGCACAATTTGTGAACAGACACCTTCCCATGGTGGATCATTGTCGATACTGTGTGTCCACACAAATCAGGCAAATAAGCAGTGTTCGTGGAAAATAGGTGGATGGGTCGCCATGTTCAGCGGCTTGACTCCCGAGAGTTTCAAGGGCTTCAGTTCTCCCCAACACTGAAGCACGTGTAACATGTGGTGTATTGACTTTGTTCAAACTATGCCTCTATTCACCCAGCAATAAATTATGTGATGGAATATGGTCTTGCCACTCAGTAAAACTGATCCTCGGGGAGCATTTTCTTTCTGCTTTTGAGATACACTTCAAAATAGATAGGTAGCCCACAACAGCAGTCACCTGAGAACGAGTTCTTGTTTTCTTGCCGGACAGTTTTGGTATCTGTGCATGAAAAGTGAAACAGGATATTCAAAGAAAGGCTCTGTTGATGTAAAGAGGGTTTTGTCAGCCAAATGGTACGGGAAGGTAGCTTTGATCATTGTCATTAGGCCTGATCCTTTGATATTGTGTGTCTCTTGATATTTGAACCATGTCCTCAGATAAAAGATATTTGTGAATAGTTATTTGCGAAGTCGTACATATCCAGTTTGTAATTCGGATATTATTTGAAAACTTTACTTTTTTTGCTGATAATCTACATTCCTCTCAACAACCAAAATGCATTGATCAAAGCCATCTACCTCCCTACTGTCTAGATTGGGTGTGCAGGTATTGAATGTTCATGTATTGTTTTATGAATGTCTTGTTATGCATTTTTTTATCTTCATCTTCTATGTATATTATTTCACTTTTTTTTAATTATATGGTGACTGCTGTCCTTTTACTTCATGATGCCATATTTTATTACCCAGTGTACATAGTTTTGCTGGTCTGAATGGAAAATCAACTCAAGGCATAAATATAGTGGCTCTGTACAACCCAACATTTCCAGGCACATGCCAGGTGAGCCCTTGAGACTGATTGCTTTATACACTCAGAAAATACTTGATAGGTTTGTTTGTACTGTTCTAGACAGGGTATCATAATGTAATAAACAGTATTTTTCTATTGCCATTGTTGTCTGGACATTTGGAATTCATTGCTCTTCTTAATGTCAACTGATATTTCGCAACGGCTTTTGACGTCCTCCGACTGTGATAGCACCCAGACTCTGAGTAGGCTCTTGGGTGTCAAGGTGGTCATTCATCAGTTGCTTTCCTACCCACACTCACCAACCAATTACAACAGCTGGGGTTGATACATGTCATCGATCCCAATTGCGTGGATTGATGCTCATGATGTCAGTCACTGGATTGTCTGGTCCAGACTTGATTATTTTACAGACCGCCGTCATATAGCTGGAATATTGCTGAGTGCGGCGTTAAACAACAAACAAACAACAACAGCTGGGAGCACCGACTTCTAAGTCAGCTTGTTGGAAGAAGTGATGCAGGTCCATTTTGATGAAACTCACTAACATTGGTCTAGAGCTGACAAGGACCATGACCATAGTCTGGCATACACAAGTTAAATGTTAACGCTGTGGCAGATTCAGTACATGAAGACAAACAAGCAAGCATCATGTGTATGTTCATAAATGCATTTATTGTAGACATTTTCAACAATGCTGCAGTACTGCACATGAGGACTGTACGGACCAGCAGCAACACACCTTGCCCAGACAACGGTTGACATACATATAACACTGACAGTAACATACCCATTCAGACGGTAATCACGTGTACACCCCCCATCCCTACCAGGAGGGGACAACTCTGCTCACACAGAGTCAGAATTAACACAGATCAAAGCAGAGAACTTATCAGGAGAAAACTCTGGGCAATAGTTGAGGTATTTGTGATAGATTGAAATATGGGACTCGCACTGAGGATGAAACACTGGAAGATTTTTCAGATTTATGCTCTTTATAAAATAATCTACACCCATCTAAAAATGTTGATTATCAAATTAAAGATATTTCCACAATGAGTAATTTTGGACATAAAAATCTTGACAGTGGTGCTGTTGAAATTGTAGATAAATCTCCAAAACTGTTGAAACAAGTTTCTAATCTATAGATGACTCAGTCCCAAGCAAGCTGCTATGACTATAATGAAAGGTTAAATGCACAATTGTAGAGAAGTAATGACATGGACAGATTATCTGACAAACACTGCATCTACTTCAGTGTACGCTGCACACTCGCTCCTACTTGACGGATGTATAAAACAGCAAGACAGCACTCTGACAGGGAGAACCGCTGTTGTACAGTCTTCCTCATAAAATAGGGGATATGTTCTCAACATGACAAGCGTCCATCACTAACGCAAGACACAAAACAAACACTGGCAGTGCAGAACAAAATAAGTTCAACATGTACAACAACCAAACCTGAAAAATGTTTAAAACAGTGACTTCATGAACATGTGGGTTAATGTGAGACACAGAGAGGGCCAACAGAACTGGGAAGGTAAAATTCATTGATTCTAAAACCTATAGACTCTTCAGACAGGCAATGGAACCCAGTGGGAATATAATTTCTGACCTGGCTTCATAACAATATAACTAACAAAGCAAAAATATATATACCTTAACTGTATTAAGCTTAACTGCATTAGCTTATTAATAGAGCAAGTTGAAACAGCCTTCCCCAGTTATTGAAAATATGTAGTATAACTACGTAGGAATAACTCAAATATTCATGACTTTATATTGCATAAGAATTTAATATTTTCAACAGTGATAATGGTCAGCGAGTCCTGAGCTCAAAAACAGGATAACTAGAACAGAGAGATCTATGTACGCCACTAAAGATACAACACCTACTTCTCTTCCCTAGTGAAGAGAGCTGAACCGTGATAACATCACCTCGTGTTCCTGTTACCATGCATGCTGCCATCCATTCCCAAAAGCCTGACAGAAAGCAAAACAGACTGTGAGCTGCTGAGATTATGTGACGATGAAGCAGCTGATGCTAGGTGGATTTATATAAGAAAAGTCTACAGTGTATAAAATATGTAATACCTTTTTTGACATGAATGCAACACCATATTTTTGTGAAAGAAAATAAATGGTTCGGGGGAAAAATATCACAAATTTTGACAATTTTTGGGAGGTAACCAAGCCTCGTGTAAGTACCTTTATGTAAATAATACATGCAAACATATAACATAGAAATGTAACATTTACAGATTCTTTGACTTAAGAATTGTCTAAAAGGAAACTTGTCAAAATAAAGGTGAATAAGACTTGCACAAAAAAATGCCCTGTTACCATGGCAAAGACTGAACAACAAATGTCTGCCATCCTAGGCAACAACAATCTAGTTTATCACAGAAAACAATCTCCCAGCCCCTTACATCATACAACCTGGGGATGTCAGTGACATTTTTGCCAACCTCAAGGCAGCGATGTCCAGCCTCTGTATTGCTTTGGCCAAGTAAAAGCCATGTGGACCTTCAAGTGTCATTGTAAAACTAAGGTACCAGCCATGATATCTTATCAAAAGAAAACGGGGACTAAGATTTATATGCCAATAAATTCCATGTCTTCAAAGCAAGTACAAAACTGGATCAATCCAGTAGTCACTTCTTAATAGTTTGATAAATTAAAAAAAAACATCGACATTCTTGGCAAAAATCTCACTTGCATCCTTGGTATGAAATAAAACATGATAAATGATAATGTGTGTATTTTGACAAAATGTGACTTATGGACAAGTGGTAACGACAGACATCAACTACCTAACAACGGGTAACATTGCTCTGCACAGCTCACAACCACGAGGTAACAGCCTCACACACACACACACACACACTCACACTCAGTCACACACACACAAATGAAAACACAATAGTTCATGCAGCCAATAACCTTCAGAAACACGATGTCATGGTCAGAACAAAACTACATGCAGGTGCACTGAAAATGTTCCAAACACTTGTTGAAGCAAATATGACAATGATCGATACATAAGGTCAGTTAGTAGTTTTATGTAAAATTTGTGTCCATCCATATATACATCCTCATGGATGAACGATCAGTTCTTGTTTACAAACCTTTCATCTCAGAAACAGTATGTGATGATAAAATGATGCAATAAAACAAATCTTTAGTATTACCAATGAAATATGATTATTATTTCTAGGCGATGAAAACATAAAATAAAACAAACATTTAGTTCAGTTGTCATGAAATATAAATACTTTTATTCTTTGAAGACAGAAATATTTTCATTTTCAATATGTTCTTGAATTTTGTCCTCAACTTTTCTGTCCAGGTCACCTGCACATTAAGTTTCACTCTGACCATAAAATGTCAACAGTTATAGTAGAAACAAGCATGCACATTTGTTTCTGCTGTGTGAACGAGACGCACATACATGGTCAGTAACCTGCCTAGTGGTTAACAGCAGAAAGCTACGTATAAATACTTGGCCCGCGGTCTTTTGTACATTCATATATACATGAGGTTTGTACAGGATACAAAAGGTGTTGATAGATGATACGTAAGGTACGTATGGTACACTGACCTACAGTGGCAATCAGCAGACACTGCGCACATTTCTTCAACAGTAGGACCAACAAGAGAGCATTAGCAAAAACATATACTTCAAACTGGTTATAGCGTAATATAGCAAGTGCTTAAAAAGAGTTAGATGTTTATGATCAAATAGTTTCGGGAAAAGTAATTCACAAATCAACTACTTATATATCACTAACTTTATATAATTTCACCAAAAATAATAATGATATTGATTTACATTTATAATATATATATCTATATACATATGTTTTGAAACATGAGTAAAAATGTGTATGGCCAGCAGAGCGATTTGGCTGTATGCTGGAATAAGTTTCCAAATATCGAAATACAGTGTCAATGTCATCATCAACAGCATTGCTTCAATGCAGGACGAACAGTAACCTGATACAAAGTTTTCAGACCGGCTGATCAGAAAATATATATACGACATGTTGAAATGGGCAATAACTGTGACCAAAACCAAAGAGCACATACATACACAGGTACCACGCTGGTCAATAGAAAAAGTATAGAATAAGGTGCCCTTAGCAGTGCATAATCTGCATTCATACAGACACTGTGAGGAGCTTCTCAAAGTGGTGGTCTATATGGCCCAAGCACACATGGCCCAAATCAGTTCTCAGGCCCAAGCTCACATTTCCCAAATCAAGCTCAAGTGGCCCAAGGTTGAATGGCCTAAATCAAGTCCAATGGGCCCAAGGCGAAGATACACTTCCGAACACATACATTTGATAGGAATTATGGAAGACTTAAAGGTATTCTTTGGTTGCGGATGTTTGGAATAAGCCATAGATGCAATTCATTTTAATTTGGCTGTTACCTAACACACCACACAAATTGGTCTAGGAATCTGACTGCAGTGTACCAATAAACATATTGGACATATAAACCATGTACTCCGTAACATCAAATACGCTGGACTGATCAAACAAATAATTGGATGAACACAAATGAAATACTGTTGAGCTGAATTTATGAAAACAAAATGTAGGTGTGATGATAATTTGTTTCTGAAATGAATGAACGGTTGGAGATCTAAGCACACTGAACACTGTACTTAACCTCAGGTCAAGTTCTACAGACAGGCTACAGAGTGACATCACCCACAACATGGAACAGACTTCTCGTCAGTCATCAGACGTATTATCAGATAGACACATGTCAGTCAGACATGTCTTGTCAGTCATCAGTCAGACATGTCTTGTCAGTCATATGTCAGTCATATGTCAGTCATCAGTCAGACATATCAAATAGACACGTACCAGTCAGACATGTCTTGTCAGTCATCAGTCAGACATGTGTAATCAGACACGTGTCATCAGTCAGTCAGACGTATCATCGGACATGTATCAGTCAGACATGTGTAATCAGACATGTGTCATCAGTCAGTCAGACGTGTCATCGGACATGTATCAGTCAGTTGTGTCATCAGTCATCAGACAGGTGTCATCAGTTAAACATGCCACTTGTCATGCTACATGTGACATCAATAACACACATAAAATCAGTCAGATCACATTTGTATGTGACATCAGCCAAACATGAAACAAAAGACTAATGACATCAATCCGACTCTTGACATCATTCAGACACATTACATCAATCAGACTCATGATATCAATCAGACTCATGACATCAATCAGACTCATGACATCAATCAGACTCATGACATCAATCAGACACATGACATCAATCAGACACATGACATCAATCCGACTCATGACATCAATCATCAGTCAGACATGTGACTGGCTGAAACAAGTGACACCAGTATCTCATGCATGGAGATGGGATGCAGGGCCTCTAGTGGCCTGCACACACCACACTGTATCTGTTATCTTGGGAGAACTAACACCACATGGTGTCCACCATCTTCTGAACTTGCATCAATGTAGACATGACCATCTTCGCCTGGACACGCCATCTGTCATCTTGAGAGAATCCGTGGGACAACATGGGAGTCCATTATCAACTCCCCTGCATGTAGATATGACCTCTTGTAGCCTGCACACACAAACACATCTCTATATTCCAGGGAGAATTGTCAAACTCTTTGGCAACAATCATTTGAAATTAAGCCCACCAGTCCAAGATCTGCAACTTCCAGTAAAACCTTTCTCAGGAAACATCCTCACTTTCCATCAAGAATCTGAAACAGGTCATCTCTATGGCAGAAAGGTTCTGAACACTGCATGCACTGCCCCCTGTTAACTATGTCCTCTCTGTCATAGCACTATTCTGTCCCACCTACCCTCTTGAGGCCCCACATTGGTGTCCGACTAATCACAATCTCCATCCAGTGTGAAGTGTCTCTGTAGCGCTAGCGGTATAAGGATCATCCTGGCACCATGTTGAGCATGGTGTTTGTAAAGAGCTGATCCATCATATGGCTAATGTTAGGGAGTTTGGTGGAATTTGATTTCCTTGTCATCTTTGGACATTGCCTGTGCTTATGGCAGTGCGGTGTGTGAATACACTGATATACACATACACTGCCACGGTGACGACCACGTCTACCTGATCAACATACATATCAACACTCATTCAAACAAACTATCTTTCATTCTTCATATGAGGTGAATTGCTTCCGAAATGAACATTGAATCAACATTGCTACACATTAAGGCGGTGAACCCATCCAACAGACCTCAGAAATGTGCATATAAAACTGCAAAACTAACAGAGTATAACATATAAATATAGCATGCCTTTTCGGCATGAAGTAAATACCCCATAACCCAATGCCCTCACGCACCCCCTCACCCAAATTCCAAAGAAAGACCCCATCTCTCCCCAACTTATTTCTTGCACCAACTTTTAAACCCATAACCAACCAGCCCCTCTCACCCCATACTCTCTCCCCCCCCCCTCCCCTCCCCAATTAACTAAGACCCCCATCCTATAGTATTACCTCCTGGTGGCCTTCCCCTGTTTCCCTTTCGTCCTCTCCTCCCCCCCTCCCCATCCTTTTCGACTGGCCTGAATTGTGTGGAAGAACTGAGGTAACGGTCATGTTTAACAGACTTGGTTTCATCACAACAGAGGGGACAACAAAACTCTACAGATCAGTATGTACAGTCATCCGGTAACATAAAACAGCACATTCAAGCATAAATATTGTAGATATATATACAAAACAAGTCTTTGGTTGCAGATTTTGATGCATATGTTTTGGACATCATAAAAAAGGCCATGAATATAGGCGTAGGTTCATACAACGATACATCTGACTGCATAGTCAGAGAAGATGTTGAGCTTCTAGCTAGGACAGAGTAGATGCCCTCTCTTCCATTAGCCATACCAAGGATCACCTCACAATGTTCTCCGTGAGACACCGGCTGCCTCAACAACGTCGACACATATCATGCTCCTACACTGTAATGCCCACAAAACCTTCAAAAGGCCAAACAGGGCGAGCAACACACCTCTTCAAGGCATGGTATCATCTTGACAATAATCCTTGTGAAGACTTCCAAGCTTGTGAGGAGATACCCTGGATGCGACTCCCATGAATGGGACCCAGTCAGCCACACAGTGGCTGCAGGAAACCGACAACTAGCCCAGCAGGGGACCCACATCAATTGACTCGGAGTGTGTGTGACTCCATGGGTGCAGCCGAGTCGTAGAGAGTGTCTGTGTCCTGCGTGGGCTCCCCCTGAAGCTGACACTGGTTATTCAGGGTCCCTGCTCCACAGTCACAGAAAAAACGGTCGTGACGTATAAACTCTACCTCATGACCGGCATGGCAGGTTTTGATACAGTTCACACAAATAGCATTCCTCTCCGTTGTGTTACATGTCCGACATCTGCAAAACACGAGAAATATTCCGTAAACGATCAACCTGACATTTGACTACTCCCATCATCCAAGCTGACATAAAGTGATTTAATTTTAAACATTTGGTCCACTTGAGTAAGGTTTCACGCCACCTTTAGCAATTTAATAAATGAGCTTCACACATTGTACCCATGTGGAGAATCAAACCCAGGTCTTCAGCGTGACAAGTGAATGCTTTAAGCACTAGGCTACCCCACGACCCCTGGGTCCACTTGAAGACAAACATCACATAATGGTGGTCAGAGGTGAAATAATGAGTGTGACTTGGCAAATACAGTTCTTACACAAAAGAAACCATTTGAAGATTTCAAGATTTCATTTAACTGTGGGTGCCTGTTACATCAAGAAACAATAGTAGTTCAAGTCTAAGTCATGAGGGTGTCCTCAGAACACCTTAATACTGATCAATACAGCTCAGTTGAGTGAGTTTATTGAAACCAGCACTACTTTACCTGTAGAAGTCATGCATGGGAAAGCTTGTATAGCTGGAGATCTTGTAGAGACACTGGCCGGCACCCACAGCTTTCTCCACCATGTTGTGGTTGCCGCTGATGTTGTTGTCTGAAGCACATACCACAGATGAAGAAGCTTCACTCTCAAGTAATTATCTGATCCCAAGTAACTCCCCAGTTGACACATCCCCAGAGGTTTAAACAAATGTAATTCCTCTCTTAGTTTTTTATTTAAGGCCACTCTCAGCAATATTTCCAGAAATATGGTGGAATGATCATGAAAGTAATTGAGTCTGGACCAGACAAACCTATGATTGATGTTATATGCAACATGGCACAGAATCAACAACCCCATCCATTCCGTTGACTCTAAGTAAGGTTGCAGGGGACCAATCATATGCAAGTCATGTATTACACTGTGAAGAAGACAGCTATGACTTCCAACAATTGAAAAACAATGAAACAAGTAAATGCATACATGAATCCTGCTAACAATATTCAGGAATACACATGGTAATAATATTGATCATTCCTCTGAATTTCACAAGAAACCATGCCTCTCTATATAATGAAAGATTTAAACACTGTGATACTATCCAACATATACTTCTGAAGGCAAGCCCAGCAATGGCAGCAGTACAGTATTTGAAATTACTGGATACCTGAGGCCCTTCAGTTTTGCTGTTATTGCATTAACTGAGACCACTAAATTGTCACCTGGGTATGGAAAGAACACTTTGACTTTTATGCTTACAGGGCTGCAACTTAACCTGAAACACTGACCATGTTTACCAGCTAGAACAGTCAACATATACAAGGACATCAAACAAAACCAGGTTGCACCCTGCTCCCATCAAATTATCAAATAAGTTGAAACAGGCCGGTCTGCTGCCAGAGTCACAAATTATTGATGCATTGCTGTAAAATGTAATAGGAACATTCTTGAAGTACCCACAGCCTGACAAAGCATGACAAATTTGAAAAATGCTACCTAGTATTCATGTCTAAATGTACCAAGTGCAAGTCTGACTAACCCTTACTTGTCCACACAAAATCGATCTTTGAACACACTCAATTCCTCAAAGGTTTATTTACCATATGTGTATAAAAGGTTGCACTTATGCATGTTTTATATAGCTAAATCAAGCCCTGGTTATATACCCAAGAAAATATGAACTGTCAAGTAAATTTTCGGTCTTATTTAAGGGGTTCTTCTAAAGACTACTTACAGATCCATCAAGTAGTTGGTCACAGAACACTTACTTGAGAAGATCTCTTAACAGGGTGAATACGGTACCCTTAACCATAGCTAGCTAGGTGGGCTAGCACCCAGTTGTATCACTGTACCTAATTTGAACACTGATTTCTTTACCTTTCAGTTTGGGGTTGACTCCACTGGCAAGACACAGGCCTCCAAATTTATTGTTAAAGATCTTGTTCTCTTCTAGTGTGGCTGTGGCATTATTTGTTATTTCGACACCTGCTGCCTGCCCGTCAAAGATACGGTTCCTTCGCAAGATAGGATGGCTCTGTGTACTGATGAGGACGCCAGCCTGGGCGTTGCGGAAGATATCATTCTCTTCCAAGATCCCTGCCATCAGAAAGTTGGTATTCATCATGGTTCTAGAATCGACATGCCTTCTATTTATTATTTTATAATCTTAAGTGTTTTTTTGCCTCTTTTGTAAATATTACTGCAATATCAAGTGGACACACAGAATGGCCACATTGAAACCCTAACGGAATAAAACCTGGGTCTTCAAGTGATGCTCAAGAAAGCTACCATACCCTACTACCCAAATCATAGGATATGTGTGAGTGTCGTTTTATGCCTCAGTCCACATTTTTCAGCCACATCACAGTATCCTATAAATAATCAAGTCTGGACCAGGCAAACCAGAGACTGAAAACACAAGCCAGGCTGGATACACAATCAGTCAGATTACACATTGTGGCTATACAACTCTCATTAATAGGTGATAGTCGACAAGCATGGGGTGATCCACATAAGTAAGAGGGCATGAGGAAACACCAAGACTACTGCCTAGTCTAACCAGATGGTCACTATCAGCATGTGCCAACAATTCACCATTCACAGACAGCTTGAGGAATACAAGAACCTATGCTTCCCTGGACATATACACAAAGGACAGGACAGATGCATACACTCAAGTGAAATCTGGACCACAACAAGCACTGAATAGATGTTCTAGGGCACTAGTATTCATAAAAGTCTATCTGGACTTTTTTTGAAGTTATGATACGTGCATGATATTGTTTGTTTTTAATGCCACACTCGGCTGTACACCAGCTATGACGGTGGCCTTCAAACAAAGCTGGGCCACACAATCCGGTGATTGAAATCATGAGCAACAATATATTTCATTGGGATACAATGACATGCAAGTCACGTTGTCTGACCACCTGATCCCCTAAGACACCTCTTACAACCAGCATAGATCGCTAGGGACATCACCCGGTTGACCTTTACTAACCCGACATCTACCAGGGAATATAAAAAACGTTACATTATCTCAGTATTCTCAGACTTATCCAACACACCTTTCCCGCCATTGAAGATACAGATCCCTCCATCTCGACCATCATGTATCTTGTTGTGGCGTAGCACTGGGTTGCTGTCGGTCTTGATCCAGATGCCTGCCATGGCATTGTCAAAGATCTCGTTGTTCTCTATCATCCCCAGCCCGCTGTTGTACACCAAGATGCCACCATTCTGGCCTCCCCAAATCTTGTTGCGGCGAATCAGTGGGTTACTCCCAGTCCTAGACAGATAATTCACAACAATTTGTAGATCATAATATAATCATAATTCAAAATTAGCCTTTGCACCGCACCTCTCCCATTAGTAAAGAAAGTGTTCCTTATTGGAAAAGAAGCCATGAAGTAGTTCTCAAGTTATAGGTTTCACAAATTTTGAAGTAAAGTAAAACAAACTTCTACGCTCAAAACATGCAAAAATTTCATATTTGCTCAGAATATCTACATATCAAAACCAAACTTTGCACTGCACCTCTTCTATTAGTATGGAAACTGTTCTCTAAATTTGAAAAGAATACACGGGGTAGTTTTTTTTTGTTATAGGTCGCACAAATGTTAAAGTAAAACATTCTAAATTAAAAAACGAAAATAGCTGTATTTTTCTGAAAATCCAAATATTAAAAACAAACTTCACATTGCATTTCTCCTATTGGTACAAAAATGTCCACCAATTTTGAAAAGAATCTATGCAGTAGTTTTCAAGTTATAGGTCGCACACATTAAATGTCCTTGGAAGGACAGACGGAATTCCTTGGTACAACTATATACCCCCACCCTTTAAGGTTGGGGTCAAAATTAACTGGTCTTCATCTAGAACATGTCAACTGGACATGACCAACTGATCCATCAAGTCACATTGTATGACAACATAGCCCAGTGGGGACCTATTCTAACCCTACATCCCCATGGAGTATGACAAATGAAAATTGACTGATGTAATATACAGGCAAGAACAAACCTTATCTGTACTCCTGAGTACAAATGGTTGAAGATATCATTGTCCTCTAACACACCATGCCCATTGTCATAGAAGTACACTCCCACCTGGAACAGATAACATGGGGTGGTTAAAGTCAACATCTACATCTAAATACCAGAGTCTTTTTGTCAACCCTCATCATATGTTTTTCCCAGCGTATTTTGTGTATGGTAATACAAGAGTACACATATACTTCAATGTGACATAACATACCTACCATCCATTTATGCCACATTTATCATGTTTATCAAATGGCAACAAAGTTTGGGACACAGGGTTAGAAATACTTATTATTTTCAGAGGTCCATAAAAATTCCATCTACCGTATGGTGAAGGGTAGTACTTAGGGAAATGTCACTGGTCCTTAATGAATTTTACTAGTCGCGGACCAGCAGATTGTTAATAACGTTTGAACCTTTGGAAAATACTTATCAAACATAACCTTAACCTCTTAAATTAACCTTCAGAAATAAAACAGCCAGAAATAATAATAGTGCACCTGTTTGCCGCTGTGTATTCTGTTGCGGCGCAGCACGGGGGTACTGCCTGTCGTGATCCACACACCGGCCAAAGTGTTGGCATACACCTCATTCTCCTCAATCAGACCTTGACCTTTCTCATGCTGGTAATACAACAAGCCACCGTCAACAAATGGATAGACAAACAGTGTTGGAAAATAAGGATGAGTGTCAAGGGACCCTTAGCACTAATGTTTCAACATGTAATGGTTCTTTATTTAAGATACAACAGCAGAAAAACTCAAAGATTTTCCTTATTTCTTAACAATATTACATATATTTTGTTTAACAAAGCACCACTACAACACAAACTACAATGCAGTAAGCTGTTCTTTTCTCCAATTATATTTCAACAATTCAACTTATTGTTGTAGTTTATATAAACTTTAATGAGTATATATACTAAAGTGTTGAAACACAGGGCCCAGTTTGACAAAATGGTCTTAGTGCTAAAAAGCTTTTGTGAAACAGGGCCCTGGATACCGAGATCCGTTTTCCACTCCCAGTTCAAGCAGAAGACTTACCACATATATTCCACCATGTTGGCCATGATGGATCTTGTTGTGTCTTACAATCGGGTTGCTGTTAGTTCGAATCTGGATACCAGCCAGAGCATTGCCTGGAAGAAAATTATCAGCATCATTTACTTAATTACCATAAAGAGCAATACAGTATTTTCTAGTTATTTCTTTTCCAAGTGCATGCTAAAATGTTATTTTCTGTCGACTTACCATAAATATTGTTGTGTTCTATAAGCCCTCGTCCATCCCCAAATATGTACACACCACCCTGATGCCCATTGTAGATTTCATTTTTTCTGAAAAAAGAAAGAAGCTTATTGCACAAGGATCTTCATTTAACACAAGATAAAAAACATGAATACAGCTATGAGCTCTGTAGCTCACCCGCCCCAAACTAGTTTTGTTAAAAAAGGGAAACAAATAAAAATCGGAAAGCTGCAGCCTAGTAGAAAAGTTCCTGTTTGGCTCCCCACACAGCTTAATGTGCCACAATGGGAAGAAAGACCAAAGAGATGCAGGTTTTACATGATTACCACTCTGGTAAAACCTAAGATCATAGCTATCCATATGGGGCTCACATATTAAGAATCACAATCAAAGAAAATCTGCTATTTTAACACAGGATTCTGGCAGCCCTAAGGGACACAACTCTCCACGGTAAACACTGCACAGTGGACACACACCAAATTTCTTTTAAATACCTGATTGAAAGGAAACTAATGGCCACAAATAACATAATACAAAATTGACCAAACTGACCATTATCTAGGGACGGTTTCAGGTGTGTTTCTTCTTCAGACTTGGAGAAGTAAAATGAAGACACAAACATAGACGGATGACACGCCATGGAAAGTTCCATTACGATCACATTTACCATTACACACTTGTGGATATTTCAAACTAGACTTTTTACTCTCCCTTGAAGCCTTACCTTATTGTAGGATCACTGTTGGATGTGATCCACACTCCAGCGAAGTTGTTGGAGTGTATTTTGTTCTCGATGAACTGCCCCCTGCCATTTTCATGTACGTAGATGCCCCCAGTTTGGCCATGATGGATCTCACAGCGTACAACCGTGGGGTTGGCCCCTGCCTTCACCTCAAAGCCAGCAATGCGGTTGTTGTGGATATCACAGGAATCAAAGTAACCCTAAAGAGAAAGTCCTCATGTGGTGACCAGTTTGAGTGAGTGAGTGAGTTAGGAGATAAACATATTGTGTGTATCCACTGTAGAGCTAACAAATATGTACAAAGAAAACATTTTGAGGATATTCTGAAATGTACCAATTATTGTTTGTCTGTTTGTTGTTTAATGCCCCACTCAGCAATGTTTAAGCTATATGAAGGCGGTCTGCAAATAATCAAGTCTGGACAAGATAAGCCAGTGATTGACATCATGAGCGACAATCAAGACAATTGGGATACAATTGTCTTACATCAACCAAGTCAGCAAATCCTGCTATCGCTTCTTAGGACAAGCATAGTCGCCTATTACTGCAAGCATAGGTTGCTGAAGACCTATTCTACCCCGGATCTTAACAGGTCAAAAGTACCCATTATGTCCCACAAAGGAAAATTCAAATGAAACTGGCAGGGCTGTAACGATTCACCAATACCAACGACGTAATCAATACTTAGGTACACACGATACTTGAATCGTCAGTTTTGAGCTCATGATATGCTATAAATGGAAAAGAAACGGATGGGATTAGCTCCCTTAATGGCGGAATCAGCATAGCACCGCCTATAAGCATGACAGAACATGAGGATGTGGTGGTAAGAGTGGACGCATCTGCCACATTAGTCATCAGTTCTGGCAAATTTGGGGTTTGGAAAAAAATTGTATGCAGATTGTGGCGAGCAGTCAACACATCTCAGTATGAAGCAAGAGTTTTCGAGTTGTATTTCAGTGATTTCATCATTTCTTACTATGTATTGTGGTGTATCATGCCACCAGTGGTATCATCAGTCGGTATCGCCATACATATCGTATCGCGAGATGTCAGGCAAAATACAGCTCTACTGGCTGGTGTTGATCACCTAAGGTCCTCCAAATTCATACTATAATCAATACTATAATAGGCCAAAATGAAAAATATTTATCTTGACACATGGACCCAAGACTGAAAGAAGTCATCTGCTAGTACTTACCAAGCCGTTATCGAAGGTGAACACTCCGACATCCCGTCCATGATGTATGTGGTTTCTGCGCATGATGGGGTTGGAATGGTTCTTGACCCAGATACCAGCCAGAGCATTGCCACTGATCTCATTGTCCTCATAAACACCCTGCAATACATGAGGTGTTACTGTTAATTGGCTTGTTAATACCTTTTGTCAAAACGTACAATAACTTCAAGGGTCTCTTCAATATAAGTGTACATGAAAGTGTATGAAAGCTCCCCTAGTGAGTTCCAGGTTTAAACAGGTGAGTAGATACTTAATGGATCTGGTGATCAGGCTTGGTGACCTGATTAATTTGTGTATCATCCTAGCCCATTTATCATTGCTCATAATATCAATCACTGGTTTGTCTGGTCTCGAGTTGCTCATTTACAGACTGCCATCATACAGATGGAATATTGCTGAGTGCAGCGCCAAAACTTTAACTGATTCTCACTGAGCATAATACTTGCTAGATCTCACAAATAGTTCTGTCTGCAAAGCGTTGTATAGCAACGTGACATTTATGTATCAATGCACTGTCACAAATAATCACAGGGAGAGTGAACGTGAAGGAGTTGTTTTACATAATCCCATCCTGTACATGGAGTCCAGGCAATGCTGTAGGGACATGACACGGGCACTATAATTCAGATGACACATTGTAACCACTCACTCCTCATCAGTGGTGGTGGCTTACTCTTCACATGCACTCACTCACCTGAGCATAGTCCGTGATGTAGAGGCCAACATTCTCACAGTCCTTGATTAAACAGTGTTTGATTGTCGGGTCCGACCCAGAGCCAGACACACAAACTGCAGCTCCCACTGAAAGGTAACACCAGCACATTATACTTCCAACATGTTTCGAGTTGTAACACCACGTTTGTTATCAAACAGAAGAGCGGCTTTCCACATCTCTAAGTAGACACTTCTGACAAATTCGTATAATGACTGATCTTACCGACAGATGTGCTCTTGATGCGACAGTGGTCGACAGTAGGTGTACAGTTCTCAGCTATCTCCAGTGAGTAATGCCGATGGTGGGGTACGGATGAGGTGATGTCGGGTGTGAACTTGAAGTGAATAATTACAACAGTTTTATCACCTTAATAAGATAATGTACATGAATCGGAATAAATAATCTCATTCAAATTACAAATGGGAATTTTGCATTCACAGTAGTCATAACTCTGGATATTTACAGAGGCAGTTTCGATACTACTAAGGGGAGATAATCCAAATTACCTCCCCTTGAACAAAAATGTCCCGCCTTCTTTGTGCCATCAAAAGTCATAAAGTAAGTTCAGCTCTTTCCTACATGTACGGTACCCATTGACACTTTCTTTACTACCTGCATCATTTAACTGGAGCATTATTAATCCAGACCTTAAAGTCACATGACTGATTACAGCTGGAAATTTGCATATAAACTAGTTCATGTTTTCTTCTGTGTTCCAAACCAGACCCATTGTTACATTAATCTGTTTCAAAATCTGTTACTTCTTTATCACAACCCTATCCCACAAACAATGTTAGCACCAATACTGTTGAAAGTTAACATTAAGATAATTTGGTCGAGAAGGTTCTTAGTCTAGATGATTGAAATATCAAAGCACAAAGATAAACAGCAGTGTTAAGTAAGGGCAGTCATTGTGGTTTCTTTAATCCAGCTACCCCACTAAATCCTGTAGTATTAACATTTGAGCGGTGACAAGAACACCTTGACTTTCTTGCTTAATTTGGAACACAGGATTCCACAGCATCTCCAGACTCACACTAACCTTCAACGTGAGGTATCCAAGATACGCTCCCTTAGCACCGTCAACAAACATGACTGTTGATTCACTCTCCCGCTCAATTATCACATGATCCATGACGTTCCCTGGAGCGGCTCCAATGATTGACACTGAGATATCGATGAGGAGGAACTCCCCCTGGTACAGACCAGAGTGAACAAAGATGAGAGGGTTCTCCACCTCCTCTGTGTCCACGTAACTGTACGCCTGCTCTATACATTCAAAACACTGAAACAGATGAACAGTGCAACTGTCAGCAGCGTGACCATGACATTTCAAAGACAAGTACATCATTTTAACATGCTTAGTGAGGCCTTAAATATTTTCCATACGTGTCATCATGTTTTTAACATAAAACCACTACCCTATCAACATGATCAGGGACAGATTAACACTCAGCAGCAAACAATAATCACCCAATGCTTCACTTGTTATCAGCATCTTCATTATGTCAGACAGAGTGTACCTACCATGAGATTTCTTCCTTTTAACCGTTTCCCCCGTGGGTTGTAGAGAGACGCATAACCAGGTCGTACATGGAAGCCACGATACTGTGAAAGCAAAATAAAATGACAGATCCTCACTGCTTTAGCCATGTGTCTCCAGTTGTACTTCTATCAGTCTATTAGCATGAGTGGTACTAGCATAACATTGTACAAGGACAGTCTGTGAGGAGAGAAATCTACTGATGAAGGTGAGGAAGGACAAGTATGAGCAAGAAGACACACATGTACAAAAAGTACAATAATCAACCTTACATTTTCATGATAATAACATAAATAGTACTGACATCATAAATGTATAGAAATGTCAGTATACACTTTGTTTGTTTGTTGTTTAATGCCGCACTCAGATATATTTCAAATATATGATGGCGGTCTGTAAATAATTGAGTCTGGACTTGACAATCCAATGGTGACATCACGAGCATCGATCCATGCAATTGGGATACGACGACATGCATCAACCAAGTCAGCTGACCACCCTATCCCATTAGTCGCCTCTTACGACAAGAATAGTCACCTTTTACGGCCAGCATAGGTTGTCTATGAGCTATCTACAGGGGATCTTCACAGGTCGTCAGTATACAGTATTACACTGACAGGTTATATATATAGCATTAGCAACTGATGAATACTGACCAGTTGTTTAAAGCTCTCTCTCCAGGAGTTCTCATACTCGGAATCAGTTGGGTTGATAAACTTGAAGACTCTTGGTTCAGGGTTGAGCAAGGGATTATCATACTCAAAGACATCTTGGTATAAATTTTTCCTGTAAGAAAGATTCAACATAAAGTGCCACCAAAGATGATGTTGACAGTTGGTAAGCAAAGTTTATCCGACTCTATCAATTGGACTCAAATGTACATATTTGGAAAACAAATACAGTAGAACATGGATACAACAAACTTTAAGGGACAAGAGAAATCAGTTCGTTATATCCGTTTTCGCTTGGAAACGTCCGCCATCTTGGATAAAACAAAACACAAGACACGTAATTGCAGCATTGATTTGTATTAACAGTGATCACTTCATAGCATTCAATTGATAACATTTTATAACATTCATTTAAAAACTTTAAATTCATAAATTTTTCGAACATTGTTATGAAATTCCTCTTACTTTTGCCTGCAATGATAGCATATGCAAGTGAACTGACACTTGGACACAATGTCATAAAATTTATATGTTTAATGTTTGTTTTACAGACAAGATTACATGTACAGGTAAGATTAACACAATGCAAGTTTGGCAAGGTTGATCCGTCACCACTGATTGTGTTGATTCGTGGCGATTGTCACCGCTGATTGCATACAGCCAATTTCTCAGTTCGCTATACACGTCACTAATTAGCGGTAAATGGGCTTGTCAGTGATCAGATATCAGTTCGCTGTATCCGTTACTTCACTGTAGAGAGTTTGTTATTTACGTAAATTTTATATGATATTACATAGGAGATAAATCGGGGATTTTTTAACAGTTCGTTGTATCCGTTTGTTCGTTGTATCCGTTTGTTCGCTATATCCGTGTTCTACTGTACTTCATAATTGTCCAAACTAAACAAATGCATGGGTTTATCTTCAACAGTATTCCCATAACACTGACGAAAACACACAAAAAGAATACAGCAAGTCAGTTTAGTAAAGAACGCTTAGTAAAGACCTAATACTTTGTTGAACCATTCAAACCTAATGAGGAAAAAAGTGTACGACAGGTAAACTGACAGGCTCTTAGCGATTTATCTAGACCTGGGCATAGGCCAGTATGAAGCCACAAGTCTTAAGCAAATGACAATAAAGATTCCCAATTTGAAATCCCCTAACATGGACATTTAGCATGTTTAGTAAGGAATCCTAAATAAATCCCTTTGTCTCTCTTACAGTAGGCCAAGCTACTTACCAAAGTTCCAGATCATTGGCAATGTCCCTGAAGCGACGACACACCTGTGCCGCAACACAGAGATCCAGCTCTAGCAGGTAGGAAAATATCTTCAGTAACACTTCATCAGGCAGGTCCTCCTGGAGGTATTTGGCTCCCACACCACCTGGCGCACACAACGATTAGGCTTAATAATCAACTACATCTAGTAATACATGATCATCACATTATCACAACATAATCATTGCAATCACCCGTTTAAATGGTTAAGTTCATTTTTATCATATACCATAGCCTGTGTATATCTTACAACATCCCCCATTATTCAGTATATTATATCTCTCTTTTGATATGATAAATACTTAGGACTATTGTCACCATAACTTTGGTTTGAGCACAATGCTGAAAACCATTGAAACTAATGCCATGTGCATAAAACATTTTGTGCTAAGTTTTGTTATTTACAGACTGCCGTCATATAGCTTGAATATTGCTGAGTGCAGTGTTAAACAAGCGGAACAAAGAGCACAAATGTGTTTACTACCTCGGACAAGGTCTTTGTGAGATCTAGTCGATGTACCAGTGTATCATATCACCATTCTATACTGATGAATACCATGGACCCATTCCTCACCATAGCTTCGGCAGTGATGTCACCATACCGCTTATATCTCCAGTCTGGACAAGACAATCCAGTGACTGACATGAGCATCGACATACGCAATTGGGATACGATGATATCCACCGAACCTGACCGCCCAATCCTGTTAGTCGCCTCTTAAGACAAGCATGGGTTGCTGAAGATCAATTCTAACCTGGACCTTAATGTGTATTTGTGTCTGTTGTTCATACAATGTAATGCTACAGTATTGAGAGACAAATTATACATCAGTGTTCAAAATTAAGCATGTATGTCAAGGAGTCCTTGTCATAACCCAAATGCCAAATTTAGAAATGGAAGGCATACCAAGATTCAAACAGTATATCAGCAAACCTCAAGGACCGCCTTTAATTTTGAACACTGTATCAGTGTGTGTATATGAATTGGGTATAAATATTTGGTAAATGAGTAGAGCATTAATAATAGATCAGCATGATGACACTCATCCTTTGGTGAAAAGGGAACCTCTGCTACTTAAGTCTTAGGTATTATCTGCACCAAATAGTGTGAAATATTTATACAATATTGTAAATCGCTACGGCTGAGTAAGTGAATGTTGTTGACACTGCAGTCAGCAACATTCCAGCAATCTCACAATCGATTATCAATGATAGAATCTGGACCATGTTCACCAGTGGCTGACTGCATGAACAAAGATCAAGCCACTGGGTCACACTGACACACAAAGTCAGTCTGACCCCCTTTTCATTTCTGTCAGCTCTTAACTATACTAACATAAGCATGGTACTTGGTACTAATGCTGATCTGGAATCCCAACAGGGTAATAAATTAACAGCCATGAGGAATAATTTATGTTCGGTTTGAACATTTTAAAAATAATTGAGTATAAATCAGGCACACAAGTGATTGTTTTAAATATTATGAACGTCCCATGTCATCAGAGTCTGACAATCAAACAAGTCTCCAAGTCTGATCACCTGATCCATTATGATGAGTCTACAACAAGCAATGGTTGATGAATACCTATCTTAACCTGGTCGCCCCCAAGGGTATCATGGAGAAGAACTTAAATAACTTAGTAAAATGCTGCATACAAGTGCTAAAAACAATGATAGAACCTATGACATCATGCCCATGGATCACGGACATAATAAAAATACCATTTAGTAAATTTGAAAGCTATTGTAGTTTTTGTATGGATTTGTGCAATGAGGAAATTGTGCCAAGTCTCAATTGACAGCAATCTCATTAAAATTAGACGTTAGTTCTTGCTACCCCTAAACAATGATCTGAGGACATGTCATTATGGGTCATGTTAGAACAACCTTTCATTTTGAACATCTATTAGACATTCCAGAATGCTTTTTGTCAAATTAGTTTTCAAAACGGCATCTGGAATGGAAGTCGCCAGCTTGAAACTAGCAGGGATAATTTTAGGATGGGGCCTTCTGCTTTTAGCCCCTAAATTTGAAAAAAGGCCCTAATTTTCAAAGGCAATGGGTCATTTTAGCATTCTGTATGGGAAAGTATGGGTGTACCTCTGGAATATTTAAAATTTACAGATAAGGGCCCATGTCAGAAATTTCCTGGAGTGAACCCTGAACTAGTGCCATGTAGCTCCATAAAATGGCTTTCTGATTGCTGATCAGTCAAAGTTCGCGAAAGATCGTTCTGATATGACATGTAATGGGATGTCCTCAGATATTTGTTTAGCAGTAGCAAGAACCAAGATCTGATTTTAATGAGATTGCCAGTTAGGGTGTCTGAAGCACAACATGGATCATGCAATTGACCAGATAGGGATTAGAAATTAATTTATTATTCTACTAATTTGCAAAGATTTGCAGATCTTCATGGTTCTGGTCTCAGATTAGAAGACTTCCAATCAATTTCTAATCCTGCAGGTGCACTATTTGTATGCTTTATAATGAGTGCCCCACCCCTCCCCATCAATATAATAAGGGAATCATGGGGCTAAAATAGTAAATATGAAATATTGTAAACTTGTAAAACACAAACAACCCTAAGATATTGAAAAGGACACAAGGGTTAACGCTGTAAAGGTGAGCTTACTTAGATCAGGTGAATCCAACAAGATTATTGGCAGCTACGTCAAGTAAAGTGGACCACTGCCCATGATGATCATTATGATTAATTAAAATAATACTCACCAGTGGGAACTAGTGCAGGATTAACAGCTGCTAGTTTCCGCCGTCGTTTTACGGGAACTACTGGCTTGGTTTCCTTCTTTTCTTCCTTTGTTTGTAAATCAGTAGCTCGTCTTCGACGTAAGTTGTATTTGCCACCATTGCTGTTACTACCACTTGGTCCAGCTTGAATCACCTGAGCTTCTTCCAGAATGTCTGTGTCTGCAAATTGGTAATAAATAAGAAAATCCCTCACATAACTATTTGCCAACTCAGCAGAGACAATGACGAGATCATGGACCCTCCATGCATACTAGTTGTAATAATCAATATTGAGGTTTCTGGTGAATTATCCATAGCGCTCTGTCCCTCTTTCCTATTCTTCTAATGCCATATAGAGAGGATGTTTTATAATATTCCACAATGACTATTATTTATCCAACATACATGGTATAGGTCTGGTCGCATAGTAATTTGCAAAGTCCAGTCCTTTCTTCAAAATAGATTATTATCTGCACTGCAGGAAAATGTGTCTACAAGCAAATCGTGTGTGCCATAAATATTCTAAACTAAAACTATGCTGTGCAACTAAAACGGTACATGTAATCCAAAATGCACAAATGGATGGATGGGGTCAAAAGGTTGATCCTTCCGAGTAAAACCGTTTGTGTACATGCTGCTAAATTCGTTATACAAAGTAATATGATAAACTTCCATTCGAGATATCCAATATCATACATATAGGCCTATAATGAAACTAGGTGCATCAAATGTTGCGGAAAGACACACAGCTAACATCAATAAAGCCGTCTGCCTACAAGTCCATGGAGACACTCAGAAATGCGAGACTGTGACAATGACTTTCAGACAGCAAACATTACGTACCAGCACTTCGCCTTTTCCGTTGCACTGGCTTCGATTTTGCCTTCTTTCGGCGCTTCCTGGCATTAAGCCTAGTGGAACGGACCGAAGGGTTGGACATAATAAGCTGATTTACAGTTTATATTGTTTAAATAGATTCCAGTTGAAAAGAAAGAATCATCCATGAGAAGCCATATTGAATTGTTCTATTTTATCACACTGGACCGAAAGCGAATGAAACCGACCCGTTGGGCCCACGTGATACCGTTGTCCAATCACAATTTCGCTACTGGGATAGCCCAGGAATTCCAATATGGCCGCCCTTGATTTGTTGGGTCGGAGTCAAACCAAACATTGAAAAACAAGCACACATAGCATACGATATACACCAGATTAAGGATGTCATTATACACAGGATTTGATTTGAAAAGCTATGGCTACAGTGTGATACCTAAATCAATGACAGCGGAGGACAGAAAATTGCTGTCTTCGGTTGGTATTAGGTTGTTCAGATTTCGATCATCACTCATCTGTCAAACCCCACCCTTGTCAATCACGAAGATACAGTCGTGTCTTTGACATAATTTACATGGCAATGCTTCACTACAGAATTTTACTTATTTTTGTGATTCCTTATTACGTACCTAAAATTGTGACTTTTGCTAGAAACCCCGCTATATATATCTTGTGACTAAAACGTAAATTAAGAAATATAGATCTATATCCACATGGTACAGACATTTTTTGTACCAATCAATTCGGTCAGGATCTAGCTTTTATGATAAAAAAAACATGACAATTAGTGATGACATAACAGCTTTATGGCAGTAATTACTACTGATCTTCAATGAACTCTATCATGGTTGCAGGAGAGATCAAGTCTCCGCCTAGACTAACATTTAGTCTCTGAAATCTTATATTACACAATATCCTTCTTGACTCTAAAAATAAAAACAATTCTCTATGCTGATTTCAGAGTGGAATAGAGCTAGCTTGAGATGGCTAGACTTGCTTTTGTATGCATTTCTAGATTATTATTTTTTCATAAAATAAATATATTCCACGGTCATGGTGCAGGACTAGTCTCCGCCCATCGTCTGATCATGCTAATACACTACATGTACTGTTTCTCGGTTTAACATGCATGGTGCCAGAGTTATCTCAACCGTTTCATGTGGGGTCAATATGGATACTTTTGAAGTAATGTCCACAAAGTTTCAAAGTTCAGTTTTGTGACCTACATATCACAAGTTGATAGTGACTGTCAGTCTGCCAGCTATGGTCTAGTTTTGCAGGTCTGAACTAGTAGTAGTAACTCAATGTTTCTGGCAAGGAGTTCTGTAGAGGTGTCATGATACGGTGGGGCCGCGATATAATACGCATCCCGATACTGTGGGTTCGATGCAATTCGTATCCTCATACTAGGGCTGGGACGAGTCCAGATTTACTACCCGGGTACCCACCCTCCTATTACGCAATCCTACCTGGGTACCCACTGTAGGTCTCAGGACATGTCTCAAAATGTCTGATTGGGAACATTTTTAGCATAGCCCTGGCAAAACGTGTTTAGATGCACATATTAAACAATCTGGTCATTCATACACTGAAGTTGAATTAAGTTATATCTTTATTCAACCATATGGAAAATCAGAAGGAATGGGTGCATAGTCAGAAAGAAATGTGAACATTAGTGACTTGTAGTGTAACCATTATTTTTGTCATTAAACAATATATCACGTGACTAACCACGGGTCCAGTTAGTCCTGTGGGTACCCGGGTCGGGTCGGGTACTGAGTAGGACCCGGGTACCTGAGTGGTACCTGAGTTGCCCGGCCCAGCCGCCCCTCATACAGTACCTTTATTTCATAAGTTAAAATTCTTTCTTGTTGCAGGTGATTCACAACCCTCAATCATTTGTTTTAAAATTTATGAGACCAAAGATGGGATTTTGCTTGGCGGAAACACGTAGGTTAGAGGGTACTGTGAATGTTATGCTATTTATAGCAAACTGGCAGATACTAGAGAATAGTGTAAGGTGGTTGTTAAACAGTTTGGGTTTTTATTTGTATGTTTTAACACCAATATAACTTGTAATATATATATGTATCATAAATCAGGGGTTGTAAATTGATGTAGTTGTATTGTTAGCCTTGTATTAGAATACTATACTGTCACACCATTACATTCGACTCTGTTGAGTTTATATGTTGAATAGTTAAAGATAATATTCTTGTATGATCATTGATGTAATAACCTGTTTTCATTTTGGATGGTTAATAGGGGGTATGTTTTCACAGCTGATTTGAACAAAATTTCAGATATGGTCATTTGGCATGTGAAACTTACAATGAACAAGCCATGATGTTGGAAGAATATTACTGATATTCATGTCAAGTTCAAGTGCTTGAACACTTTTAATTTTTGTGTACAAAATAAATGATGATTTTATTGTTGTCCTTATTCAAAATTTATCCAGTTGCGTAATTACATAAGTACACAGGTACATCATTTTTAAACTTATCCTGAATTACTCCATAATGCATTTACAGCTTACTTTCGATGAAACGAAGCTGTGTGAGGTCCAGCTGAAGAAAAAGTGGTTCCAACAGTACCCAAGTGACCACAGAAGTGATGACGTCACGTGTACTTCACATTACTGCTTGTCACCAGACAGACTTGTGGTATCAATAAATTGTCCAGCTTTTGGTCAAATCTGTGGTCTTGTTTCTTGCATTTCTACATAAATTATCTCCTTCCTGTGACGAGTGGATCCTTTAGATTACATGTATTTGTGCAGTTGATTCTATATTTGTAGGTGAAGGTGACAACTTTGTTCTATACATGTTGTTGTTTCAATCCGCCATTTTGAATTGCTGACATGTCTTGTATTTTCAAGGCATACGTTTTGTCTTTCAGCCTTGGCTTGGTATTGTTATCTGCTAAATACATTAAGTATCGAATTGGCTTTCACTTTCTAATTGTAATATAATTATCCCTTTTATTCTGAATTAAAACTTAGTGGTTTTTTATTCTTTATACTTGGGTGATCTAGGATCATTCTGACTTCAGCTTAAATTGTTTAATTTATACTTGCTCGTTGTATCCATTGCTGTGGAAAGAAATCTACCTAATACCCCCACTAACAGTGTCTTGATTCTATGCAGATATGTACTACGGATTTGAAGTGTGAATTTTGTTCCCCTCTTTCCAAATCAAGCTTTACCAGGTAACATCAGGTCTCCCATAAGTGCCTTGCTCAGAAGACCCTGCACCTGCAGCACTCCAGGAGGATGTCGGACTCCAGGAATCATTTCAGCAGGAGTCTGCGGTGATAACCTCCCAGCCACCTGTTGGGTTGGGCGCTAACCGTCTCTCTTGGGATGTCTGACTTCCCCCTCCCTCCTCCACTTACCTTTAGATCTTCTACTCCGGTTATGACATCCCAGGCTCCTCTGACAGCACCTCTACAGTCGTCTTCAGAGGCACCTCCACTTGCGCCTATGGGCACCTCTACAAGATCTGAGCCTTCGGGCACTTCTACAATACCTGCACCTCTGGGCTCCACGGTGACTCCTGTGCCACCGGCCACCTCAGAAATGCCTGCCCATCTGTGCTTCACCATGATGCCTGCGCTGACCGTCTCCCGGGGTCACGGTTTCCCGCCAGCACCACCCATTTACCCAAGGACCACGGCATCTTACATGGACCCATCTTGGATGTATAGTTTTATGCAATCCATGTTCCAGCAGACGTTTGCACCTCAACTGTATCTAGCGCCTGCACCTACCTAGGCACCTCCAGCGCCGCAGACAACCATAGCACCTGGCTTGGGTACGCCATCCTCGTCTTGGGCCCAGTCATCACATGGGTCAACATCATAATGCTCTTCTTCTGGACGATTGTTAATTTGGTTGCATCCCACCTCTTATCTGCTTGATTAAGGCGCTGGATGATGACTTCACTCTCTCCAGTGTTCAAGGCACCCAGATTCAAGAAAGACAACTTCCCCATTCATGCCTTTGAGGTGGCGGACCACGCTCATGTCCTAGACAAGGAAATTCATAGGGTTATGGTGTCTTCAACCTTAAGATTCCTGATTCTCCATTCGCCTTCATCAAGACGGAGGTCAGGCATTAACTGAAACCCTTGTCAGCTTTGGCCTCCTTCGCTCGGGCTATTGACCATGACCTAGGCCAGGAGGGGTAGACAATGAATTTTTGGACAACCATGACAGGGAACTCCCACCCCAACTCCAGACCCATTTATTTTGAACATGCTACGCTACAGGTACTGCCTCAACCTGGCTGCTGACCTGCCATTGACTCTACCCTGGGATGTGAAGTCCATCTGGTGTCCCTCGCCGTGATTTTGCTGGAATATTGCTAAAAGCATACTCACTCTACCCGAGAAAGCTACATTCGTTTCTGGTGTCCAACATAGACATTCTGTTGCAAAAAGAGCCATAGAGATTGTGCACACCTCAACCATAACAGCAGGGTTCTACTATCCCATATTCCTTGTACCCAAGAAATATTCCCAACAAGATGAGGATGATTAACAATCACTCCGTGTTCAACAAGCGCTACTTGTAGTGTCCACCATACTTCCCCCTAACTACCTTGAGACTGCTCAGAACCAGAATCATCGCCTACAATTCTCTGATCCATCCCAGGGACCGGAAGTTCCTCGGGTTCCAGCTCAATTGTGTCCACTATCAATGTGCGTTCCTCTTACTTGGCATTTCAGTGGCTCCGTGGTTATTTACCCGCCTCACCAAGCCAGTAGCTGCCTACCTGCACCTGAGGGACATTCGGTTCAAGTCGTTCAAAGACAACTTTCTTCTGAACCATTCGCCCCTGATCCTTCACCGGGATATTACAAGGCACTTTCTCCATCAACAGTGATGGTAAACGAGGAGAAATCGGAACTCATTCCATCTTACCGACTCCAATTCATAGGAGGCCTACTCCAAACAGACCTGGATCTCCTAACAGTACCATGTGACAGATGGCTCAAGATTCTGCACCATCTGTTGCCTGCCCTTCAAAAACCTCTCACACTTCACCAGTTGCAGGACCAGGACCTGACGCTCAGAGGTCGCCATACCTATCCCAATCCAACAGTTCACCTGGCGCCTTACATCAGACGTGAAGACCCCTACGTATCCTTTTTCTACCACCTCAGGGGTCATCTCATCTGGTGGATGGTAGAGTTGAATGTCTTTGGAGGTGTTTTCTTAAAAGAGTTGTCCCTAGTGTCACACCTGTTCATAGATGCCTCTCTACAGGGTTTGGGTACTCATCAAGAGGACCAGAGGATCTCAGGGCTGTGGTCCAATGCACAGTGCACAGCGCACATGGCATATCAACATCCTGGAGTTGGAGGCGCTTCTCTTGGCGATATCACACTGGCAGGAGCGCCTCCAGTACACACAACTCGCCATCTCCACTGACCACATCACAGTAGTTTGGTACCTGTGCAACCAAGGGACAACACACTCTTACTCCCTCCTTCAGCAAATGTTCAGGTTCTTTCATCTGGTAGATTATCTTGGCCTGTGCCAATCTCATTTTTAATCTCAGTTCTCGCTACCGCTAAACAGAGATCTGAGGACATCCCATTAGGGGTCACATCAGAACGACGTTTCATCCGACCAATCAGAGCGTCGCTTACCAAATCGTGAAAGTGACAGTCGGAATGTGATTTCTAATCATGCAGCCTCGAAAACTTTAACTCCAAACGATAGTTACAGGTTTAACAACTGAATCCATACAATCTAGACCATCTATTAGCCATTCCAGAATGTTCTTTTGTTCAGGTTTCAAATTTGTAATCGACCACTTATTGTTTAGCAGTAGCAAGAACTAAGATCTGATTTTAATGAGATTGGGCCTGCGCTTTCTGGTCCAGCATGTCTCCAGATGTAAAAACATTCTGGCAGACGCTCTTTCCAGGCCAGAGAGGGTGGCTCCCACAGAATGGAAACTCCATCCTGAGGCTTTTCACCTCATGTGTCAGCACCTCGGTCATCCCAACATTGACCTTTTCGCCACTTGCCAGAACTACCAGATCCAGACTTATGTCTCCCCAATTCCAGATCCACAGGCATGGGCGGTCGACGCATTCAGCATCCCTTGGTAAGTACTTAGAGCATATGCATACCCCTCTACTTCTTCATATGGTGATGCAGAAAATCAGGGCAACCAAGAGACTCGGTCTGATTTTGATCGCACCTTTGTGGCCGGCGAGAGGGTGGTTCATAAACTTCAGAAGTCCTGTAGGAAGGTTCCACTAGCTCCACCAGGGTGGCCAAACCTACTCATCTATTCATACAGCAGGTTACCAAACCCAACCAACGCCAAGCAGGTTTCATCTGCACGCCTTGTTCATCCTAAGAGAGCTCAAGACACAAAAGGCTATTTGGCAGAGGGAGCTGCAGCCATTGCTATGACACACAGACCCTCGACCCGAGGCCTTTATGATGATAAGTGGCCGTCCTATGAAACCTTTTGCAAGGAGAAGGATCAGGACTGCAGCGTCACCTCAATTTTATCTCCTTTATCTGCGTACCAAGCGTCACCTAAAGTGAGGTACCATAACGACAGATCTGGTGGCTCTCCATTCGGTGTTGGCAGTTCAGAGGATGACCAAGATCCCGGAACTGCAGGCCCTCCTATGCTCCTTCCATAGCCAAGTTTTGCCCTCCCGCATGGGATTTGAAGGTGGTACTTTGGTGTTTGCGTGGTCCTCCGTTTTTAGCCTCTCCATGCAACATCTTTTTATAACCTCATCAAGAAGACAATCTTCCTCTTGACTCTGGCCGTGGCAGCAAGGGTTAGGGAGATTAACACGCTCGATATTACCCCTGTACCCTTTGAGCGTAGTAAGCACAGAGCTGTTCATCTCGGGCTGTGCCGAGACTTTATTGCCAAGAATCAACTACCAGAAAAGCCCTACCGATCCTTCGCCATCCCACCTCTCTCCTTGATTGTGGGCGCTGAAAATTATAAGGAACTCCTACTGTAACCTGTGCATGCACTGTGAGTTTTATCCGTCGCTCCAAGAATCTGCATTGTGCTCGGAAACGTCTGTTTATTCCCGTCCTCATGAGATCTGGGCGGTGGCTCTGGATAGTTACTGCTCTTCATAGTTTTGGCCCTCTATTGGTAGCTCAGCAAGTCACCAATCCTTGTTGCAATTAAGAGCTCATCTTGTCCAGAGCCAGCCTTACCCAGTGTTCGCATGCCCGACAGGGTCGTTATTCTGCTACCCAGCAGATGGCTTGGTAAACCAGTTTCTAGAATTTAGCCCACACTTTTAATTCCTGCTGTATTTTACTGGGACGTCCCCATACTCCCATACCTTCCGTGGACAGGAATGGTCGAGTAGTTGCAGATCTGCGCAAGTTAAGCGCTCAACAACTGCTGCGAACTACTTGAGAGTTTTTGTTACTGAGGACCACATGTGAAGGTATGCCCTCCACTGTTCATCCGATTCAGATGCAATAAGGAGTCATGCAGGATAAGTTAAAACATGTAGTAAAATCTAAATATTGTTTACATTTGTAAATCTATCCTGCATTACTATGTCTAAGGGCCCATCCGCAGCAGACCTACCTCCCCACAATCTCGTCAGATGTCATGTAAAGGTCATGTAAGCAGTAAAGGTGAACTATACGTGACGTCATCACTTCCATGGTCACATGGGTCCTGCTTCACACTAGTTGGAACCACTTTTTCTTCAGCTGGATCCCAACCATCTTTGTTTCTGTGAAAAGTAAGCAGTAAATGCATTAAGCAGTAATGCAGAATACGTATACAAACCGAAAAAATATTTAGATTTGACTAAATTTGCAATATTCTTTCTTTTCTGTTCACCATTGATATAGCCAGTAGATATTATATAAGTGATTTCATTAGAAACAGTTTCTGACTTTCAAATCATGTCTGACTAACGATAACTTCACTTCAATAAGTATACAAATGTTAGAAATTAAGGTGATGGAGGGTGTAGGGGGTCCTTGAGTGATTTGCGGTTTTATAACAATGAGACCCTTCATCTTTCCTTCTCTTGAATTATTGAAACACTGAATACTATACATCTCTCATTACATTGCTGACAGGTATTTCATGACTGTGACTCAAACAACAAGGGCTACCTGACGAGGGAAGACACCAAGATCGCTGTTGTCTCACTGTACGGGTACAAACCATCAAAGGTACACATATATTTGTTGCAGTAACTTGAACACATCCTCCATTATCCAGGGTGTTATGTCTCATGGTCGTTGTATATCGTATAATAAAACACTGTAGGGAGAATAAACCATGAGGGGCACAGCCTTGAGTTGTTTATTCTCCATGCAGTGTTTTATTGTACGATAAACAATGACCACGAGTCTTTTATTTTTTATATGAGATATCAACACCATGTACAGGCACTTTAAGGATGTTGATAAAATGTACAAGCTTTAAAAATGTTTACCCAAAGTTTAATAATGATGACTCACTGAATAGAATCTGACCTTGGAAATGTCGGATAAGTTTATTTTATGAACATGTAGGCTAAGTTGGGTATTTCCCACATATTCTCACAATCCCCATGTCGATTAATGTACCTTTTCTCCTAATACCGATTGTCATATCTCTCCCACTTTGGGATGTGATCATTCGGCCACTGCGTTTATCTGTATAGCGTGGCTACTTTTATTGGGAACAACTTTCTAGACACTTCTCTCTCAAAAATAACGTCATCCAATATATGACATCATCAAGTTGCAAGCGCATGTTCAAATCTCCAGAAATTACATCATGATAGAACAATGTTTTATCGTGAAAAAAAACACGCTTTGTTCTTCATTGTTCTTTGCATTTTATCGCATAGCTATCTTACATATCATGATAAATACCAAGGTTGAAACAAACCGAAACTGATGCACAGTATTATGTGGCCTTCAATACAGTACATGCGGGTCTGTATTGCGATAAATGACAATATTAAACACATCTTCGCCATTATCACACAAACATTGACATTAGCGGTGCCATGCAGAATGCAACAAAACCAAGTTTTTATTCATCACCTTCTACATGTAGTCAGCAAACATCTTGAGGACATATTTAGGTCTAATATACTGTCCATGTCGCCCAACCACAAGAACTAAACATTATTATATAATTTTTTAATTTGACGTTTACACGATATACGGCTTTTCCATTGGACAAGAGGTCAGTCACATGACCGCAAAGTTGACGTTCATAAGTGTATGAACGACACAATTTGACATTCATACGTTTTTCACGAGACCGTGTTCTTGAAATGACGTAAACACTGACGGACTACTTCCACATTCCTGGGGAAACCCCTTGGAATTCCCTAGCACGAAAACATACATTAGCATTATATCTGATCATTTAGAACCTTTTATCCTGGTCTCAGCATTTCAGTATACATTGCGAAACGTAAGAGAGCTTGACTGCATGATTGTTCAAGAATTTCCTCGCTACGGCCCATCCTAATGAACAAACGAAAAAATGCACATCCAAACTATCGTCAGTATCGACTCGATCTGTGTCTAGGCTGACAGTGACCGTCTCCAGCAATCTACGAATTTACCTTGGTGTCTGTTTGACGCATCTTTAATCACCTTTCAATAATCGGTCAGTTGATCAATTATGACTAACACATGTAACCGCCACAGGTTCATTAACAACTTCGGAAATCCTCCCGTCACGTTTATCGTGTCGGCCATTTCGACGTCTTGTACTTGATGTAATTTATGTATTACGACGCGCTGTCATTGTGACTGACTTACTGAGGTAGTTCATTACAGACCTTTCTCATCTAATGGGGATATTATATGAACACATGTGTTGCGTAAGATGTTTCTGAAGAGCAAGCTGTGCATCCATACACTCATGTCACCTCTCTTTTCGGGAAATTATTTTACTCCGCAATATAGCTGGTTGTTGTATGTCTGTCAGTGTAAACATGAAGTCACACGTACTAAATAAAATTGTGTTTAGATCTTGGCCTACGTCCTTTGAGGAAAGAAATTGTGATAAAAAATTATAAGAATTGACTTTCACTTTGTGTGAGTTCATTGGAGTATGAACCTGCATAGAGTGAGGGCCAAACATTGTATGAACGTCGTCGCAAGCTCCGACGTTCATACAGTTTGGCCCTCACTCTATGCAGGTTCATACTCCAATGAACTCACACAAAGTGAAGGTCAATTCTTAAATGAGCATGTGTGTCATACAGATTTTACAAAAAAAGTGTCAGAATTCTTCTATTTCCCCAGCAAGAGTGAGGGTAATACATTAATTCTTACACAAGTTTTGTACAGTCAGTTTGGCACACATGCCAGTGTGATCATATCTTTATTACCCATTATTTTTTTATCCTTTCAAACATTTAACTGATCACGACCGCCGTCTTAGAAAAGCACAATTGCAGAAGACGTCAACATTCTTCATTCCTAGTGTGACGTTATTCTGACTTCAAGCCACAATAAAATTCGATTGACGTCAACAATGATGTCCAGATGACGTAGCAATACACTGGTGCGCGTGAAAGGATATTTGCACTAGTGCACATACAATTTTTATGCACACTTTTATGGGTAATAAATATACTTTATAGCAATTGATACGTGGCCATGTGAAGCTGTCACAAATACATTAGTGTTGAAGGTACCATTTCAAGAGATTAATACCTATATATTTGCATCAAACAATAGATATGTCAACATGCAAAGTTTGGACTAAGACACACAGGAAGTATTACCAATCTCATTAAAATCAGATCTTAGTTCTCGCTACCGCTAAACAAAGATCTGAAGACATCCCATTAGGGGTCACGTCAGAACGACCTTTTATCCGACCAATCAGTTCTTCGCTTACCAGATTATGAAAGTGACAGTCGGAATGTGATTTCTCATCATGCAATCTCGAAAACTTTAACATGGGGTATTCCGAACGATAGTTACGGGTTTAACGACTGAATCCTTACAATCTAGACCATTCAAGAATGTTTTTGTTCAGGTTTCAAATTTTTAATCGAGAATTTGTCAAAATATGTTTCGAAGCGTAGTCTCCAGTTTGAAATTTGTGCCGTAAAGCACGAGAAAGCTGCCTTCTGATTGGTCATTCCATTGGTCGGTCAAAGTTCACACAAGGTTGGTCTGACGTGACCCCTAATGCGATGTCCTCAGATCTTTGTTTAGCGGTAGCGAGAACTAAGATCTGATTTTAATGAGATATTACTTACAATGCCTGAAAGTGAAAACAAATATATTTATACAATAGGGAACCGTTAAACTTTTTTTTAAAACATATCCTATTTGTACTTGCTTAAAAATAACCCATTTGCTGCCATAGCTTTGTTTTGAACCGTATTCAACAGACAACCCACTAAAATTAGCCATCCAATTATGCTGAGCAAGAAAAATCCAGAGTGAAGTTAATGATGAGAGCTGAGGTGTTGTGAGGTGAAATGGTGTTTAATTTTGCATCCAAGATTATTGCACTTACCGTTATATAGCGACGTGTGTGTGTGTGTGTGTGTGTGTGTGTGGCTGCTTGTACAAGTCCGGACTGATGCCAATTTATAGTGCTAGCTCACTGAGATACCTTGCAGCAGTTTAACATGAATACCCCACTCAGACACAGTATACTGACTCCGAGCCGACCAGTCCTTGTTTTAGCCCCTTAATGCCGAGTGCCAGATAGGGTAACAACAAGTACCATCTTTTAATGTCTTTTGGTATGACGTGGCCCTGGATCGAACCCCGGACCTTCCGCTCTCCCGGCAGATGCTCTACCATTGGGGAGTGAGTGAGTGATTATGGTTTTACGCCGCTTTTAGCAATATTCCAGCAATATCACGGCAGGGGACACCAGAAATGGGCTTCACACATTGTACCCATGTCGGGAATCGAACCCGGGTCTTCGGCGTGACGAGCGAACGCTTTAACCACTAGGCTACCCGCCGCCCGCTCTACCATTGGACCACAGAGGCGGTCCCTAATGATAAGAGATGAACAAAGGGATGACATTTCTGTGATGAAGGGTTGATGACAAACGAGCCCAAGTTATTTATCATTATAGAAAGATCATAGTAACACTGAATCAATTCACCTGCACACAACAATATTAAATAATAATAAGCCTTGTTTTGTATTTTTTGTAGCCATAATGAATCCTTATGTGTAAACAGAAAATATGTATTTTGGAGTAAATCATACATTCCCACTCTTCTATTTCTTTAGTATGAAGTAAATCAACTTTTGGACAAATACGGAGAATCTCTGCAAGACGATGTTAAAGGTATGATCAGATGAAATCATTATTCTTTTGTAATCATGTTGAAATATGTTTTTAACTTTTCGTATCAGAATTTGTTCATTATCCAAGTGCAATTTTTCCATAAGTTAAGATAACCAATTACAGAAAATATCTCTTTGAAGATCTATTCTTATGGTAACTTGATTTATAGATCAACCCAACATTTCTTGAATTTCTTTTTTGTCCTGCTTGGCCAACCTCTTGTTAATTTCCATCTTTTGATGGAGGTGAATATGAGAAGGGAAGTAACCCTTTGATATTTACTTGCCACACTGTTTGACTTATTTCCCAAGAAACCACTTGCCTGACAGGGTAGGGTTGCTTGGTACCATTGTACTGCATGTTAGGGCCCCTAGAGAAAGATACACTTATACACGTGTTCTTTCCTATTCCAATATCCTCAAAATTCAAATCTTTTACTCCGATATAAGGGCTCTCTGCATGACGATCAGTAGTACTTTAACAACTGACCCTATCGTTTTAGACCTGTTTATCAAGTGATGACACAGAACTAATGTTTTGCTAATTTGTTATGTAGCTTTTACTTGTGTAGAGTCAGCATTTGACTTACAAATTTTATCCATGAACTGATTTTCTTATTCAGTGTTGACATTGGCCAAGTTCATAGATGCCATGGCACCAAAACTGAGCACTCAAGATGAAAATGAAGAAATCAGACAGACTTTCCTGGCCTTCGACACGCAGTGTAGGTTTATGTCAGTAGTAGAGAAAGGACAGTGGTTGTCATGGTGAAATTTGTGATGAATTGTAGATGGGCAATAAAATCTTTGGACCTTATTGTGAGAGGAGTGGGCAGTGGTAGATATGGACTATATGGTGGGCAGTGGTAGATATGGACCATATCCTGGGCAGTGGTAGATATGAACTATATGGTGGGAGGAGTGGGCAGTGGTAGATATGGACTTTATTGCTGGAGGAGTGGGCAGTGGTAGATATGGACTTTATTGCTGGAGGAGTGGGCATTGGTAGATATGGACTATATGCTGGGCAGTGGTAGATATGGACTATATGGTGGGAGGGGTGGGCAGTGGGAGATGTGGACCATATGGTTGGAGGCATTTGCAGCAGTAGATATGGACTATATGGTGGGAGGGAAAGTGGTAGATATGGACTGTATTGTATGAGGGATGGGCAGGGGTAGATATGCACCATATGGTGGGAGGCGGGTTAAGAGGTAAACATTCTCTGTGTGATGGCAAGATGATCGTGAATGACACCAACATGATGGGAAATAGGCAGTGTATAAGGGCACCTTGCTGTGTTTCTAACATGTATCAGTGTTGTGTTATGGTGGTGGGATGTGAGAATGATGAAAGTACAACCCTTATGGTCTTGCTAACTTCAGGTCGAGGGTTCCTAACTGTTGAGGATCTGAAGAAGACCTTCAGCCAGGTCGCTCCCCACCTTCCAATACACGCAGTAGCAGCAGCCTTCAAGTAAGTCATCACTCCTGCTGACTATCATCAACTGCAAACCAGTTCTCCCAATGTAGGGGGGGGCACAGGTGGCCTTGCAGTCAGTGATGCCATAATTTCCTACCATAGTTATTGCAATTGTAAAGCTTCCCTCCCTAGTCCCATCTATAGACTTGAAGATTCCCCACACTGGTACAATGTGTGAGGCCATTGCTGGTGTGCCCTGACATGGCTTGCATAATGCTGTATGCAGCACAACTACCAATCTCATTAAAATCAGACCTTAGTCCTCGCTACCGCTAAACAAAGATCTGAAGACATCCCATTAGGGGTCATGTCACGACCTTTCATCCGACTAATCAGTGCGTCGCTTACCAGATTATGAAAGTGACAGTCGGAATGTGATTTCTAGTCATGCAATCTTGAAAACTTTAACATGGTGTATTCCGAACGATAGTTACGGGTTTAACGACTGAATCCTTACAATCTAGACCATCTATTAGCCATTCTAGAATGTATTTTAGTTCAGGTTTCAAATTTGTAATCGAGAATTTGTCAAAATATGTTTCGAAGCGTAGTCGCCAATTTGAAAAAGCACGAGAAGGCTGCCTTCTGATTGGTCATTTCATTGGTCGGTCAAAGTTCGCTCAAGATCAGCCTGACGTGACCCGTAATGGGATGTCCTCAGATGTTTGTTTAGCAGAAGCGAGAACAAAGATCTGATTTTAATGAGATTGGACAACTACTCACTACCATGCAGATGTTTATTATTGAACCATGGAATGTTGTAACGCTTTCTTCTCCCACCAAGTCACAAACTCTGTGTCAGTCAGCATGTGTTGCGTTGTGTTGCAGGGAGCTGGACAGGGATGGCGATGGCAGAATCAGCTATAGGGACTTCGACTTTATGATGAAATACGGCAAAGACAGTTGATACAGAAATATTTTCCAAACATTTTTTGTGATATGCCTGGACATATACTTTATTAATTTTGTATTTATTTTTACTGTACAAATAAATTTCAAGAGATGTGTGCTTGTTTGTTCTGTCTGATTCTTTTTCATAATACCAAGACTTTGTTCTACCAAGAGTTGCATCCCTTAGCAGTGCCAGGATGAGATGATCCTGGTTTGAATCACAGTTATGATACACCTGTCCATCCTCATGCTAATGTATTGAATGGGATCTTTACTAAATTGCATTAAGCCACATGCTACTTTCATTTTTCAATGTTCATGAATATCCAGAGTGATAGCCCTTGCATTACAATCAGATATGCTTGTTGGGTTTGCTAAACTGCATTTGGTGTTCAGTGTTCAGTTTTTAGAGAATACAATATTATCATTGTATTCACATTGGTTAGAAGTTTGACAATAAAGTTTATAACCTCATCCCCAGGAAGGGTACATGGAAACAGTTGCACATTTAGTAACCAATCAGAAACGGGTAATGTGATCAATTTCGTCAAGCTTAAAAACTGATTATTCCTATTATTACTTCAGATAAGTGAACTTCATTGTCATATACCAGTGAAAGACGTCCACCATTCACTGCATTGACCTAGGTGGTTGGAATATGCATAATGGCCTGAAGCCGAGAAAACTGAAACTTCTTCACGAAAAACATAAATCAGAATATTTTTGCATTGGAAATTAATGTTAATGTTTATTAAGACTTGATGTTTAACCCAGTTAATTATTGTATTTCTCTCGTGTTCTCCTTTAAGATCTATATAACATGTTTAATCTATCACTTACTGTGGACAGGCCCTTATTAAAGGATATTTCTATTGTTCTGCCAGATAGGTGAATTGTAATGCGAGGTAACAGTTAAAGAAGTCTCACTAGTCTAGATTAATCTTTTTAATACAATGGTTGACTGTGGACTTTTGAGACACTCCCCTATAAAAGTCACATACAATGACTTAGTCTGTCATACAGACCCTGAAAGTCATATATCCAATACAGCCCATGCAAGTCTAGATTACTGCAGTTTCTTAAAATGAAGAGAGCCTCTGCTCTTTTTATGTTTTATTAAGATAATTTAACAACTTTTTTTTTTTTTAAATATGTTCATTTCAGAGACCAGATTTTAGCCTCGCAACACCTGTCCAATAGGAGGACACCAAGTGATGGTCACAGATCACCTATGCAACATCTGCATGTGTGAGACTTATTGTCTGAATACTGTTATTTTACAAGCACAGGTGGCCCAGTTGTCCTGTCCAACTATCATGTGTGTCACACTGGGCTCCCACATGGAGCTGACCCAGCGTCATGCATGAACTACAGTTCAAAATACCGTATTCGATGTAATAAGCGTCCCGCTCTAAGCGCCCCCGGCGATATTTGTTAATATAATGGCTAGTGAACAATCTAAATTAGCACCCCTTCCGATTGATCAATGTACACAAGACTTATTTATTCGTGTATAATACGCACTCGTGTGTTATATTTACCCTTAATTATGGGCATTAGTCCTGGAAAAATATATCTGGCATATATAATCATTTTAGGCAGTCAGCATAAACCACGAAATCTACGATCTTTTAACACCAAAATAATATTCTGATAAGAGCCCCCTATTTCTAATTTTGAGAGCGCCCTGGGCGCTTATTACGTCGAATACGGTAGGCTTAAAGGCAACTCATTAAGTCACTACTGTGGTCAACATTAAACACCAATCAACTTAACTGTGACAAAAATGAAAGACTGAAGCAATTATCACCATGTGTTGTGTACATAACTTATATGTACATTACTATCCTATAATATGCATGAGTAATATGTGGCATGGTTCAGGTTCGACAGTTTGGAAAGACACAGCAGGAGATTTTCTTTTATCAAACTTAAAATCAACTGTATACACTAAGGAACTGGGCATTTATTATATGGGAGTGATACATATGGACCATATGGTAGCAGAGTTGGGCAGTGGTAGATATGGACTGTATGATGGGAGGCAGGTTGAGAGGAGTTTGGGAATACAAAACCTCTATTACATCCTTGCGATAAATCCTGTATTTTGGCTGTCATCACACAATACAAATCTTTAGATTTTCAACAAGTCCTCCTCACTGACAACTATCCATAACTGTACACTTAAAAAAAGTCTGGGGTACTCAGATAACCTAAAATTTCTAAAATTACTTTCTAGTAATAGTTGTATGATAATAGTGAATGAATTTGGGGAAACGTTATAATTCATAGTGAAGCATTACAGTAGATGTTATGACCGCCAACAATCTTGAAGGAAGATGGGAAAAAATTGGAAATGTCAAAGATTAATTTTTTTAATCAGTAGTGAGTAATACCACCATGATTTGTCAAAACATTCATTCACCCGACCAGGCTTTCTGCCTATGAGTCTCCCAATGATGATTTGAGGGAGTCTGTCCCACTCCTCTTGCAGAACCTGGTCAAGTTCAGCCAAGTGGTTGGTGACCTATGACGTTGACGCATGTCTCCCTATCATGTCCCAGGCGTGTTAATGGGGGGAATGTTGTGCTGCTGGAAGTGAGCACTGACGATTCGAGCACGTTGAGCATGGACGTGCTCATTCTGAAAGACAAAGAGGGTTTACAGTAAGGGCCATTGGATATTTAGCAGGGGGGAGGGGCAGGTTTTGTGGGAACAGTCATGTTTTTTTCTTCATTTTTAGGGGCTGAAATATTTTTTTCTTCTCACGTCTACTGGAGGAATGTACTTTTCAATTACAAAGATGATGTGGATGATGGACATAAGTAGCATACCTTTGGATGTAAACTGACGGAAAAAAGAAACGTTACTCAACTGAGTAGACATTCTCTGTGTGATGGCAAGATGATCGTGAATGACAAGTTTCACCCCTACCAGTTGGTATCTTGGCTCCAGTTGGGATACCAGGTCAGACTTGGACCCCAGCAACCAGAACAATCCTGGAACTACAAAACCTCTATTGCATCCTTGCCATAAATCCTATATTTTGGCTGTCATCACACAATACTAATCTTTAGATTTTCAACAGAAGTCCTCTTCACTATCAAGTATCCATAAGTGTACACTTAAAAAAATAATAGGGGATGCTTGGAAATAACCTAAAATTTCCAAAATTGTAAGACATATTACTTTCTAGTAATAGTTGTATGATAATAATGAACGAATTGGGGGAAACATTATAATCGGTAGTGAAGCATAACAGTAGATGTTATGACCACCAACAATCTTGAAGGAAGATAGGGATAAAATGGGAAATGTCATAGTTGAATTTTTTGGATCAGTAGTGCGTAATACCGCCACGATTTGTCAAAACATTTATTCACTCGACCAGGCTTTCTGCCTATGAGTCTCCCAATAGTGATTTGAGGGAATCTGTCCCACTCCTCTTGCAGACCCTGGTCAAGTTCAGCCAAGTGGTTGGTGGCCTATGACGTTGACGCAGGTCTCCCTATCATGTCCCAGGCGTGTTAATAGGAGGGGGGAATGTTGTGCTGCTGGAAGTGAGCATTGACGATTCGAGCACGTTGAGCATGGACGCGGTCATTCTGAAAGACAAAACGTCAACCCACACACCTTGCAAACAGGCAACAGAGGGTTTCCAGTAAGGGCTATTGGATATTTAGGTAGGGGGAGTGGGGGGTTTTTGGGGTAGAATTATGCTTTTTTCTTCATTTTTAGGGGCTGAGATTTTTTTTCTTCTCACAACTACTGGGGGAATGTACTTTTCAATTACAAACATAATGTGGATGATGGACATAAGTAGCATACCTTTGGATGTAAACTGACGAAAAAAGATACGTTACTCAACTGAAAGTTGGACAATTTGGGTCCAAGCCCCAATAGTGTTACAAAATGGTTGAGAAAATCAATCCCACAAACACAACCACAACCAGTTTGCTGAGTAATGCATGTGCTACATTACCCAGATCAGTGTAACGTGAGTTCAAAGTGAAACTTTTGCTGCACTTGCAGCATGCCAGCCTACAAGAGATATGGATATAAAAGGAACGTTGTACTTCATCGTCAATGTTGTTGGTGAGGAGACGGCCTTCCCGATGCCACGACTTTCCATGCACCATAACAATACCCCTGAACGTCGTGGCGCTTTTGTCCCCAAAAGCAATACAAAAATATTGAAAGTCCAAGTACACAGTAAAATGCATTTTCCAATCGCAAAGATCTGTTTTTACCACAGATTGGTCAGAATTAGGACACACTCACTTACATCATTACAAAATTAGACTCCCTTCCTATATGCAAAACGCACCCATTAGGAAATAATGTTACAATGTGCAAGAAATGTTTGAAGCCGATATGATTCAGCCCAGTTCTGAATGGCACTCTCTCATTGTTATGGTTAAAAAACGTGATAGATCTCACCGCTTTGCCGTAGATTATTGACGCCTCAATGCAGTTACCAAACCTCTGTTTTTCCCTCTTTTAGTGGCTTTTGGCAAATACCACTTTTTTCCAGATGCAAGACACAAGTCTGCCTAAATTACACATGAACGTGTTTTTGGATGGAATCACCTCCCTTTTGGCCTCACAAATGCTCCTATATATGGCATTTCTGCAAATCATTTCAGAGGCAATAAAGAAATGAATTCGTGTTAACGTTTTTGGAACATTTGAGTCACCTCAAGGCTGTATTCCAAAAGATCAAAGAAGCGGGACTCACTCTAAAACCAAGCAAATGTAAATTTACGACAAAACTAGTCACCTACTTAGGGCATATCTTCAGCCAAGATGGCATCCATGTCATCCTTCAAAAATAGATTCAGTCACACAGATCCCACCCTCTAAAAATGTCCATGGCATGTTTTCATTTCTTTTCCTATCATCACAAATTTGTAGCAAACCTTTCTGGCATCGGCTCCCCTCTATACAACCTTCTGAAAAAAGACACATCTTTCGAAAGGTCCAACAATTGCCAACAGTCATTCAAAAAGCTAAAGCAAGCCCTTACAACAGCCCCCATCCTTGCATATCTCGACCAAAACAAACCCTTCATCCTCACAACTGATGCATCTCAAACTGCAATAGGGTACATTTTAGGCCAACTTAATTCTCATGGAGTAACTTGGAATGATGTTTTTAATTCATGTCTTTTGACCATTCAAGGATCTTCCCATTCTGTTTTTAGGAAGAAACAATGTTGATTGGTAACGTTTCTTTTGCTCATCAGTTTCCAAGTAAGGGTATAATATGCTAAATGGTCATTTCCCATCACAGTCAACAACTGTTATGGCGTCTTGAAATGGAATATTTTAAATGATTATTAATAATAAAAAAGGGTTACAGGCATACTGTCTCTCATAGTCATGCCTCTGTCGAAGATTATGGGTTTGTTCACGAAATAATCTGTATTGATAAGAATGGCCATATTGTTGTCGAGACTATATGACAGCTATATGATGGTGGTCTGTAAATAATCGAGTCTGGACCAGAAAATCCAGTAATTAATATCATGAGCATCGATCCACGCAATTGGGATCCCCTGAGTGAAGTTTTACGCCGCATTAAGCAATATTCCAGCAATTTCATGGCGGGGTACACCAGAAATGGGCTTTACACATTGTACCAATGTCGGGAATCGAACCCAGGTCTTCAGCGTGACGAAATGAACCTAATTTTCTTGTACTTTTTCCACATTAAAAGTGTTAACCTAGAAGTGTCATAGACAAAAATATAAAAATATCACAATTAATCAACATATGTTTTGCATTAAAACGATTTATATTTTTCACATTTACCAAGTGTTCTATTTCCATAACAAAAACACCATGGCTTATGCCCCTTGCAATATGACGTCATTGGTGCCAATTGATAAACATTATGACGTCATCATGCTTTGTTAGAGCCGCTTCACGTGGTGTAGATACAGGTGTGTGATTCTAGCGTCTCAGATGCCAGCCAGCATAGTGTTATGCTGAGTCACCACTGCGCCGGAGTGTGTCGTAGGCCATGTTGTTTTACCGAAAACTTGTACTTGATATCTTTTGCGTTCAGAATAGACAGGGACCCAGTTGAATTGGCACCAATTACGTCATAATCTAAGGGAGATAACTCAGGCCTGTTTAGCTCGAAAAACGAAGGCCTCATAACGGCATATCATTTTCACACTATTGTGAGCTTCCTACTTTCACTGTGAAAAAATGAGTGTATATTTTCAAACACAGATACTAACTAATTCTAAAATTGCGTTTTTGTTAGAAAAAGAAAGAAAGTAATTTTTGCGTGTACACTTCCCCTTTAACCACTTAGCTAGCCGACCGCCCCTTGTGCTGGCGATTAGGTGCCTCACTTTGGCAGTGTGGGTTCAACTCAACCCAAAAAGGTACGAGAATCTGTACTTTACAAAGAAAGTGTTATTCCAAATATAACATTTGTTACATAATGATGAGGTCATTCTCCATGTCTGCGTCCTGTGCGTTTGGCTGATGTATAAATGATCTACTGAAAACAGAAGCGGCATCTTCAGCTAGGGTGAAAGGTATCTCCAATCGGTTACCCTGTCGGCTGACAGGGACCCCTTAGCCCATATTCCCGAGGCAACTGACTATAAAAGTCGAGGTCCCACGTTAACAAAATTACGTTCATAAAATATGTTTGTTTATCGTTTTGTTTACGTTGTATTCGTAGATTCCTTGCAGCAGTTAATTTTTATACGCATTTGTATTATTTTTTTTTACCTTAAACGGGCTTTATATAAATGTAAGGTGACTTTGTTTGTCGTAAGAGGTGACTAACGGGATCGGGTGGTCAGACTCGCTGACTTGGTTGAATCGATTGAATTGCGTGGATCGATGTTCATGATATCAATCACTGGCATGTCTGGTCCAGACTCGATTATTTACAGACCGCCGTCATATAGCTGGAATATTGTTGAGTGCGGCGTAAAACAACAAACCAACAAACTTTACATAAATATGGTTGTAATTGACATAGATAGGCATTTATGGGGCGCTTCAATTTCGCATTCGCTACGACCTATGGATTCTTCCAACGTGTCAGGAGTATGCATGGACAGGTCATGTGGCTGTGCTCCACACAAAAAGTCAACATGCATGTAACTGCGCTTTGAACCCCACGTGCATGCAATGTCGTGTATGATAGGCGTGAGTTTCATGTACACGTGCACGGGAGACTGTGTCTCCGTTAAAACGACAAAAATAACCAAGTCATGGTAACAGTTTCACCCGGTTCATTTTGACATGGTTATACATAAAACCACTTGAAAGTTAGTTTGTTTGAGTTTGTTTTGTTTGTTTGTTGTTCAACGCCGCACTGATGGCGGTCTGTAAATAATGGAGTCTGGACCAGACAATCCTGTGATTGACATCATGAGCATCGATCCACGCAATTGGGATCGATGACATGCGTCAACCAAGTCAGCAAGACTTACCACCCTATCCCGTTAGTCGCCCTTTACGGCAAGTATGGGTTGCTGGAGTCCTATTCTATATCCCGGATCTTCGACGGGTCTAGTTGGCTTGAACGGCACTAGAGGAACTATACCTGTTTCCTTCACTGAAAGAGAAGTGCGTCCTCAACTTACTGGACTGATTCGCTTATACCAGCAACTGAACTGATATTCATCATTCCACCCCTATATGTCCGTAAAACCTAATTTATGTAGTGTATATTTCAGTTAGGTCACGGCCTGTCAGCTTGACGAGGGCAATGTGTGAAGCCCATTTTCTGGTGTCCCCCGCCGTGATATTGCTGGAATATTGCTAAAAGCGGCGTAAAACCATACTCACTCACTCACTCACTTGACGAGGGAAATTAAGCCCAAAGTGATGTTGTTCCAAGACGTTTAATTTAAATACCACGTTGGTGAATCTCTCAAGCACGAGTGTGACAGACCAAGGATCATATCCGTAGCGAATCCAAGGGCGGATCCAGTATTTTCTCTCTAAGTCCGCCTATGGAATCTAGATATCGAACCCATGCTAGCCCGGCTAGCAACATAATTCAACGCCTCATATCAGCATTCGGCAACCGGTGTCCCTTCAAAATTCAAAAGATGGGGAGGCCCACTGGATATGTCAAATTGTAAAGTTGCGGAAAACTTGAAATATGGCATTGTAATTATCAAACGTGTTGCAATGGCTGAAAACTTGCCATTTTCTTTCGTACACATACACAAGCATGTTTTCTACTTCTGTCATTTACACAAATATGGCTAAAATGATCGAGAGAAAACCTCAAATAAAAATCCAAGTATGAGCAAGTCGGTTATCAAAATAATATTTCTTACCATATGTTTGTAATGCTTTTATGTACATATCCTATAAAAATCAGCTGGGAACTTTCTCATATTAGAAAAAAAGAGTTTTATGAAAATTGTCCAAATCTATTCATTTACTGTTGTCATAAGTTCCATACATTATATTGTTGAAATGAACAACTTTTCTCTCATGTTCATATGAACATATCTGATAACATTCAGAGTTCAGTTTCTAAAGGTTTTGCTCAAATCTTAAATTATGCAGATCCCGTACTTGTGTAGAATACACGGGCCAAATATGTGCCTCATATCCTACCTTAATACAGCCAGCCAGGTTTGGCTTACAGATTATATCAGGAAATGTGTACAGGTCTTCCAACACATGTATTATGTGCATGCGAGTTGTTAAGTGTACAAATAACAAAACTAGCAAATTAATGGGCTGGTATAGATGGAATGTTGCCGAGAAACAGACAAATATTTCAGTTTGTTTGAGATGCTATATTGTAGTTTTGAAGAATGTTAAAAACTTTAAAACCGTTTCATTAAGATTTTATTGTTACGTATTTTGTTTGTGTTAGAGTTCCAGATATGTAGTATATTTTGGTATAAACATTTAACAATGATATATACCGTTATGCCATGCTTTTCTGCATTTTTATTCTACACATAGATGTAAACATCGACCTTTTGAAACAGGCTATAAGTCCACGCGGGGTATCCCCTTCTAATCCAATCGAATTTGTGGGAACGCTTACGTCATGACCTTTCATACCGTTCAACCAATCAAAAGCTAGCCCGCCAAGCGTCAGTCCTCAGGTTCCCGCTACTGTCAAGAAATCTTATCGTAAGTGTCCATTTAATATTGTTTTTAACATGATTTATCTTATGTTTTTTCTTTAAAACTTTGATGTGCAAGTCCAGTTGTCATGTGCGGATGACACATTTCTTGTGTCAACTCTTTCCGATCAGTATGCTGACAAAATGTCACGCAAGGCCAACTCCATTTTCTCAAGTCTCGGGTGAAGCGTCACTGACCTCTTTGTTGCGCGTCAAGATTGTGGCTTCTGTCATGTTTTAGAAGGATGCGCTCCATTTCCGAAATATAGGTTCCATGTTTTTGGTGAAGACAATTACCACATTATTCAATAACAACGAAAGCCTCAATATGAAAATATCTCTAACCACCGGCTTCCGCTCTTGACAATGTCGGTCAGTGCAACTTCATGGTGCGTGTGTATTTGCCGTGCGCACAGTGGTTGTAAAATGTTGATATGCCCAAACGAGTGGATTGGCCAAATGCGGACCATGCTAATGACGTTAGCCCTCAGTTCCACTCTTTGTTAATAAACACTTTTGACAGAACAAATGGTTGTAATGTTTGAATGCTTTATTTAAATGTACTCTTTCCAAGAGCAGGAAATATTTGCAAGATCCTTCTTCTAAAACGGTGTTTCCCTTGTCAGCTGATTTTCGGCTAAATTGAGGCCAGTGACGCGACCTACTTTATCGGGAAGGGTTAAGTAATTGCCCCTTGTCTGCAGGCTTATATAAATTTATTTCACAGGATGTGTAAGGAATGTTTATCAGGGCGGGCATTTATTTTAGAAAAAACAGCAGTTATTTAATATAGGCCTAGTCTTTTAAAAGGGGTACAGTGAACATCATATAGAGTTTTCAATAGATTTTAAGTTCAAATTCGTTTGGTTATTATGATCAAGGATACAAATTAACCTGAAACAGTTTAATTCCATTCTGAATAGTGATAATGAACATAATTCTATTTAGATAAATAAGGATACCCTTAACCATGTTAACATGCTTATATAAGAGCCCTGAAATTCTATTAGCCCTGAGGAATGTCAGGGTACCTTAATGTGCCTAGTTGCACCCCTGATATGTATTATGATTCATGGTCTTTGTTGAGTTGTAATGATTGCTGGGATTTATCAAGACCTCAGAGGGCGATATTTGGCGATAAAAATTCCCAATTTGCAATTAAAGCTTCCAAATTCATCTAACAATGTAAAAATATATATAACTAATAACTAATTTTATAGCTTTGTAGAAATGAACTGTATTCACTTATTCCCAAGACCAATAAATAGGAACTAGTTTTAATGCTTTGTTTTTATATTATTGCTTGCAATCTCAAAATACCTCTAAATTTAAGAAAATGTGAACTTATAAAAATCCCAATTTTGAGGAAAATAATGATTTTGTTCCAAATTTGCCTGCCAGGGCACTTAGTTAAGAATCCTAAATAAATCCCTGGATTGATGTGAATAATAATCTGTTAGCTAACTTTCCATATAAGTGAGAGAATTAGAATCTTTATTGCTAAGTATCCCTGTTAAAAATTTCTTTGCTTGAATAGACCATACACTGTACCCATTTTTTTGACATACTAGAATTGTTCAGGAGTTTGTGTAGAAACCTTTTCAATTTCAGTCTGCTCGCCCAAACTTGTCTGTTGGCATTATTATTTCAGTAGATTTTAGTGCTTTTTATGGGCTATTATGCTCACTAAACTCAACACAAAGTTACTACAGTCACGCTTTGGGCTAGTGGCTAAAGTCACAGATTGGTTTCATTAGTAGATTTAGGGCATGATCATAGAAGTTTAGGTGTGCATTTTGTTATTTCACTTTGCACAAATATGGCAAAGAGCTGTGTTAGAAATTAATGTAAGTCCACTAGGACTAATGGCATATTCCAATATTATAGGAACAAGTACCCAGGAGGCTCCCATTTTCTAAAATAAAGGGTTTCCTATCTGCTGTTCTATTGGTGTATTTGATAAGGACCCATGGAATGACATTAAGAACAGCTGATAATAAAGTGATCAGATGGTGTTATTATTTATTTCATATGAGAAATGAACTGTGGGCTTATACTGAATCTGACAATGTATGCTGCTAATGTCCTGGCACGTTTTACAAAACAACCTTCGTGCTACGACTGTCATAAGTCTATGTTAAGGTATGGGAGCTACTATCACCTTAGCGCTAAGATTGCTTTGTACAACAGCACCCAGATTGTTCCGTATTGTTCACATCCACACTGCGAGTCATGTGACCATAAACATGCGTGTATTTTGGGTCTTATGGTATTTTGACAATAAATCATTGAATTCTTAGCTTCAACAAACATTGTGATTAACCTCATCCTCATGTATTTTTTTATACTAATGTCATCGTATCCCTATTGCATAGATCGATGCTCATGATGTCAATCACTGGATTGTCTGGTCCAGCCTCGATTATTTACAGACCACCGTCATATAGCTGGAATATTGCTGAGTGCAGCGTTAATCAACAAACAAACTATACTAATGTCTTTGGCCAATTCAGTGGTCTTTTCCTGCTTGTAACATCCACAGCGGTTAATGAAGGGGCCTTGTTTGTGTAATATGGTGATATGTGTAAGGATACCAGTCTGATGCAATCCTTATTGTCCCTTTGGTACTCCCCCATCCCCCACCTGGAATTAAATGACCTTATTGTGTTGTCCTGACATTTCAGATCGTGTTGACAACTCAATAACCATCAAGATGCCGACTCCAGCTAGAAAGGTGAGATAGTTTGGATTAGTTTCTGTTGGTCATGTATGTCTTTTAAAATGTTCTCTAAAGCTGAAACACTGAATTTTTTTAGTTAATTTTTTTGTATTGTGACTAATTGGAACATGTTAGAAATTATGTGACATTCTTTTATGTTTAGCATGTTTTTGTTGTGCTGTTTCACAACATTTGCACTCCTCAAATTGGTTCTTATTTAAGGGAATTCTTGAACATAACGTTGTGCAAGGTTGGTGTCTGGTGTTAATTGAATACAATGCATCGAAAAAGCGATAGAAACAAACATTTTTAGTCAACTGGTCCTTATAATGATAACCTATAGCAAAACCCATAAAAATGGAAAATGTCTACTAGTCCTTATGATACTTTAACTATTGGGCAATTTGGCAAGGACTACAGGACTAGTGCCAATTTCTACCACTGTCGAAAGTGTGCAACCAAAGCTCGGCCACCTTACTGGATATCAGGGGCGGTCAGATAGCCTTGTTGTTAAAGCTTTCGCTCGTCATGCCGAAGACCCGGGTTCAATTCCCGACATGGGTACAATGTGTGAAGCCCATTTCTAGTGTCCCCCGTCATGATATTGCTGGAGTATTGCTAAAAGCGGCATAAAACCATGCTCACTCACTCACTCACTACTGGGGTTCATGTGGGCTTACAGTACCTGGTCTTCCTGTGTGGTACCCAAACAGGATTTACGTCATCCCTTTTTATTTTATTTACCAGAGTTGTTCAAGATTTCAATCACTGTAAAAGTTTCTTCATTCTCATCTCTGACCGATTGATAAGATTACTCTCTAAATCTTATCGAGCTTATGTCATTGTTTTAATTCAGCACAGTTGTGAGTTTTGGTTGTCAAGCCTAGTAAACAGGTTAATTATTGTGAGAAAATAAGTTGAATATGAAGTATCTGTTTTATATCTTTGAATTGACACAAAAAAAAACATGCTTTGTCTTCACGAAGATAATCCTGTTTGTTGCGTGTATGCTTAAGTTCAGCATATATTCTATAAGTGTTGATGTGCATCAAGTAGACATCAATGTTTCTGTTTTCAATGAAAGCCCAGTGTATTAGGTATAAGACAGCTTCAGCATACCACGTTCCATGCTTGAAGTAACTTGACTGACCGCTGGTTGTAATGTCCCATGTGATGGCTATTGGCCTTAAGTTATTTCATGCATGCCCGATTTCTTTGGAAGCCATGCATTCAAGAATAAAATGACTTAACGATTTGACAGGTGTATGAATGAATTCACCCTCTTTGTGAGTGTAACAGATGTGTGTTTAACACAATGTACTCATGCATATTGTTTATTTTGTGCTTGAACTTTGTGTTGTTGGCAAACATATTTTTCGAGATGGTAGTCACATAAATTTCTCAAGATTGGTTTTAAATGTAAAGATCATTATGACATTTGAGGGTGATTTTTATTTTGTAAATTGTTACTAAATTTGTGAAAAAGTAACTTTTCGACAAAATTCAAACTGTACTTAGAGCATTAGGTTTTGATTTTTGTTTTTTCTTTGGCTATCAAATGAATTTGTTTAAAAAATGTTTGGGGTGAGTAGGATGAGAGCATGTACCAAACATGATGCAAAAGCTGTCATGGTTAATGTGTAAGCAAGACATCAGAAAATGATGCTATGTCTTTAACCTGCTCATATTCATAAGTTATCGAGTGATACGTGGTGACCTGGTACCCAATACAATTGTGGATTTGCCGACATATTTTTAACAACAGTACATCTAATTTGTATGGTAGTCACAATTTCTAGATAGAATGCTCAGTTTGAATTTAAGGTGGTCATTGGGGTGTTGAGATTTGCTCCTGTAGTATGTGAATCTTGGGTCCTCCCTCGTTCTTTAACTTTAAATGTTGAGGTTACAACAAAGACCCCTTGACTTTCATATATGGATTCCAAACATTGATGTTGGTCGTATGTGCTAATAAAAATAATCAATGCTACTCTTATCATGGCTAGAAGGAAGACGTGGAATAGACTCAATGTGGATGCCTTTCTTGGTCAATCAAGTTCAGGGCCCCGTTCCACAAAGAGATTGTAGCATTAAGACGATTGTTACTCCCATTCTTTAACATAGCCTTGTGATCGCTTAGTGGAACAAGGCCCTGGGTGGTGGAGTGTCATTTTCATCATTGTTCATAGCCACATATTCATGACAACCTGTGACTAAATTATTATTTCATTCAAGAGGCTAATTAATCATTACCATGTTGCTATGACATGTTACAGTCACTCAGTTGTTATAATTACAAGAAGCTAATCCCCGAATAAGCATGCTAATTGTTAATCCGCAACTCCTTTGTTTTGTATATTTACCATCAGCCTTAAAATTAGGTCTATATTGAATGTCCAATGTATTTACGCTTAAAGTAAAACTAATTAGCAGAAATGCAAAAGGGGAACACTGATCATGACACTCGTAACAAACCAAGGATTTATCTCGACCTGCTCAGAAGCCGATATTTCGCCCCAAGTCTGCAGCGAAGGTCACTAAAAATTCCCAGTTTGGAAGTAAACATTTCCCTAATCATGTTACAATATATGTAACTAATATTGTAATTACTGATTTTGTGACAAGACTTATAAATAGGAACAGGTTTTAATGCTTTGTTGTATATTATTAGTTTACATGCAATCTCAAAATACCTCTGAATTTAAGAAAATATGAACTCTTAAAAAATCCCTGTTTTGAACAAAATGACTATTTCCCAATTTGCCTACCAGGGTCACTTAGTTAAGAATCCTAGATAGATCCCTGCTAACTTGAATATAAACTAGCAAATGAAAATGATTGTGCATTTTCGTATTGACATAATCATGATCTCAGCAGTGTGGGTGGACTACTTGTTTGCAAAGCCTATGAACATGACGAAACTTGGTCGTATTTGTTGAGCACATACATGTATTTTAAGCCAGTTCTGTAGGGTGAACTTGCCTTATAAGTGGCTGACCTTGCAAGCTGTATGAAGAGACCAATCCTGTTTATTGTCCCGACCATTACATAATGGAGTGGCCATCAACATGTTTACACATGTAGAGAGGGGGGGGGGGGGGGGGGGGGGGGGGGGGGGTTTACAGGGTCTATCCTTAGTGCCCAATATTTATGATGTAATCTGTGGTGAAAGCTGGTAGAGGAGACATTGTGCTACACCCCCACAACCTACTTGGAACAGGGACTAGGTCTTGTGTAGTACTGTCCTATATATATATACTGCAAGTGGGAAGAGATGGCGACTGGAATGGTAATGCCTTTAACAGGACTGGGATTATTTTAGAATTCTAAATTAAGTGCCCTTGGCAGGTAAATTAGGAGAGGAAATTTAATTTTGTTCATATTGTAATTCCTACTTTCTTAAATTTACTGGTATTATATCATTGTTTTTTTTCACATTGCATTCAATGCAATATTAAATGTAACACTGAATGTAACACTAAACCAGTCTGCAACTTTAGCCACTAGTCCGAAGCCAGAGTCTAGTAAAATTCTGTTTGGTCAAGTAAGCTCCGCTAATAATAGTCCATACAGCGGTAGAAACTAACATTTTTGGTCCACTAGTCCTTATAATGATGATATTTAGCAAAACCATTAAAAATGGCAAATTTCTACTAGTCCTTATGATACCCTAACTATTGGGCAGTTTGGCAAGGACTATAGGACTAGTGCCAATTTCTAACCCTGCCATATAACCCTAAAATCTAATGAAAACAGTGTTGAGAGCCATGTTTGGACAAGTAGAATTAGTTTTTTTGGTCCTGTAATACATGTATATGTGAAATAATGTTATGTCTACAGAGCCATAAAATTACTTATAATATATTACAAGTACTGGGAAGTTGTAAATCCAAATTGGGATTTTTATGTCCTTGATAAGTCCTAGCAGCGGTAAACACCATCAGTAAAATGTAACAAGTCCACACTCATGCTAATTTTGGACTTTTGTATGTATCAGTAATCATGATAATGTAACTAGGTAAAGTAGTTCTGGACTAGTGGTAACCTTGCCTTAAATAATGTTGATTCAGCAAACAATACATGACTTTTCTAATTTGTTAAAATGATCATCATTGCTTATCAATCAAGTATTATCAATATTAATAAGGCATGGAAAGTATTGTCAAGTTTTTGCTTTGGTAGCGCCAAATGGTTTAATGTTGAGGCTTTGTTCACTGCTGATTAAATGGTGTTTTTCTCTATAACATGTTAGTTTAGAATTTCTAAATCACACAGATTTCATTCTTTCTATTGTAATATTTTTCTAAGCTGATGATTTTCAGGCAGGTGGTCTTCTTTTCAGGTCAACTGTTAAAGTTGACAGCTGTTTTTTGTTGTTTTTTAAAATCTTTTTCAGTTTTTGTTGACTGCTGTTAGATATTCAGGTTGTTAGATTCTTTATCATAAGCTGGCAACAAGGGTTTTGTGAATTTGACCTCAATTTCAAGGTAAATGTGCACTGGGGTGTACAGTTGAATGGTGAAGCGTGGATAATGTGATAGCCTCTTTTTGACAGAACCTGCAAGCCAAATACCTCCCATTCTTCACTGACATGGGCTTTTGTTGCTGAATCTTCCGAAATAAGAGATGGAATTGACTGGTAAATTGGGCTGCTGGGAAATTGGATGATAAGTTTACTGTAATGTTCATAAATAAAGTTTTATGACTTTGAAGATGTATCACATATCATAATGGCCCTTAGGATACCTTTGACAGCGCACTGGCAGGGGCTCGTGTAAGAATGGTTAGCATATGATCACCCCTAGGCCTGTTCTGTTTAATCTCATGGTTTGCAGATTTGATTTTCAAACCATACTGGTTGGTGGTCACACTAGTTGAAATAAAACTATGGATAATGTTTTGGAAAGTAATCTCATTAACAAAACAATTCTGTTCATGCTGTCTGTCAGGTGAAGCAGACATAGGGGAAAATGTTTTTTTATAATGAAAACAAAGCATATTTCTAGATTCACGAACTAATTGTTCTCATGAATCGGCTTGATGAGAAGAAAATGGCTTTGTCACAAATAATTTCACATTAAGACAGTTTTTATTAATAATTTTGTGGACCAAACATTATCTGATTTACAGATGTGTACAAAAAAAAAAATATTTTGAAAGGAGTAGGTTTAAGAAATGCCTTAAAACATGATGGCTTGGTGCCCTGATTCTAATCCACCATCCCAGTTAAACGGAGATTAGTCAACGTCTGACCTGAATATCAATAAGGTAGTGGCCAGCAGGTCGTGTAAACTGATAAGTTGACAACTTGGTGACCTCATGTCAAGTGTCACAAACATGCTTGTGTCCATGCCTCCAACTTGAATGTCCAGCATTCCTGTTGTGTACACTCTCATATCAAATTCCCTACACTGAAAACAGTGGAATGATATATGCTGTTGTATGGTTTATAATGTATTGTTACTATTAGTGCTTGAACACTGTTGAAGCAGAGATGAGCAGTTGCATTTCCTAGCTTTGACCATGTTGAATGAGGTTTTCATTATACTTGTTTAACAATCTTATTCTAGGATTTTATTATTTTGATTACGGTCTGTCACGTTAACCACTACCATATTTGACGTAATAAGCGCGTAGGGTGCTCCCAAAATTAGAAATAGGGGGCTCTTATTAGAATATAATTTTGGTGAAAGAGTTGAAAGATAGTAAATTTCGTGGTTTCTGCTGACAGCCTAAAATGATACAAAAGAAAAGTCTGTGCCCATTACACACGACAGATATATTTTTCCAGAATTTAATTGCCCCTATTTAAGGGTGCATATTACACACGTGCGTATTATACATGAATAAATAAGTTCTGTGTACATTGATCAATCAGAAGGATGGTAATTGGGATTGTTCACTAGCCAATATATTAGCAAATATCGCAGTGGGTGCTTATTAGAGCACATATGGTAATACACATAGCACAATTCAATAAAATTTCTTCCAGGTGAGCAGTCTGCGATTTTGGCCACTAGTCTGAAGCCTGAGTCTAGTACATTTCTTCTAGATCCTTTCTTCTAGTCAATACACTAAGACTAAAATCTACTGAAACAGTGTGATATACAAGATCAGGCTACGATCAGACTCATACATATTTAGCACATACTGGGCTAGAACGTGTTAGAATGAGTCCTCAGCAACCCATGCTTGCCGTAAATGGCTATGGTTGTTGTAAGAGGCGATTAACAAGATTGGATGGTCAGGCTTGCTGACTTGATTGATGAATGTCATCATATCCCAATTGCGTGGATCGATGCTCATGATGTCAATCAGTGGATTGTCTGGCCCAGACTCGATTATTTACAGACCTCCATCATATAGCTGGAATATTGCTAATGTGGCCTTAGTCAGTGGAGTCTGACTGAGGGAGTCAGCCATATAGCAATAAGAACAAATTATTGAAAGAGCATGCTTGATTAAAACACTAGTAAGGTAAAATATCACAGTTTCTATTAGAAGCAAGTTAGATTAAAGTAATTTTGTTGGTGGAGCAAGAAGACTTTGTGTTAACATGAGGATGAAAGAATGTCATATTCAGAAATTCAGACTGGTTAATTTTTTTTATTTTGGCTAAGATACTTTTCAAATTTGGTGATACTGAATGTCTTTATTTGCTGAAATAATGAAAATGTCCTATGACAAACAAAGCCACTTGCAATCGTGTGCAATGGGATTTTTGCCAAGTTGTTTGTGTGATGAACACGCAGAAAGGTAACAATGTGTGTATTGAAAGAAAGCCCCCTTTCATTGCAGTGCATGGTGGCTGTTAAATAAATAAGTAAATTAACAGGTAACTGAAGAAAACAGTCTGGTGTTGCCTGGTATAAGAAACTTGAAACAGACTATAGTCTGGTTGGGCAGATCTATAAATAGTTCACTATTTCCCCAGCTGATACTGATGCAAATATCAAGGGTCGGAGGTTATTGTGGTATCACATGTCTATTTGTAGCTTCTCATTCGAGTGGTCTGATCAGCTGAGAGAAGGTGCTTTCTCTTTGATTTATGTTTCGTAACACCTTACATGTTCCATTCCTATCATAAGGGTGTGCAAGATTTACTTTAGGTCAGAAGTAATTTTTTCTGCATATTTGTTTTTCAGTCAAGTTGGGATAAGTTAAGTTTCTTAGCAAGTCGGTAGGTAGTTTAATAGGGGTAGTCTTACATCATATCGTGTGTGTGTCTGTGTCTGTCTGTGTCCAGGTCAATTTGTGTCCAGCATGGCCTATCAGGGGAAGTGAAGATTTTGACACATTGTTATTTTGTCCCTTTGCTTGTATGTTACACACATAACATATTACTTCTGGTGTCCATGGTAACATTGATTTTTTATCATGTTTATTGATGTATGAATATAATTCTGAATTCGTATATCATGCAATTTTTCATTCGTGAGTATGTTACTTTTGTCTTTGATTCTGAAATATCGGTTAATTCAATATTTTATTATATCAAATTGTGACTGTGTTTATCGTTATTAAGTGAAAATGTATACATGGCTCGGATGAAAACAGAATTAGATATGATGTTTAGATCTGACTCAAGGTTAACATTACCATGGTTACCTATATTCGCAAAAGATGTGTCAGATCACACATGATTGTCATGTTGTATTATTTATTAACTGATCTGGGGCGGTCGGGTAGCCTAGTGGTTAAAGCGTTCGCTCATCACGCCGAAGACCTGGTTTCGATTCCCGACATTGGTACAATGTGTGAAGCCCATTTCTGGTGTCCCCTGCCGTGATATTGCTAAAAGCTGCGTAAAACCATACTCACTCACTCACTAAATTAACTGATCTCTGCATTCAGGTTAAGTCACCGCCTTCAAAGAGCCGGGGCAAGTCTCGAAGTAGGAGCCGAAGTCGTGGTCGATCCACGGGGAAGACGTCACGCTCAGCATCCAAGTCCCCCGCCAGGACAAAGTCCAAGTCCCCATCTAGGACACAGTCCAAGTCTCCGTCTAGATCGTCACGGACCCGAGAGAGAACAACTGTCGTCAAGAAGGAAATAGTGCTCACTCCTACCAGGCAGTCAACACGGATTGCTGACCTTGTTGACCACGAGGTAGACTGATTAACTTTGTAGTACGAAGAAAGTGTTTATAGAGTTATCATGGAAAATAGATAAATTAATTGCAAAGATTATTGAAATGAAAATTGTCCCAGTGGCCTAATTTAAACACCAACACTTCTCATATTAAGATATCTGATACATAGCATTTAAACTGTGGCACATTCTCACTAAGGGTCAACCTCAGTGTTTTTGCAGTCTTTTGGGCATTTTGTTTGGGAATCACTGTCCTGGAAAATGAACTAATCTTAAAGCCTGCAATTTACCAGCTAACTGACCAGCCTTTTGCTTTCTCATTTGTTGGCCAGTCCCAGCTTTGTTAACTAGCATGGTTGATTATCTGCAACTGTGTAATATTCAGACTAGTGGTTATGAACATAGTCCACTGATGTGGCTCTCTTCTACTCCAGAAAAGAGTGTCCACAAGGTCCTCTGAGCTGTTAAAGTCTGAAGTCCGCAACAACATGGCCGACAAGAAGGAAAAAGCAAAGCCTGCTGCCAAGACACGGGCAACAGAGTTTGGGGGCCCAGTAGGGGCTCTATTCATCACCCTGTCTCTGCCACTTTTCATGTATTGCATCAACTTGGCATGCACTAAGGTAAGAGAAAAGAGCTGAAGGTAGTACCAATCGGTTGTAGTTTCACCTCCACTAAAATTTGTCAAATCAAGTTTATCAACAATGATCAAGTTTCTACTGTTGCCCCTGAAAATATGTCAAATCAACAACCCTGTTCACAACCTTTCCTTCATTTACCATCAAGATGGAATATACTTCTGTAATCTTGCATGTGAGACTGTCAGATGTTTTGGTCTATTTATTTGTACATTTTAGTGGCTCCTTGGTCATTCAGTTTGTGCCCAAAACATCTTAGTCCACTGTCCTGAAATTCTCTCTTGGCATTATTTTTTGAGAGATTTTAGTGCTAACATTTGAACTAAACATGCTAAACAACTATTACGAGCCTCGGGCTTCGTACTAGTGGCCGAAGTAGCAGACTATGAACTAGATGTTCAGATGCTATCATGGTGGTGATAAATTAGAGAAATAGCCAAATCCCCTACCATGATTTTTTACCTGGATATTGTTGGGCATTTGGATATCTTCCACTTCCATGCATTGGGCATTTGGATGTTTAGCCTAATTCCCTTCCATTAATTAGGCAATGGGATATATTATATTCCACTTCAATGATTTGGGATTTGGGTAAAAGAGGTAATTGTGAAATCCATTCATTCGGTGTGTTTGTGACATTAATTGTTATGTGGTTAATGCTTCAAGCAAATCATTTCCAGTCAGTGTGATTGGGTTAAAAATTACCCAATAATATAATTGTAAAGAATTTTGATCGGAAGAATTGTATCTGAAACTATTTTATTTGGAATAATATATTCATTCATTCCAATATCATGTTATTTTAGTTGCAGCTTTACTATATATATTTGAAATAAATTAATGACTATGTGCATAGTCACTTTGGTAAGGCTGATTGCTATTCTCGGATATTTTGTTGTTGTATGGAACAATTTGATCAATCAGCGTCGATGCTCCTGTGCTCAAGATTGCAAAAACTTTGTTGGCATACAATAGTCAAACTACAACTAATATGACTTTTAATGAGTCAATGTATTGCATTTATCACATGTATGTCCATTCTCTATTTACTAAAGTTCGTTTCAAGGCATCAATAGCAGTAATTTGACTGGTTGCTGTAAAAAATGGTGGATTGTGCATGCAATCTACTGATCCCTTCACACACGATGTCGCAGAAATAAATGTAAACAATATTGAATGAAATTTTGAATAACATTAGTAAAATAGGTTACAAATATAAATCCAGATATACAATGAACACTTTTAATAACCAGACAGGGATATTACAAGAGTAATTTGCCTACTTCATTAAGGATTTGTTGACATGGTACATGTTGCTCACAGAAATGTCTTTCTGTTGGGAGGTAAAAAACATCAAAACTCTTCTACCCTGTGTATAGGGCGACCCACCCACCCACCCCTTGAAACCCCCCCACCCCTTGAAACCCCCCCACCCCTTGAAACCCCCCTAATGGTAGGTACGCAAAACTTCCCTTTAGTTATACACAGCAATATACAGTATATCAGCGATAGAAACAGTTTTAGTCCACTTGTCCTTAATAATGATAACATTTAGCAAAACCCTTAATAATGGTAAATGTCTGTAAGTCCTTAATACCTTAACTATTGAGCAGTTTGGCAAGGACTACAGGACTAGTGCCAGTTTCTAACGCTGTATATTGAATGATACAAGTGTTCCAATTTTAAGGGTGTCCCATGGTCCCTGAGGTTTGCTCCGATGGTATTTTCCCTAGGACTCCCTCAGTCTCTAACATTCAACGTAAGGAGCCCTTGACTTTCAAGAATAATTTCAAACGCTGGCTAGCTTTAATATTGCTCATGTTTCTCTTATATGTGTTGTAGACCAAGTGCACCATCCTAGAACTTCCAAAGTTCCCTAAAAACATCTGGATTCTGTTTGACATGGAGGCCACACTGATATTTTTCGGCTGGCTAGCATTCCAGGCTGTCCTAGCCATGATTCCTGTTGGTCGAGTCGTAGAGGGGCAGCCATTACCTTCTGGGAAGCGTCTCAAGTACAGATGTAACGGTAGGTTCAACATTCCAGTTGTTGTTTCACGACCAGGGTTTGATTTCTTGATATTCAAAGTGGTGTATTTGTTGTCACATGATTTAAGCAGATATGTTAACCCTAATTGAAGCTTTTGAGTAATCAGTGGGTAAAAAGGCATAATTTCATGTGAAAAAGAGTAATGTTAATAGTACCATTGTGTTGGTTTTCGCTTCAACTTTTGTTAGGCCTTGACAGCATCACTATTTGATATCAAAGCAATACATAAACATCATAAATCTTTTTTGAAAACCTGTGTTTTGGCTGTGCCTGTGGCTTATAACGAACTGACCGATATATCGAACTTATTTTTTAGTCCTGGCCATTTGTTCTATATATGCTGTATATATGCTTATAATGAACTATGGTTATTACGAACTAAACTAAAGTGGTCCCTTTACAGACCGCCTTCATATAGCTGGAATATTGCTGAGTGGCATTAATCGACAAACAAAACAAACAAAAAACTTTACAAACTTCAAAGTAACAATGTCCTTGATAGTAACCCACAGACAATGATGCGAATGATGTTTTGTTTTCAGGTTTCTTTGCCTTTGTGGCAAGTTTGATCGCATTTGGTATTTGTGTGTACTTTGATGCGCCACTTGTGAAAATGGTTCATGCCAAGTTCTTCCGCATTATGACGTCCGCCATCCTGTTCAGTGTCATCCTCAGCATCTTCCTGTACATCAAGGCAAGAGCTGTACCTGTGACCCAACTAGCACCAGGAGGAAATACAGGTATGCCATTCACCATTCACAGTTGTGGTGAGGGCCCAAACCTTATTATCCCCCCCAGCATATGATGGTGGGGGTGGGTGGGGGGAGGGCGATATAGTCGACACCTCGTCCGTCCGTAATAATTTTTTCCCCGGAGCTTAACTCGAAAACATGTCAATATCCTTTAAACAAAATTTGGCCGATATTATCAAACAGGTCCTGAAGTGGTGCCTTTTGCTATTTACAAATTTTTGGCATTTTTCTTTTTCTTGATTTTCATGGGAACAATTTGGACTTTGTCTCAAAAGGGTAGGGGTAGGTGTTGCTTCTGGAGCACAACTCAAAACCGTTCAGTATCTTTCAACAACACTTGGCAGATAAATCAAACATCCTGAAGTGGTGCCTTTTGCTATTTGGGGATTTTTTACATTTTTCTTTTTCTGGATATTCATGGAAACAATTTGGACAATTTGGACAAAAGGGTGGGGGTAGGTGTCGTTTCCAGAGCACAACTTGAAAGCTGTGAAAGACTTTTCATCCAAACCTGGTACATGTATTAACCAAGGGCTGAAGTAGTGCCTTTTGCTAATTAGGACTTAAAGAAGAAGAATTAATTATTCCTGTTTCCTTGGCAACAAGTTTGACTTTTGCCTCTGTTCATAGTGTTGTGTTTGTCTGGACCATATCTCTAAAATCTCTAATGGGTACTCTTTCTTGAAACTGTGTGTGCAGGTTGTCAACTGGTGCCTTTTGCTATTTAGGGATTTTTAGAATTCATAATTTTTCTGTTTCCATGGCAATAAGTTTGATTTATTCTCTGTTCATGGTGGTTGTGTACCTGACATAGAAATACAAAGTTCCAAATCCCAGTTCCATAATGATCTTTTTTCAGTTTTAACCAAATTTCTATCTTTCAGGAAATGCTCTGTATGACTTCTTCATCGGTCATGAACTAAACCCCAGAATTGGCAGCTTCGACCTCAAGTTCTTCTGTGAGCTGAGACCAGGCCTGATCGGCTGGGTTATTCTCAACTTCATCTTCGTGCTGAAGGCATACCAGGACACCGGAGCTTTCCCCCCTGCACTGACTCTAGTGGTGGCTTTCCAGACGCTCTACGTCGCTGATGCTCTCTGGTTTGAGGTGAGAAACAGTCTTAAAACAGGAAACATTGTGGGGATTCCTGGTTGGAATAGGTTCCCATTTCCTGATGATTGATGAAAGAGTCAATGAAAATGAAGATCAGGTGGTCCCAAGGTGTGACCTGGCTGATTATATTCAAGGCTGAGTGTCAATACGCCAATGCTGGAACATGTGCTCGTATTGTCAATCACTGGTGTATCTGGTTTAGACATACAGTAACTACGTTTATTACAAACACACTTATGACGAACCGACGGATATTAAAAACTTCTCTTTCTTTTTTTGGTCTCAGCCATTTGCTGTGTATATGCTGTATATATGCTTATAACAAACAAAGGTTTTAATGAACAAAAATTAATGGTCCCTTCGAGCCGGTTATAACCATAGTTTACTGTAATTTGCAGAGTTCATTGTTATAGCTAGAAGATTGCTGACTGTGGCATATAACAACATTCACTCAGCTGATCCCCATATATTAAATGAATTAGAACACAATGAACATCTCCAATTCCTACTTCTACAAGCAATGGTCCGTATTTCTTGCTATACAGGATGCCATCCTAACCACGATGGACATCATCCATGATGGGTTTGGCTTCATGTTGGTGTTTGGAGATCTGGCCTGGGTACCCTTCCTCTACTGCCTCCAGCCCCGCTTCCTCCTGGACAATGACCCCAAGCTGGCCTGGTACTCTCTAGCCGGGATCGCTCTTCTCAATGGTGAGATTCAGGAGATGTGCTAAGGTTTCCGATAGACAAAAAATCTTTTTGATAAATTAACAAGTCATGCTACTTGTATCTATCAAAATCACTGTGCACTTAATCCTGTTGTGTACAGCTTGCATATAACTCAAACAGGCAACTAGCCAAGATGGAAGCTGTAGCTCTTCAATAGAATGATCCAACAGCAAGGCGTCCAATGGAAGATCATTGGATAAATGCAAAATGTCTGGTTGAATATAATATTGTTGGTGTCAAATATTCATTTCCTGTAATTTGAAGGACAGATGGAAATAGGTTTACTGCACAGTCATTAAGTGGCATCTTGGAACATGGCTTTTGAAATCAGCTTTATGACATAAATTGTTATTTTTACACTACAAATTGTCTTGTTGCTCATTGATGAATAGGTAAAATAAACTTACGTCAGCAATGACAGTGTTACCAAGATTGATACGATGGTACATCTATATTGTTTAATACCCTTTTGTTTGTCTCTTGTTTTAGTGTTCGGTTACATGACCTTCAGACGGGCTAACTCTCAGAAGAATGAATTCAGGAAAAACCCATTCCATCCAAGTCTTGCAGGTTTGTCTTGTTACTCATCCTAAGGTCAAAGAAATGAGCTGTTTCCCTTGGATAACACCCATTGTAGGAACATTTGTCACCATAATTACTTTATGATTAAATTAATCACAGCAAAATCATATTCAAGATTTCCTATTTGCTGAAATTAAAAGAATATCATCAACCTTATTTAGTGTATGTATGATTCAATACATGGCTTTTCAAATGAGATGAACATAAATGATTCAGACAATTCTGTCTTTAGAACATTAAGTCATTTGTCCGGATTTATGTGTTCAGGCCAACACAGACCTTAAGAACAGTTATGGAATGTTATCAAAATGTCCTACAATCACATATGATGTTCAGGATTTGACACTGTTTGATAACAAATGATGACACTTCAGATTTGGAATCCATCCCCACGTCGTCAGGGAAGCGCCTGCTGGTTGGAGGTCTATGGGGGATGTGCAGAAAGCCAAACTACCTCGGAGACCTGATGATGGCACTGGCCTGGTCCCTGCCTTGTGGTGAGTTCAAGCCATCAACATGTTAATAATCAAACACAATTATTTCCTCATTTCTGATGGAAGTTTCCTTGATACTGGTCACAATTAAGAGATTTACAGTAACTGCAAGGGGGCCTAGACAATCTTTTGGACTTGCCTGTCTGGCTTGAATTTATTTGAATTTTAAACTTTGTTTTTCTCTTGAGTATGTATCTAACTTCCATTTATTTTCTTCCATTCCTGCCAGGTATGTCCATCATCCCGTACTTCTACCCTGTGTACTTCGCGATCCTCCTGGTGCATCGTGAACGGCGGGACGGGGCCCAATGCCAGAAGAAGTATGGCTCGAGCTGGAACCGCTACTGTGAACGGGTCCCCTACCGAATCATTCCATACGTCTACTGAGCCAGTCATCACCGTCTGATAATGCTCAAACCTAACCTTCAATGTGGTGTTGCACCCAGGCATGGATGGCCTGTCAAATTACATGTGAATTTTTAAAAAAAAAATTCATCATAGAAATATGAAGGACATGGTTGATGTTTTTTCGGTACAAATCAGCACCTGTATTCTCAACTGTAAAGTGATACACAATTAAACCATTGCTTCAGATTGAGTTTTGACATGCTACATTAACATTTCCTCAGTGCATTTAATTACAGATTATAGGAATACAAAACAAACTGTTAGGGTTGAAGCTTGCATCACATCAGATGGTTTAGTGATGGTTAAATCAAATCAGAACTTCAGTTGGCAATTCCTGGATGCAACACTGTCACAATTAATATTTCTTTTAAAACTATTTGCAGCTTACCAGGGAGGAAAATCAAAGGACATGGAGATGATAATATCTTTAATTGCAGCACTATTTTCAGATATTTTATGACTTTTAAAAATAAGATTCAATATACAGTAAACTTTATTTTTAATGCAAATAATTTTAAATGCTTGAATATTGATGATTAGAGCTTATTTGCCATAGGGATATTTTAAATGATACACTGAGTGCTATTTGTTGATGAAGTTTCTGTCTTGTTTAAAATTTTAACTTCTTAGAATATATCGGTAGTTGATAGAAATTTTATTAGAATGTTAATCACATCATTATACACCATTGGCAATCCTGGTGATATTGCAATAATTTCTCGCATCACTGCCAGCGTGTACTGGTAACATTAAATACTGTCATGGCGTAAATTATTCATAATTGAGGATGAAATGCAAATGACTTTTGTTTCAGCTGCTTTTGCTCAACTGTTGATTTCAAGTATTAAATGGGAGTAACAACATTAAAACAGTTTACATTTTCATTACCATTCATTGAAATAATGGCAATACCTGTCTAATAAGTCATGCTCCGTACCTCCATCATTGCAATCCATGTAAATAGTTTATCATATTTGTACATATTTCATGTATAGTGTGCGTAATGTATTTGTTCCAGTTTTTAAACATAAGTTCTGCTCTGGATGGCGTGGGTACTTAATTGATCTTCTCATATTTGGTTATAATGTTTAAAATCCCTTTTAAATTGAATTTTTAACTAAATTTCGGAATGGACCTTTTTAGACTTTTGTGATTTGTTTTTGTTAACTCTCCATTTTGATGGAAAACAGCTACTTTTTAATGTATATATTTGATATTTAAAATATTGAATGTTTCATTAGTTCAAGCTTTGTCCTAGACTCAATGTTGTCCACTTGCCAAAGTAGTCCTAGGTTCCAACTCCTGTATGTGAACAATCAATCTTGTCACATTTTCATGGCTCGTAGTTCTGTCATTGACATGATTTTCATGATCATTTAAACATGAACACAAGCTTTCTATTATAAAACAAGTGCCTCTGCAAACTGCAACTGCTTTTCCATTAACATATGTCTTGAAACGAATCGTTGATGTCAGTCATGTATTGTGTTATTTGTATGTTCACCATTTACAAAATTTTCTCTTTATAGTGTTTGAAATTAAGAAGTCAAAGGGTCCTTGTCATAATCCTCATGTGAAAGCTTAATTCTTTGGCCCAAATCCTTGAGGACCCATGGACCCCCCTTAATTTCTAGCACTGTCATCTGAATTCTGTTTGTTGACGACACAACACATCCCAACTAGTGCCTTGAGCATTCCAAGCCAAGAAAACCAAGCTAGATCTTCATTGCCCTGCAGATACAAAAGCTCCTTTGTTAACAGATTTCAAAATAAAGCCTATTTAATTTTTTCTCAATTCAAATAATTATTTATTATTAATTTTTTGTGATGACTTGATGAATGTCTGTAGGGTGAGTGTTTGAGATGGGCTGTTTTTTCTCGGAGGAATCATTCCTTGCTGGTTATGAAGCTATACCTGCATTTCCTGCTGTTTCCACTGCCATGTTGTTATCCAGGCCATGCAGACACCCAGCATTACCACCACCACCACCACTATCATGTACATCAGTATTACATCAATATCCACTGTACGCTGTGTAGACCAGTTGCATGGGGTTCGTCACAGGACGGGCGGTGGGGTAGCCGAGGGAGACTATGTTCTGTGATAGCTGTGGAGCTTGGACATTGTGTAAGTAGGGTCATGAACTGCTCAATTGGTTTATTATTTAGACCTACCAGACCAAGAAACTGTCATTTAAGGGATGTTCATCAAATGTGTTTGTACTGCCAATTCACCAATACATAGTTTAACACATTCACTTGTTGCAATGAAGTCTTGTGTTTGATTTCCAACATGGCTCCTAGTGCAAAGCTCAATTCTGATATCCCCTGCCAGGATAATGCTGCTGTAGTGGCTTAAAACCCAACTTGCTCATTTTCCAAGATATTTCAAGATTTCAAGTTTTCAGACCCACTGCTCTTAATAAGCATGTTAAGTATGTTTGGCCAAGTGAGAACTAAGATATGCTTTCAGAAGAACATTAGATTTCTGGTAGATGACAGTACATCATAATTGTATAAAGGTTTCTACAAGTTGTTAACCAATGTAATTTCAGTGTGCACTTGGTCTTCACAGCTGACAGTGGCCATATACTCCAATATAAGTATGTATGCCATTTCTTGTGTATCATCATGGCATATTGTAATGTGTATGTTATGCATACTGGATAAATCATACATGTGTAATGAATCAAGTTACGAACATCTTTAGAAAATAAAAATAGATTTTTATTAAAAGTATGTTTGTGTTTGTTTCTTTGCAATCAAGGATCACCATTTCAAATTTGGTGCTGAACATTTAGGAAAACAATTATTTGAAGAAATACAAATGGAATTATTATTCTTTCAGTATATATGCTCCTATACTGTGTGTGAAATAGTCACAAAATATTGCTGGGCAGATGGGTGAGCTAGCCTTAAAAGTTCCAAGCCAATTTTTAAATGACGCTAGCTTAAAAATGCTATCGTATTTTTTGTCCCTACAATGTTCGACATGGGTAGTCAAGGTTTGTTTAGTAACACAGCTTGTGATTGGTTAAACTACAAATTACAACCAATCAAAACATGTTTGTTAGGCTAAAAAAAATATTATCTCCCATATTGAGACATCTCAGAACCTTGAGCCTGACTGAATTTTTGCTGGCCACAGGCTAGTGGGTGGGAGCTATTTCTCACACACTGCTCCTACCATAAAACAGTCATCATGCATCAGTATAGGATACTACCAGGACTTCTGTTGTAACACTCTTCTATATGGCCAATTGCACTGATGTTATACCTTAACCACTGTTAGAGATTTCTACATTTCCAAAACACATTGGACCCCCAACGTAGGTGACATCCTGCATCCTCAGTGTGACAAACTAGACGCATATGACAGATACACAAAATAAAAATGATGTTGGTTGTTACTCTTTTGACTGCTGTCATTTCATGTTTGAACGTGTTCTTGACTCATAATTTTAAATTTAAAAAAGAAAATCCTTTATTTTAAAGTGTTGCTCTCTCATTTCATTTATGTGTATTGTTTTCATTAAGCTTGGGAGATTCATTCTTCATATTCTTCATATTCTTCATATTCTTCACGTTTTTGTCCTTTTTCGTTTTTTAAGCCCTGGGCTTAAGTTTCTGTTCAGTGTTACTCAATTAAAATTTGGAAAATCCGTAATCTAGATCAGTCCATAATAACGTGCAGTCCCCCGTAGTATTCGAACTAATTTGTTTTATTTTTTGGAAAATGTTATTTTTAGTGGTATGCAATTTATATCTAAAGAGTTATCTCCCTTGGTTTCTAAGCACGCACCTGTCCTAGTTCCATGTACGTAGTGTGCATATCTCAATATGATTTAGCTGTTCAGTGATCGGTGACACTTTCATTATGTAGTTGCTCCTAAATGGCAGACCTTACATACTTATTTGTACAACGTGATCTTGAAAGCAGCGTATACGCAGCCGTAGCAAAATACCTGCAAAGAAGGGAAGATAAATCATGGAAGAAAGTGGCGAAGGATTCGACCAGGTTCAATTTGATGTTGGGTGACAGGAACAAGTTACCCTACAGCAAACTTGGTAATTATATGGGAAGTGTACTGTAAACATCTGCATTGCTGGATCAGATGGATACCAATCATTATTATGTATTTGTGAATATGTTTTAGGGATGGTAGGTAATTCACAATTCTCGTTCGATGGACAAGTTAGAGAACACGTTTGAAGAAAGTACGTAGGTAGTTTACATTTTATTATTATTCTATTTCAACCCAAATTCATAACTTTGTATGATTTTGAAATACACATTTGCATTCACAACAGAAATATACAGACTTTTCAAAATGACTTGTATGTCAAGGGTTAAAATGTGGATTCAGAGATAATATTACCTTATTCGACGTAATAAGTGCCCCGCTCTTATAAGCGCCCACGGCAATATTTGCTAATATATTGTCTAGTGAACAATCTCAATTAGCACCCCTTCCGATTGATCAAAGTACACAAGACTTATTTATTCGCGTATAATACACACTCATGTGTTATATGCACTCTTAATTATGGGCAAATAAATTCTTGAAAATATGTCTGTCATGTATGATACGCACATACTTTTCTTTTGTATCATTTCAGGCTGTCAGCATAAACTACGAAATTTACAATCTTTCAACTCTGTTTTTTTTCTCACCAAAATTATATTCTAATAAGAGCCCCCTATTTCAAATTTTGAGAGAGCCCTAGGCGCTTATTACGTTGAATACGGTAATTTAACCAATTTAAGTCAGCTGTTTGTTGGAATTTTTGAACTTTGTACTAGACACATGTTATATGGACTTTTTAATGAGGACACTTTTGTACAATTGTTTGACAGGCATTACTTAGAAGTTAACTTCCTTATTTACTGTAAAGGCAACATTTCGGTATAGATCCTTATGCCATTGTTAAGCAAAGAGACTTTTGACTTTTGTACAAATTCTTACACTGTTGGCAAGCAAGGAGAGTATACAGGAGATACTAACTATTTTATTAATAATCATCATAAGATAAGTCTTCAGTACCCCATGCTTCCTGATTTGTGGGGAGTGTATGTGGCTAAACTGTGTGACCCGGGAGACTGTGTTTCAACATAAACCCACAGTGGTCTGGCCCAGACTATATTGTTTTCATATGCCATTATATAGCTGGAACGTGATAACTTTGGGGTTGTACAACATTTACTTACTGTATCTCCTGCATGTATGACAAAGTGTAAGAATCTATTCCTAAACATTGCTAACCTATCATGAGAAAAATGCAGGTAATAAAACTACAGTCCTCCCTGCTTATAATGCCACTTTTCATCCAGCATTACACCAAGAGTGGCATTATAACCTGATCGTCTATCAGATGATTAAGCTGGAGGTTATGATATTGAGACTTGAACGATTGGATGATACCAGCATCAGGGGGCCGTCAGTGGTTTGTTATTGTTGGTGGCAGGAAATGAATCTTAACATGTAACAAGTGATTGCTCAGAGATTAGATGGGGGCAATACAAGGATATTATCAAACTAATTTGTTTGTTATTTTAATGAAAGTGAATGATTCTCTGTGTGAGGATTAGCTGTGAAAACAACTGCGATCAATGCACTTAGTTTGTTGATTTTGAAGAGGAAATGATCTCCAAATAATTTTCTTCATTACCAATTTTTTGTCAAAATTATAAAAAATAGCATCAGAACCAAGGAATTGGAATGTTTGTTCTGAAAAACATTGGCATTGGCATTATAACCAGGGACCTTTGTACTGCGGAAATCCGTTCTGAGAAAAACATGACATTATAACCAGGGTGGACTGAAGTTTGTTAACTCATTAAAATCAATCAAATACAATGTACGTACATAGATACTTCTTTGAATCAACTTACAGGTAATAAGTTGGGTTGTTTTTTTCAGATAATAAGATTTATGCTATAGGTGATGAATGCGTCTTAACAACATTTCTCCTTTTTACCATAAATCCAATAAAGATGAGCTTGAAGGTGTAAACCATGACAGTTTGCAAACAATTGTTATTGTAGGACATAAAGGACATGTTGCTGGGAAAATATTACTGGTTATGAATGCCCCTTCTTTTTTTAATACACCTCCCTCAATCATGGGTGATGATTGTTTGGGTATGATTTCCACGGGCTGCGGCTGTTCAGAAGTACAGTACTCATTGTAATATATACCCTGGGGTTCGACAATGTATAACTTTTGGGCTTAGTAAGGGATAGATCAATTGAATACCATGAATGTGCTTCACCAGATATCTTGGTTCTCAACAGGTCAGATACGAGGTATTACTCAAGTTGTGAACTATTACAGAGGCTCAGATATCATCTGTCGAAAAGCATCTTTGGTCAGGTAAAGTATTGAGATTACATTATCATCATCATAATACCACAATTGTCATCATGATCATGAAAAAAGAACTTTCATTGCTGGCACAATTTGTCAGCCTTTGGTCTATTTTGTTGTTGTTTTATTCAAAATGGACATAGTAATAATATACATATGAGATATTTTTAATTTCAACCTGATGCCCTAAAATATTACTAATATTATTAATTTAACTATTTAATGCTTCTTTAAATTTGATCTGTCATCCCTATGGTCATATCTGTTCTTAATTTTGGCCACCTCCATTTTATGTCAGGGGAGGTAGGGGTGGTGGACAGTGAGGATTGTTGCTCATGCTATCAACCACTGTTATGCCTTTAAACTTGGCTGTGATGTGGTTGGAATATTGCCGACTAAGGCATAAAACAACAACTTGCTCCTGCCATTTAGATTCAGTAGTCCTAATTGTTTCACCAGAACACTAAAAGACTACTGCGAAAAGAAGAAACTGCGGATGTTTGAGTGGATGACGACATCATTTGTCATCTACCCTCCATGCGACGAGGAGGTGAAGGTCATTGGTGATGAAACCCTTGTACGCCGGAGACGATCACGGAGTGACGAGCGAGACCAACTGAAGAAATTTGCCGAGGGGAAGCCACGTGTGACATGGATTGCAAAGAGCTCCAGTGGAGCTAAAGGTTAGGGTGTTTCTTGTAGGCCGACTATGTCCGGGTTCCAGCTTAACAGAGTACAGTGAAAAAATCATGTGTGTTTCAGGTAGCCCAACTGACTGTGTGACCCAAATGTTTTTATCAATGCTTATCACAGCAAGAAATTCATATTTAACATTTATAAATAAATCAGATGTTTCCACATAATGTATCATTGTTGCTGTTGCTATTTTGACCTCCAAATTCGTGAAATATTGCAACTAACAACAGTCCAAAATAAATCATCTGTATTTAACATGAACAAAATATTAAAGTAAAAAAGACAACCCTACCTTCCGATCGTTATTGGGGCAGTGGGGTAGCCTTGTGGTTGAAGTGTTCGCTCCTCATGCCGAAGACCTGGGTTCGATTCCCGACATGGGTACAATGTGAGAAGCCCTTTCTGGTGTTACCGGACGTGATATTGCTGGCATATTGAGAAAGCGGCGTAAAACCATACTCACTCACTCCATCACTCTGACCGTTATCTGTTTGGTCCATGTTGCCTAACAAACAAGTAATTTTGTGTGTGGCGTACGTACATTTCCTTGTGGGTTACCACTTTTACCATGTATGATCCATGGTCTGTGAACACAATACCTGTGTGAGGAGGTACGCGTTATCAAGCCGACATGCTGTGAGATAATTGAAATACTGCTCCAACCCAACTCTCTCACACCTCCATCTGTCCCAGGAGATGGTATCCGGATCTCCAGTGATGTAGAGAGCCTGGTCCAGATGGTGGACAGTCAGAAGAAAGCCTATGTTATACAGCAGTATATTGACTCACCGCTGCTGCTGTCTGGCGGACGCAAGTTTGACATCAGGTTGGTTGTTGTTCAACGCCACACTCAGCTATATTGCACTTTACGACGTCTCCCTGGGAATAATCATGTCTGAACCAGACAAACCAGTGATTGATGTTCATATTATGAGAACCGCCCCCACTTTTGGGGTACGATGACACGCAGCGCACCACTGAGCCTGACCACCAGATCAATTAAGGTGCCTCTTATTACAAGCTTAGGAGAGGAATGTTGTGTGAAGGTGGTGGTGGGGGTGACTAAAATTGGATAGTAACAATGCCTGCAGATTTTTATCCCCCACCACGAAGTGGAAGGGGGATATAGGAATGGGTGCTGTCCGACCGTCCATCATGTTTTGTTTCTGGAGCAGATTAAAAAACCCATGAGAGACATCTTTACCAAACTTGGCACATAGATAGGTCTAGTGGTGAACTGGTGCCTTTTGATAGTTTGGGATTTAAAAAAAAAATTTTTTCGAGTTTCCATGGCAACGACTTTGACTTAGTCTGAAAATGGTGGTAGTGCTCCTTTACGGATCAGATCTTGAAAACCGTACAATATTTCTTCACCAAACTTGGCACATAGATAGTGGTAAACTGGTGCCTTTTGGTAGTTTGGGATTTTAAATAGAACTTTTTTCGAGTTTCCATAGCAACAACTTTGACTTAGACTGAAAATGAAGATAGTGCTTGTTTCCGGATCAGATCTTGAAAACCGTACACAACCGGACATGTCATATTAGGGGGGGTATGAGTATTTCATGCTTCAACTTTGTGTGAGTTGTTTGGAGTATGAACCTTCAAATAGTGAGGGCTATACAGTATGATCGTCAGAACTCCATGCTACATTTCAGGGATTACACTATCAATACATGTTGCTGCAGGTGCTGGGTGCTGCTTGACGCAACATACACCATCTACCTGTACAGAGAAGGTGTACTGCGCACGGCGTCAGAGGAGTACGCCCCAGACAGACTGGACCATCTCACAGCTCACCTCACTAATCACTCACTGCAACAGGAGTTGTCAGAAAACTTTGGCAAATACGAAATTGGGAATGAAATGTTTTATGACGAGTTTGACAGGTATGATGCGAGTCTTAGGTCTTTTGTATTTGGTGAGTAATGCTGCTTTGAACAATGAGTGAGTTAGTCAAACTATTTCATTTATGTCACAGCATTTCAGCTTAATGTGGGAGTCACACTCACAGGGAAATAGGTCAGAGAAGTCAACCACTTTGGTAAAGCCCACAATTATGGTGCTGATAGACTACCAGTAAGGATAATCATCAGGACTAATTTTGGATACAAATCCTGGCATAGCAAAGGGACGTAACTCTGCACAAAAGAAAACTAGTTTTGTCAAATGTATTAATCCCTAACAAAGTATTGAACTGTGTTGTATCTTAGCTTCCTCCAGGACAATTATGGAGTTGGCCTTGACACTGCCATCCTGCCACAGATCCGCTCCATCATCAAGAGCTGTCTGGGTATTGTCCAGAGTGTGAGTACTACATACATTAAACATTGCCGTACTGTGTATTAAACACTTTCAGACATATGGTCAGCATTGCAATCTCATTAAAATCAGACCTTAGTTCTCGCTGCCGCTAAACAAAGATCTGAGGACATCCCATTAGGGATCACGTCAGAACGACCTTTCATCCGACCAATCAGTACGTCGCTTACCAGGTTATGAAAGTGACAGTCGGAATGTGATTTCTACTCATACAATCTTGAAAACTTTAACATGGTGTATTCCGAACGATAGTTACGGGTTTAACGACTGAATCCTTACAATCTAGAACATCTATTAGCCATTCAAGAATGATTTTTTGTTCGGGTTTCAAATTTGTAATCGAGAATTTGTCAAAATATGTTTCGAAGCGTAGTCGCCAATTTGAAATTTGTGCCGTAAAGCATGAGAAAGCTGCCTTCTGATTGGTCATTCCATTGGTCGGTCAAGGTTCGCGCAAGGTCGGTCTGACGTGACCCGTGATGGGATGTCCTCAGATCTTTGTTTAGCGGAAGCGAGAACAAAGATCTGATTTTAATGAGAATGGTCAGCATTGTAAAATTTTTTGAGCTGTCATATTTCAGTAGGCTCCAGACCATGGAGAGTCTTCAAGGCATCAACAATAAATATTTACTGTTTTAAAAAATATCATATGTATTGTTATTAAACGGGGGATCTCTTCAAGAGTGAGGAATAACAGTCCTTTTATCACTGATTCTTAAATGATTTTACAGTCATCATAAATATCAATTGGGTGGACATTTATGGTTTATGTGTTATAACTGCACAGAGTCTGAACACCACAGGGCTTGACTACTGGAGCTTCCAGTTGCTCGGCTTCGACTTCATGGTGGACAGTGACCTCAAGGTGTGGCTGCTGGAAGTGAATGGGGCACCGGCCTGTGCACAGTGAGTGATAGGAGCGTATGTTGATTGGCTTGTTAGGTGATAGGTTAGGTAGGTGGTGTACACTGATTGGTTAGTTAGGTGATAGGTTTGGTAGGTGGCATACACTGATTGGCTAGGTAGGTGGTGTATGTTGATTGGCTAGTTAGGTAATAGGTGAGGTAGGTGGTGTACACTTATTGGCTAGTTTTGATGTGTTCACTGTTTGGTAAATTGGAAAATATACACTTCCTAACCTGGTTAGTTTTGGAGTGTACACTGGTTGAAGCTGTTGTATGACCTAGTACCAAGTCTAGAATATATACATGGTGATATATTTCAGGAAGCTGTTGTCTGGCCTGGTAGCAAGTCTAGTATATATATGGTGGTATATTTCAGGAAGCTGTTGTCTGGCCTGGTACAGAGCCTTGTGGAGACAGCCATTGATCCTGTGTTTGTTCCGTATGGGAGAGTGCAGCATGGACCTAATCTCTTCGATCAAATCTGAGGACTGCCATCCTCCTTCTTCACTGCTTTGCTGTTGTACCCACATGTGTTGATGTGAATGAAACTTTGTGAACAAATCAAGCTGTCTCTCAGCTCTCTGATCTGGTTTTGCTTTGGAATAGTACTAAATTTAATACTATTTCATCAATATTCAAAACCGTGTTTAGGAGCAAGGATAATACAAACAAATAATATTTGGTGCATCAGTCTGTCTTCTGAGAGGCATTGCAAGCATGGGATTGTGATGGCCAGGAACAGTGAATGGTTTATAATGTCAATAACAACACGACAACATATAAAAGAACAACATTTATTAAATTTTTGGCATATGGGGATTCTCGGTATATACATATATACATGACACATAAACATAGTACATGGAAGACTAACTTCAGCCAAGTCTCTAATATCGGAGTAGCGCACTCCATACTGTTTGAGCGTACTGAGACTTGGCTGAGTATACGAACAATGGACGGTGAAGAAATATACCCGATCGGCGGGCTGTACCTCTGCCAAGTAATACAAGTAGGAGTCGCGCACCCCAAGACTTGCTCCCGAGCGCCAGGAGTACCTGGCAGAGTAGACGAATGATGAAAAAACAAAAAAGAGATGAATGTTAAATTACTTGCAGGGGGAATAGTATCCGCCTGAATTGCCCTCTGATAGAGCGGATAGATTGCCCATATTATTATTAATGATAATTGTGAAATTGAGTTGATGAGAATCCCCAAAAGTAATGGATGCCGACTCCCTGAAGGCTTGGACTAAGGGGGCCACGGATGGCTCAGCTGTCAAAGGCGCTGCAATTGATCGTGGGTTCGATTCCCAGTTCACCCGGATTATTTTTCTAGGTTTGTCAGAACCTTACCCGGGCTCATGGGTTTCACAAAGGTTTTCAACATTTGAGACCTGCATCACTTTTGGCTTTCTTCCCACATTAAGCTGACATGCCATGATATAACAGGAATACTGTGCAAAACGAACTCGCTCACATCTACAGTGCCTTAGCTGTGGTCCTGACTAAAGTATTGCAATCATGGGTCTAAGATGACAAGAAACAGACATGGTCACAAGTATCAAACAATATTGTTGGTTTTCACATTTTTCTAAATTATTTAAAATATTTTATCATCCAAAACTGGCTCCAACAGGAGATATTGCTTGGGTGAGATCAAGCAATATCTACATTGTAGATATCGCTGCAATTAAATTGCATCACAGTGCTTTGGAGACCATTGTGACATCATTGGTTACCATGACGTCACAATCAAATGACATCACTAATAGCTCTGCTACTGAAGCTGTAAGCAGTACTTTTTACACTTAAGAAACTGCTTATTACTGTCTACAAACTGAAAAAGTTGGACAAATGATGTTGGATGCTAAATAAAATCTCACCTCGTGTCTTTTGATATCAAATGTATCAACACTCATTGATAAAAGTGGAAAAGATCCTCAGCAAGCCTCGGACTTTTTCTTTCCACTTTTGATATAATAAAACACGAGGGTGAAATTCTCTATATCTAATATCTTTAACAGTTGATATGCTTGTTGATGCAGATACCTAGCACACCACTCAGCAAGTAATAGGGATATGACAATACTTCATACTGTTACAAACCTGTGAGAACAACTTGCATGTTTCGTTTCAAGCTGCTATCCAGTACTATTCGTATGACATGACCAAGCAGTCGGACATGTTCAGTCCTTACAGTTTGTTGTTTTAACGCCACACTCTGCAATATTACAGCAGCCTTGACCAGACAAACCGGTGATTATTATTATGAGCACTGTCTCATTCCATTCAGGTAAGATGACAAGGGATCAACCATGTTAGTGAGTGACCGCCTCATGTATTTAGTCACCTGTTATGACAAGCATAGATTGTTGGGGACATTTTCTAATCCTGAATCCCTATCAGGGTCCTTACACTCACCAAAAGTTGTAATTTGAAGGAAAAAAATTCAACGTGTTCTTATTAAAAATGTTAAATACAATGTCTCCATAAGGCGTAAAAGAAATAAAAAATTAGTTCTCAGGCAATGACTTTCGAAAATATAGTGCGGGTGGGTGGTGTTCTTTATTTTTCTTGTTCAAACTAGTAACCAAATAGACAGTTGTGTACCATCAACCTGGGAAAGGGCCTCCCTACATAAACAAGCATACAAACTCCTATTGCCACCATGACCATAACACAAGATGTGCAGTAAAGCAGTGTACATGCGAAAGGAAGTAACTGTGTGCTATATTGGATGGGATTGTTTTTAAGTATTTAGATTTTTATATTTGTTTGAAAATGGAATAAGAAAGAAACATGTGGCTTTATGATGATGCGGGTGGTGCCTGAGAACCAAGACTATTATTTTTTTCAGCCAAAGTAAAACAATCATCTGCACTATACATGTATGTCTTGGAGTTGTATGTAAAATGTGTATGTAAATGTGTTAGATTGACACTAAAGTGTCTAAGAAATACCTGTAACCATGTTAACCGCCCACTGTTGATTCTTGCTATTGTTTTAGGGAATACATTTGTTAATTTATTGTGTTTTTTATCTTTTGGTTTAATGGGAAAAGTGTTGTATACATTAAATCTATTAATAAAAGATATTTATACACTACTTGAATTCCAGTATTTTGTGACATTTCCCAATAATAACAAGGGAGAGACTTGATTCAGATGGGCGGTCAGGTAGCCTTGTGGTTAGAGCGTTCGCTTGTCACGCCAAGACCTGGATACAATGTGTGGAAGCTATTTCTGGTGTTCCCCACCATGACATTGCTGGAATATTGCTAAAAGCCACATAAAACCAAAATCCCTCTCATTCACGTGATTTGTTAATCCAGCGCTGATTGCAGTGTTTTACTAGTTTGCTCAACTTTATAGGCCTATGCCTATCATGTGACTATCTAGTTAAGCTGTGTGTGAGACATCAAAATATGCTGATACCACACAATCGTAGTGTGCCACAAGACCTGTGTTTTGGGCGTCGTTGATGTCTTGCATCAAGGTATCTTGTTTATGTTCACATTAACATTGTTACAAGTCAAAATGCTTTGAATCAATATTTATAAGACCAACCATAACATGCAAAGTAAGCATGCAGGGCCCCTACACATATTCAACAATGTCTACTAGTTAAGTGACTAAACCTCCTCAGAATTAAATTAGAAAGTTTCATTATGTGGAATTTACCTACCTGACCTGGTCTAAAAAACATTGAGATACTTGGTGTCAGGCCACCTTTGCCAATATTACAGTGAGGATTGAACTTGACATGACTTTAATCATTAGTCTATAGTAACAGCGTTCGAAATACCTGCCTGCCCGACTGTCCGAGACAGGTTGATTTCAACTCGGGCTGCAAGATTTTCAAATCCCCCTGCCCGACGGTCGGGGTATATTTCATAGGTGAAAATATTCTAAATATTTCCCGATGATAAGCATTAATTCAAATATAAAGATGAATGATAAAATGTAACCAAAAAGAAACCCCGTTAGCGTTTAGACAACCTAACATTTAGCGATGCGCTTATGCTACAAGCAATCAGTTTTCATATTTTTAATTAAATTATCCTGAGAAACATATGATTATAGTGGGCAGGCAGGTTTTGGTCAGGGCTGGCAAGTATTTCAGCTAGCCAGTCCTGTGGTCTGGCTAAAATTTTTGGGAGTTTCATACCCTGATAGTAACTACATTCCCATTTCTGAGACAAGACGTTTCCACAGACGTTACACTACAGCTACATTCCTGGGTTGGAATAGGTCCCCAGTAACCTATACTTAGTGCAGGTGGGGACTACACATGATCAGGTGATCAGGCCTGGTTGATTGTGTTGCTCTTAATATCAATCACTGGTTTGTCTGGTCCCAACTTGGATTTTATACAGTGATATAGCTTGAATACGGCTTATTGCAACACTAAACAACATTCATTCACTGGTAGAAGGTGATTGCGGAATTAACAAGAGAATATTGGATTTGTTGTCATGGCATTTATTTATTTACACATTTCAATAATACTGTACATTCACTTTGTGAGTAATGTGTTGAACACATAATACTTACACATAAGCATCACATAAAACTATTTACATTTGTACAAAATTACACAATCTTCATAATGTTGAATCATAATGCTAAAACATCCGGACGAAAGCCTGCGGACCTAAGCCTCAGCATGGTCAGAAGGCATGTAATAAAGTCACTGTGAATCCAACACACACAACATTGCACTTTCACACATCTTGTTACATAACAAGTAAACTGAAATCTTTAACTAAATACTGAAGTCCATGTTTTCCACACAAAGCTAACTTCTAAAATTAAGATATGATACATTGTTCAGGTATGTTTCTTTACTTGGTTAATGGATCAGCAATCCCAACTTTGTAAAAGAAATAATGCAATTTTGATAACAAATCTTATTTTGTTCCCCCCTCTGAGTCAATTACTTCAACAATGCGAAAACATTAGTTTATGTCTATGTTGGCAGGAAGTAACCCACTTTTCTTTTGCTTTAAATTTTTCTATATTTTATGCTTCCGAAAATAAATTTAGGAGATAATTGTTTTAATAAAGGACAAGGTATGACGACAAAAAGTTGCCAACCGGAACTGTATAATTAAGGACTTTAAAAAATTATGTTGATAGTTATCAGATGTGTCCAAATGGCTGATCGTAGAAGTTCTCAGGAAAGATTACTGATATTTTTACAAGATTATTTTCTTACATGAGGTCAAGGACAACACAAACAAAGTAAAAAAAAAATCATTTTGTGTCATAGACTTGCCCAAAGTAAGATTTTCTTTAGACATTTGAAAAATCTGCCTTTTCACTCTTTTAGATATTTGTGTATTTGATCAAAAAACTTCCAAGTGTAAGACAAAAAAAGCTTCTGGTGAGCCATTTAAACATGTCTGATAATTTTCATACCAATACTTGTTTTTCAAAATTTAAATATTTTTCATTACCAATAGGCCAAAATGGTTCCTCGTCCTATCTAGTTATTGTAAAAACTAACTTTACATAGAATGCCATAAATCTGTAAACCAAGTAACTGACAGAACAAAATTTGTGAAAAATAATGAGCCATTTGTTTCCCCGGAGTGAAGTTTGTAAGAAAATAAATATCTATTTCTGAAATGTCAACAAAATAGCACTATTTTTGTGTTTACGTTTTTACACATTTAGGACTAAGGCTTTGCTCTCTCTAAACCTAAACACACCTGTGAATCATTTAAAGATTTTATGAAAAAAATAAAAATAAATCAAATCAAATAACAAGCACTTGCAAATGCAATTATATGAAAATCTTGTTATTGTTTCATAACACAGACCAATTAAGTTATGTTTCAAAGAACATGATCTCCTTCCAAACTACTCTCACAAGAACACACAACTTAAATAAAAACATTTACATAATTAACAAAATACAACAAATGTTTGAATAAAAAAATATTTTTTCATCTTAAAAACACTTTCAACAATTCAAATGAAGGAGGGGGAAGTCTCCCCAGAAATGATGTCCAAAATGAACAGTATAACCCAAGATTAATTTGCTCTTACTTTTGATTGTAATTTCTGAAAAAAATCATCTCATCCACCAGCTATTTACAAAATAAAATGTACACATATACATATATACTTCAGATAAGGACATTTTTCATTGGGTAAGTTCTTATTTGGCGAGAGTTGAGATCTGTAGATATGAGCAAAATCTATCTTTCAGGTTCTGATTCTGCTCTGGAGTTATTTCCATCAGTGTACTGTGTAGATAACCACACATGTTCCTACATACTCCTTCAGTCGAGGAGATGTTACACTCTCACTTCCTGGCAACAGAAGCATGGAGTGTTACTGGCAGTGTGTCACTAGTTGCTGAGACGCGTCACAGTCAGCAGCAAAGAAGATGGAGGCTTGGCGGCTCTCATTTCACAAAAGCCTGAGCTGGAATCCTGCCTTCACTCTGCAATATGAAATTATCTTTCCATCATACCATATCAACTTTATTTGTATCTTAAGTTTTTACTGATTTCTCAAGAATAGAAAGTAAAGGTAGCGAGTGAGCAAGTTTTATGAGAAAATCCTGAAGTGATGCAGGTCTTAGACTTTTACCACCTTGGTGAAACCTACGAACAAGGGTATGATGCCAACAAACTTATCAGAGCAAACATGCCATTTAAGTGAGTGAGATGGGGGTTAATGCTGCTTTTAACAGTATTCCAGTAATATCATGGCATGTCAGCTTATAGTTGGAGGAAAGCCTGAAGTGATGCAAGTCTTAGATGTGTACAACTTTGGTGAAACCTACGAGCACGTGTATGGTGCTGATAAACCTAGAAACATAATCAGGGTGAACCGGGATTTGAACCCACGATCATAAGTTTCTGGAGTGTCCAAGGGAAGCAACACTGCACAGGAAATTGCGGCCTTTTTTGAGGAAAAACATGGATCCTGTCCACATCAATTCCGACACAAACATATGATATTGCATCTTTTCAGCTCCCTGTATACATACATTGAGTTGAGTGAAGACAGCAGCTGATTTGTCATAGTCCCAGCCATTTTCCTCCAGACATCTACAAAGACAAAGATCACATGCTTATATTTTCTATAAGAACATGGAAAATGCTTCTGTGGAGTATTTTTGTTCGTCATATTGTGGATATAATCATTTCTGCTTCTTCTTGAGATACCTACAACAGGACAACCTATAGTTTCACATTCACCAACAATATGAAATCAGTTTGTATGTTCATGTTGTCACTGACACATCATTACAAAAACTGTTGATTTGAGTGAGTTTGGTTGTCCATCAATGTGTTTCAGTGATATTACAGTGGGGCAGCATGATGTGGGAGGGAATCCTGAAGGGATGCAGGTCTTAGATGGTTACTGTACTGCGAAAACATACTCGGAACACATTTTGGATCCAAACACACAATCAGTGTTTGTAATTAAGGGGGTCCTGGTACTTGAGGTTTTCTGCCATATTAGAAAGGTTGAACTTGTAACATTAGGTTTATGACAAGGAGTTATGTTGGAATATTGTTAGCAATATTCCAGCAATATCACGGCGGGGCCACCAGAAATGGGCTTCACACATCGTACCCATGTCGGGAATCGAACCCGGGTCTTTGGCATGACGAGCAAACGCTTTAACCACGAGGCTATCCGACCGCTCCCCTTGACTTTCATGTGTAACTTCGAACACTGCACGAGGAGGGTTTCTGGCATGCAACTCTGCACAATGAATTGCAGCACCTAATGGGACCTGTTAACTTAATGAAACACCCCTTAAGGGGCAAGTACAGCTGACAATGGTACTTACTTTCCTGACCAGTCAAGGTTCATCCCAGACTGTAATGAAAACTTCTGGATCATAGTCTGGTGGTCTGACCCCCCCAAACTTGTGGACGGCAGGTCAGGGGGGACACCCGTCACTGGACTAGAGGAGGGGGTAGGGCCAGCACTCTTGAAGGCATTCTATAACATACACAGCATTCTCTTTCAAAGAAGAATCATGATTTTTACTATTTGTTCATACTACTCTAATGACAGAAAATGTACAAACAAAAATTATGACGCAGTGATCTATGAGAGGGCAGCATTGTTGACAGTTGTGTATTTGGGATCATTTTGAATATAAAGTGAAGACATTATTAATACTGAAATGGTACTTCTTTGTATTTTATTGAAAGAGGCCTTGTAAGTGAAACGTTACCGTAGTAAGTGAGTAAGCTGGCTTTAATATTACATTTCAAAGTATTTCAGTTAAAGGTAAAACAGCATGTCGGCAATGTGGGAAGAAAGCCCAAAGTGTAGCATGGTCACTACTTTAGTGAACCCCATGAACACGGGTATGGCGCAGACAAACCTAGGATAATAATCAGGGTGAATCTGGGATTCTAATTCTGAACAAATCAACACATCAAGGCACCATACGACTAGGTAGTCCACATGCCTCTGAAATGTAACAGGAAGCCAGACAATTCCCTACCTGAATCTGTTCTGTCGTGGCATTGCTGACCGTCAACATGTCATTGGTAATCACCATCCTGAAGAGAGACAGCAAACTCAGTATCACAAACATATTACAACATATTACTTAAGCAAAGTCCTACAGACAGATGAATTTTTGTTCATAGAATCCAAACAGCTAACATTTAAATCTAAATCCCAAACTGCTGCAACACTTAATTAGCCAAGACAGAGAACACCTACCCGCTTCCTGCTGGCACTGTATAGAAGACTCTGTTGAAGGCTCGGATTGGTGGCTTGTCTGACTTGCTCTCACCTGTCAAATAAATTTTATAATACAGTTTCTCAACTCTTACCACATATTTCTGACATTTATATATGGGTTACAAAAATATTCATTGAAAATACAATGAATCCACACCAATTTATTAGAGACACACTTGGAAATTGTCAATGCATTACCAATACAACCTCAAGGACTTTGCCACTGAAAGATTTTGAGCTGACTACTGTATGGTACAGATGAGTCATTGCCTAGATGAGCAAAACAATGCCAGCATGTATAATTATAGTCCATCAGTTTTTTTGGTTTTTTTTATATAACGGGGTATACTATTTAAGGTGGTGTTTCGAAGGGTTTTGTTGGCAGGTTGGCCTATGTTCAAGGTCGGTCAATGACCAGTGATGTACATGTTTTAAGTTGACGACTTACTTTCTTTGAAAACACCAGACAGTGCAAAGATGAGATGTGTGTTCTGCAATACAAAAAGAAATGGTATAAACTGGTTTTCTATACATCTGTATGGCATCTAGAAACAGAAACTATTTATTTTAATTCAAATCTGAGTGCCAGTGGCTTGCAATTCCTCCTTTAACCGACCTCATAACCTTGTACCTCAACAGCTTGAAACATTTCCCTTTAGTGATGACTATTATCTGGTGCAGGATGACAGCAAGTGAGTAAATAGATTGGTAGTCCAATATGGGACCTCTCTGCGAGACAATCTGACTATACCTCCATAGGAGGTTGTGTCAGGTGAACTTCCAAGGGTTCTCAATTCTTAGGATACTAAGCGAAGCATTCAGTCCAACATATCTGATTTCAGTATCTTGAACTTAAAGAAACCAGTTAAGAATGTAAAAGTTCCCCTTTAAATCTTTATGGATATTTCATACACTGTCACTTCTGAGCGCCATGAATTTACACCCAAATGGGAGTTCCATGGAAGAAATGTTTGTGTTTCTGTTGCCAATATCAAATTTTTAAATAGAGGAGGTACAGAAATGAAGACGAAGCTGACTGTTGATTGGCATCCTTCAGTTCACCTGACTCTCCTTTTGTCACAAATCATCATGCAGAGAGGTATTATGAGGGAGTAAAAGATCTGATCTGAATGAGACTGATTCTACATTTCAATCAGCTGATCAGTTTCAACATGAAAAGATCAACACTAGCCATCAAACACATCCAGATTGCACAAAAAAGCTTAGTTCTGTCAACATATGAGACGCCTTCAGTGAGACGTCCTACTCTATACAGAGATACAGCACCTGGTGGTGGCTGGGAGTACTTACACTGGCGTGACTTATGTCCACAATGAAGGAGTTGGGGTCATGGGTTGTCTTGGGCAACAGGCACAGCTGTGACACCACTGGCAGCTTCCCCTGCCGCAACAACTTCTCCCGCCTCGCTGCAACAATCAACTTGACAAGTAATGTACCAAGCAAGTACTTAGTGTGAGTATTTATCATATACTTCAAACCCTTCATACATTGTGATACATTAGATAAAACAGGGTCCCTACTAAAGGATGATGTTTGTTTGTTGTTAAACGCCACACTAGGGAATATTCAAACTATATAATGGCATCCTGTAAGTAATCAAGTTTGGACAAGACAACCCAGTGACTCATATTGTGAGAAGCAATCCATGCCGTTGGGATACGATAAAACACAAACAAACAAGTCTCCGAATTTGACAACCTGATCCATTTAGTCGTCTCTTACGACCAGAATAACATGCTGCAGGCCTATTCTAACCCAGAATCTCCACTGTTATCCAAGGGTTGATCGGCCCAACTATTGTACCGAGATGACAATGATGACGGCCAAATGCACATCTTTCACACTTTAAAAGGCCAAGTTTATCTGGTTTGTGTTGTGATGTAACTCTGCATAGTGTGCAGCACCACAGACGACAACTCTTAACGTCACATGAATACACGGTTTCGTTTGTCCACTGGAATCCAAATGACGGAGGGGGGGCAAGCAAATACTAGTGGGATGGTACACTGATGCATCGGTAGATCGTGATTTTTTACTTCTCGATACATGTATATGGATCGATCACAGTCACACACTAAGTAAAAAGTATCGATTCTGACCTTAAATGTTTGCTTTAATAACTGTTCCACTAAACACTAATCAGAAAGCAAGTTAATAGTGAAAACAAATATTTTCATCCATTGCGCCATACTTGACACTGCCAACTGTAAATCATCAGTGTGCCAGGTATATTTTGCCATCCTGTCTATGAAAATGATGGCTTACGCACCACAGATAAGAGCACATGCACGTATCGTGATACATATCAGATCGTGAGTAAGATATCATGATACATATCTGATCGCAGTTGGTGTATTGTCCCAGCCCAAGGGGCAAATGAGAAAGAAATTATTGGAAACATGTTTTGTTTGTTGCTCAACGCCGCACTCAGCAACATGACACGTCCTGTAAATAGTTGCACCTAGACCAGACAAACCAGTGATTGATATTGTGAGCTCAGTCAGGGTAGGATAACATGCAACTAACCAAGTCACTGAGAGGTTGCTGGGCACCAACTGTGACCTGGAATCCTGATGAGCAGATAACGTGATGGACCATTTGTTTCCATAATAACCCTACAGTAGATTGTGTTCATGTCGTAGACACATGTCAAAGGCATGAACATACAGTGTACAGTATTACTAAATTAAACAAGTGCAAAAGTGAGCGTGGCTCACTAATACCCCTGACCCGCCTAGTGTGTCAGTAGTTACAAATTAAATAGCTAGGATAGGGTAACTTAGGGTTTGAAAAATTCATAAAAAGATGGAAAACTAATAAAAACATTTTTTTTCTTTTGACTGCACCCCTCCTTATGACACAGATTATATGTACTAAGTTTGAGATGAATCCACTGAATAGTTTAAGAGAAATCGCGTGGAAAAAGTTTTCAGACGGACGTTAGGGTTTGAAAAATTCATACAAAAATGGAAAATTAATAAAAACAATTTTTTTCTTTTGACTGCACCCCTCCATATGACACAGATTATATGTACTAAGTTTGAGATGAATCCACTGAATAGTTTAAGAGAAATCGCGCGGACAAAGTTTTCAGACAGACGTTAGGGTTTGAAAAATTCATAAAAAAATGGAAAATTAATAAAAACAATTTTTTTCTTTTGACTGCACCCCTCCATATGACACAGATTATATGTACTAAGTTTGAGACGAATCCACTGAATAGTTTAAGAGAAATCGCGTGGACAAAGGTTTCGGACGGACGGATGGAACCTTGGTATAACTATATAACCCGACATTTTGTCGGGGGGTATAACTAGAATCTTCAACAAACCTGGGTCTTTGCACTTCAAAAGATTCCTGCTTTCAGAGATGTAATCGTTCAGTGATGCTTGCCTGGAAATAAGTAGATACAAATCACATTTGCTTTACTCACATTTACATATGAGAGTGATCTTACTTTAATAAACGTCTAAAAATACAGAATGCTGATGAAATATTGGTAAAGGAACAATAAACATTATTCTGAAAGTACTGGTTCAAATCCTATAAAGAGCCAAAGGAAACAAATAACAACATGTATTGCCATGGAACATTTTCAAAACTTGTAATTTGATGATCTCATTTGGTTAGTGCATTTAAATATGAATATGTCACACACTGTAACCACTTGACCTTATTAGTCCACTCGCACTCATGGTCAGCTGGGGACTAGTGTGTCTCAACATGTGAGAATTAGAGGTGTAACGTTACAGTCAGGTTGCTATACCAAACGTGAGTGAGTGAGTTGGGTTTAACGCCGCTTTTAACAGTATTCCAGTTATATCACGGCGTGTCAGCTTAATTTTGGAGGAAAGCCCGAGGGGATGCAGGTCTCAGACGTTTACCACTTCGGTGAAACCCACGAGCACGGGTATGGTGCTGACAAACCTAGAAACATAATCGGGGTGAACCGGGATTCGAACCCACAATCATAGGTTTCTGGCGTGTCCAAGGGACGCAACTCTACACAGCGAATCGTGGCGCTTTAGGCGACTGGGCCACCCGTGCCCCACTATACTATGAGTGTGATCTGATTCATATCTCGATGCAGTACTTTTATTTCATAAGATGATATTCTTTCATTTTGTAGGAGAATCACAGCCTGAATCATTTGTTTATAAATTCACAGATCGAAGACATGATATTGTAGGGCAGATATATATTGGCTAGAGGGCCAACCTGGAAATACTAGATGATCTGTGTTATCTGGTTGTGAACAGTTTATGTTTTTATTCATGTTTTTAGACTAATATAACTTGTAATGTAATGTTTCATATCACAACAGGGGTTTGTAAATGTATTGTAGCATGGGCCCCGTATACAATACTGTACTGTCGTATCATGACACTACAAGTTACAGTGTGTATGTAAAGAAGGTTTCAGAGTGAACTAATGCTAGACTTACTTGTAGTCATTAGCAGGGTTGTAGGAAGCAGTCACAGAGAATAAAGCCTGAAAGTAAACACATACTAAATATCTACATACTATGTGAACATAAACAGAACCAAAATAATCTCAATTTTACCAAACCCACCCCTTTCAAAAAAGGAAAAGGAAAAACTGCATTGCAAATTTTCATTCATTAGGTGCATTGCACCATACTTTCAGATTGGAAAGAGGATTACAACATATCAAAATCTGCAAAAATGCGTCACTGCATGATGTGTATAGGCAAGACTTTCAATTGGTTCAGTGACCGTAAAAACTAATCTTTTTTTGTGATCAATGCAAACTTATGTGATCAACACAGGACAATTGTATATAATTGTATAAACTGCATGACAATGTTGTAATAAGCATGACAAGTTAAACAACAAGCCTTAGCAACACTGAACACCAAGGTATTACCAGTATATCGGTATATTGCAAAACACTTTTCAAACTATACGTATTACAATATTTTGTCCGTGTTCCTGTATATTGGGAACAAAAAAAACATTGTTAGTTGAATTGTTTAACCTAAAATCTACATAGGTATTCAGTCACAAATGATGTTTCTCTTCGAAACTGATTGACAAAAGAGAGGAAATGCAGAAATGATTTTTCTCTCAAGTTATCTCCCCTGTACAACTACAAAATGGCGGCGACTGACCATGTTGACCTTGACATTCTAATGTTCACTTCAGTGTGTAGAAAATAGGATCTTCACGTACAATCAGTGTCAATCACTGTATGTATCACAATACAGATACCTGTATTGCAATATATTGCAATCGAAATCTTTTGCAAATACACAGAACTACTGAACAGATGGCATTACAGATAACCATGATAGCATTTTGAAGAACAAACAAATAGTACATCTTTTTAAGTTTATTATCTTTCAAAACTACCAACCAGGATGTTTCACTAAACAATTTGCAACCCAAGAAAAACAAAACATATTGCCTTCAGTAACACATATATATGGAATTCCTATGAGTAAAAGACAAGTGCCTGCAACTCACCTGTTCGTGGTAAGCATCCAGCAATGGTTGCCTGTTATCAGCATCATATAATGAGTAGTACTCTCTCAGGAATTTCACAACAATGTTTTGGATGTCTTCATTGAGAAAGTAACTTTCCTGAAACGAAGGTTAAGACAATTCTATAATCTTACACTAAACATCATTACATCAGCATTAGAAATTGGCACTAGTCCTGTAATCCTTGCTAAACTGCCCAATAACTACGGTATCATAAGGACAAGTAGAAATTTGCCATTTTTAAAGTCTTTACTATATCTTTTCATTAAAGAACTAGTGGTCTGAAAGTGTTAGTTTCTAGCGCTGTACGTGATAATTACATCCTGTCTTGTGTTTACAGCGTGTGATAGATCTCATGTCAAGCATGACAGTGTCACCCTTACCACAGTCCGCCCTTACTGCAACCACATGATATACAACAGCTAGCTTTGTTTACTGTTCGAAGCAACATTCAATATTTGAACCACCATCTTCACCCCAAGTTTATTCCCATGTAGGAATGGTTTCCAGTAACCCATACTTGTAATAGTTGACGAATGACCACCATACTTCTAGAGCATAGTGCACACTCAAGCATAATGTGCACCCCCTTTGGGGATGCAGTATTTTGGAAAAAACAACAGTTTTTTTCAGTATTATACAGTCAAACTCCATGGTAACGCTTAATACCTTAGTTCTGGGCAACACAGTGCTGGTTTCCAGCTCGAATGTGATCGGTGGTGGCAGCACGTGACCATCCTACGACAGAAGCAACATAACTCATTCTGTGTGATAAGATATGCATTGTATTTCTTACACATATGAATTAAGTAAAGGACTTTTGACATTGTGAGCAAAACAACCATAAGGCTTAAAAATGTGATAATAATTTGTGCTTCCAATTTCCACACATCCAAGAATAGAGTAGTTTGTTGGCATTTATCAAAATTCTTTGAATAATGAAAATTAACGGTATGCGAGTAAAAGCCTTATTTCAAATGATGAAACACTTGGTTTATCTATCGTGAAGCACGACAAATTTTCACTAGCATGGATGGGGATAAATATGGTGAAAAGGGCTCCAGGTTAGGGTTGGTTTGTGAAAATGAAATACAACTACAACTATTGAGGGCAAGAGAGTAGATAGAAGAGTGAAGAGAAGGCCTGTGAATTCATTAAATTGATATGACACATGCAAATAATCTAACCAAGTTCTATTTTCAGTGCATCTCTACTCACCAGATTTATGACCTTGGGGAACCTCTTGCGTACGGCACTGCAAAATTTCACATGTCAATTTTCTCAATATACTGAATATGCTACACAGACAAATATTTTTACTCAATAAGATTAATGAACTACTGAACTTTCGTTAATTGTCTTTACAGTAACAGAGCCCTAATGTTCATTACACTTCTGTAAGTTATATCTCTCCACTGAATATTCTGAACATAAGAAAAGCTGCTTACCGGTACTTTATTTATCATACATATTGTTACTAGAAAAGTGGGGACTTTCATGTACAGAATTAAATCATGTTTCACTTTTGTGCAAAAATACTTCTTGTTACAAATTGTTTGAATTTTTCCGGTACACAGATGTCAACTTTTCAACAACGAATTGCAGGAGGACAGTTAATAGTATCTTTGAACATTCCCTGAGCTGTGGTCTGCAGACTGGGATGAATGGCAGCTGGCAACGAAATACAGAGATGGTGGATTAAAGTAAATAGGATGGATAAGGGAACTGAATTCTCCTGCCCCACAGGGCACATTTGGAGCCAAATTCATGGGAGAGGTGCCATTGTTTTAAATTGGCATGAGAAAACTCATTTACTTTAATGCAAATTTGGAACTATACCAAAAAAATTAAAAGTCGTTGATGCATTACACCAACATCACAAGTCTTTAATTGTAATTCACTTCTATACAAAACAAAGCTGCTTCCTTTGAAGACAACATAATTAATTTCCAATAATTACATCCAATCAACAAAATATCAATTCCCAGATGATCGTGACAGACCTAAAGGTCCTAAGTTAAAAAGAAAATTCCATTTTTCTTGTCAAAGAGAAAAGAAAAAATTCAAATAATTGCATCCAATCAATACAAATTCAATTTCCAGATGATCATGATCTTAGGTTCCAAACTAAAAAGAGATTCCTTTATTTGTGTTTGTAACTGGTGATATCAGTTCTCGTCCAATGCTTCTTGCAAGAACACGTCAATTGAAACATATGAAATGGTTACTATGTTCCATGTTTTTGCCATGACATTGTGTCTGTTGTTTGTGTTACAATGTTGTCTGCAGGCAAACCAGAGTTCAAACATATCTATTTGTGATATGCATTTACATGCTTCAACACTGTAAACACTCCACAACAGCTCAAATCTGATTGTGTAGTGTGGCAAGAATTTGTATACTGCACCAACAATATGAGGATAATGTGATGATATTACAATGTTCACACATATTTAAATCCCAGGTGTAGCAGCATCTAGACTACTTCCTGTCAGTTATAGCAAGCAGCGTCTCCATCCCGAGCCCCGACCACTCCTGTCTTAGGTTGTCTCCCCTTCTGAGAGATCTTACCCGTCATCAGAGCTGATCGCATCACTCGGGTCACGCAGCAGCCACTGTTTACTGACTTCATCTATTAGGATAATGCCATATCAATTTCAGGGATTGTGATCAAACTTCTTCAGTTTGAGCTCACTGAAATTGAGCAACATTATCTACCTCGCAGGCACTGTTGTGATCATTTTGTCGTATTCCTTTTTTGGCTCGGGTGTGGACAACTTCCTCATGATTATTTTAACTGTGACTTGCAAGTTGATGCAATGTATAAATGACTTGTATATATATTTTTGTTTTCAGACCATATTCCTCTTGAAATAATACCACAAATACATCACTACAGGACCTCCTTACTCACTACGCAAGGATGTAGGCGTATTCATGGTCGGGGTCATCGCCAGGTTAGTTCTGCCCAGTCTGCAGACCACAACTTCATGAGGATGCACAAAGTACTATTGCATCCAAGTAGCACATTACGACCAGTGGCACCACAACATCAAACAATAGCAAAGTAAAAAGGGCACAGAAATTTGGATGGACTCTTTTTCAAATATAGGAATCATAAAAAATCAAACATAGTCCTATTTCAACAACAAATTTTGAAGCTTGGAATGACACAGAGAATGTGTTCAACTTTGTTGTTATCCTATAAAGTATGTATTGAAGGTTATTTGTTCAGTGGCTCTGAGAGGATTCATCAAGGCTGTGTAATATCTGGGAAGACAACAGTTCCACAGCAACTCCATCAAATTATTATCTTGTTGACACTTAACAACAGTAAATGATTATTTGTCAGTGAAACAGAGATGCCCCATATCAAGTTAACAAGCAGAGTTTTACCAGTACTGACCCAACATTAACGTCAACATAATGGTCTTATCGTTGTAAGGAGACTTGAACAGCAGCGGTTATTAACAGTAAATGCTTGTTTGTCACTGTACCAGTACTGTTGGTCAATATTAATGGTCACATGATGTTCCTATGATTGTAAGGAGACATGTATTGCAGCTTTAGGGTAAGGTAGTATAACACATGCCACACTCGTGCTGCCGACACCACCAACTGAGGGAGGCTGAGGGGGCGCCGCTGCCACCAGTTGAGTTGTCTCACTTGTCACCTGTCCCTCGGCTGGATGGGTGGGGCAAGGAGTCATCCCGATCGATGGTGCAGCATCCCGTCAGACAATGGTGCTACCATACATTACCTAATGTACTGATTACGGTCCTTGAAGCGGTCACACAGATCGTTGCCATCTAGCTGAATATGATCCAGTTTCCATCCACTGATCTTGTCCAACTCTTCGATGCTCCGCAGCTGAAACAGAGGTTTCTGGATGAGACAAGGTCCCCAGCAACCCGACTGGAAGATGTGACTTAATGGATCAGTAGACTTGGTGTGTTTGTTGAACGTCACACTCAATAAATATTCCAGCTATGTGACAGCGGTCTGTAAATAATCGAGTCTGGACCAGACAATTCAGTAACTGATATCATGGACATCGATCCACTCAATTGTGTTTGGTTTGTAGTTTAACGCCGCACTCAGCAATATTCCAGCTATGTGACGGCAGTCTGTAAATAATCGAGTCTGGACCAGACAATCCAGTGACTGATATCATGAGCATCGATCCACTCAATTGGGATTGATGACATGCATCAACCAAGTCAGCGAGCCTGACCACCCGATCCCTTTAGTCGCCTCTTACCTACTCAGTTGGGATACGAGATGCATCAACTAAGGCAGCAGCCCTGACCACCCGATCCCGATGGTCGCCTCTTACGACAAGCATGTGCTGCTGAAGACCCATTCTAACCTGGTTCTTCACGGGTCCATTACTTGGTTGATCGCCCAACTGCGCGAATCGGCGCTCATAGTATCAATCACTTGATTGATAACCAAAGTGATACAATGTAGTTTCGAATGAGGTTGTCTTACGTTAAATGAGAGACATAATTTTCAGGGAAGGAGGGAGGGAAGGTGTTAACTTTTCAAGCTCAGTGGCTGATAGTGACAACATATCCATTAGTGGGTTTGGTGGGTAGCTGATGCCTCTAGCTTGTGACGTCACTCATCTTTCAACCTGTCAATATCATGATCATGAAACTGCAATAATTATACAAGTTCTGTCATGCTCCTTACTTGGTTCTTGCCGAGGTCTAGTGAAGTAATGCCAGATGCAGCAGAGACCATGTCCGACATGTGTGTTAATGACAGCAGGCGATTGTTGCTCAAGTTCAGGCTTGTAAGCTGAAACGCAAAGTATTTATTTTGTTCAGAAGTCCTGTTGAGCTAGAAATTAATGATCACATACATGGACAACAAGTGACTACTCTTTCAACGCTGCAGCTCAATAAACAGAACCCAGACTGAACCTGAATGCAGATGAGGTCACACTGACCAAACCATGTCACACATGAGGTAACCCTGGCTAAACCAGGTAATACATGAGGTAACCCTGGCCAAACCAAGTCATACATGAGGTAACCCTGGCCAAACCAGGTCACAAATGAGGTAGTTACCCTGGCCAAACCAGGTCATACATGAGGTTACCCTGGCCAAACCAAGTCATACATGAGGTAACCCTGGCCAAACCAGGTCATACATGAGGTAACCCTGGCCAAACCAGGTCATACATGAGATAACCCTGGCCAAACCAGGTCACACATTAGGTAACCCTGGCCAAATCAGGTCATACATGAGGTAACCCTGGCCAAACCAGGTCATACATGAGGTAACCCTGGCCAAACCAGGTCACACATGAGGTAACCCTGAACAAACCAGGTCATACATGAGGTAACCCTGACCAAACCAGGTCATACATGAGGTAACCCTGGCCAAACCAGGTCACGCATTAGGTAACCCTGGCCAAACCAGGTCATACATGAGGTAACCCTGGCCAAACCAGGTCACACATGAGGTAACCCTGGCCAAACCAGGTCACACATGAGGTAACCCTGCCTGAACCAGGTCACAAATGAGGTAACCCTGACCAAACCAGGTCACACATGAGGTAACCCTGGCCAAACCAGGTCATACATGAGGTAACCCTGGCCAAACCAGGTCATACATGAGGTAACCCTGGCCAAACCAGGTCACACATGAGGTAACCCTGGCTAAACCAGGTCACACATGAGGTAACCCTGGCTAAACCAGGTCACACATGAGGTAACCCTGGCTAAACCAGGTCACACATGAGGTAACCCTGGCCAAACCAGGTCATACATGAGGTAACCCTGGCCAAACCAGGTCACACATGAGGTAACCCTGGCCAAACCAGGTCACACATGAGGGAAATCTGCCTGAACCAGGTCACAAATGAGGTCACCCTAACTAAACAGGTCACACATGATGTCACATTAACTAAACCAGGTCACACATGAGGTCGTAGTGACCAAACAACAATTCATTTTTGGGCATAAGACAACATCTACATTCCTATTTTCATGTCAGTGTTACATTACCTCCGGTATGTTTTCCTTTATGACTTTGATGACATTGGACATAACATTGCTTCTGTTCAGAGCCAGGAACATGCCAGCTGCTCTCAGTACTGCAAACACAGAGGTTCAAGTTAACACCAGGGCAAAAACAGTAAACAAACAGATTACTATAGTAAACAGTACCTTGAATAACAGACATACTGATATTAGCAATGAAAGTGAATGAACTAAACATGCAGTCAGCAACTACAGCCATATCAAGGATGTCCTTCAAGAAACAAGCTTCTCCCAGACAAACTACTGGCAGATACTGGAGTACAATCAGAGGTAGACACCAATTGTCAAATAAACTAGCCCACAGCTCATGTTTCAGACAAGTGGCTTATGTAAAATAATTAGCTATTGGGGATAAATAAATTGTCTGTCTAGAGTTTCATTAGTCTTGGACTTTCGGGCTAGTGACATTGCTTGACTCCGGCAATCAGTCAGGTCACGGCTGAATGATAGTCATTCCTGGAACGTCTTACTCTCAGTGCAAGCAGGTGAAGTTGACCTCACACAAACTACAATCAATGAATGACCGTCCCCTCTTTGAAGGAGTAAGACAGACAGATCTCATGACATGAATCCTTGCATTGCTGTGTTGATTGAAAATGCAGTTCCAATAGCTTAGTTTTAGTTGACATTGATAGACCATCCGCATTTCGTTTGGCCAGTCCAAGTGTCTGCTCAATATATATTACCCCTATATTAATAGGTACATTTGTGTCATGCACACTTGGTTCAAAGAAAGCAGCACCCATGGTAAAACAATAATGATCAATAACTATTTGAAAATTTATTTAGTTAAAGGTTTTGTATCCATTTGAGCAAAGGTATGTACTGTATGTACTGTAATTCACTCCAAAGTAATATTAAAGGATCAGTTAAGAACTTGACTGAAAAGATATTCTTAAAATCTGTATTTTTTCCACCTAGATTTGATTACCATGTTTTTATTAAAAATCCGAAGGAGCTATGGAGAAACCGTAGTAATGAACAGATCTGATGTTGGTCATCTCTTACAAGAGGTTCTTGTGAATAAATACTGCATTACTGCAGTACTTGTGAATGGATGCTGCATTACTGCGGGCATTCTCTTTAATGAGATAAGCCATACTGCAGCTGGTTCTGTATATTGACACATAGGGATCACTGTGCTGCAATGATGAGAATGAAAACCTGACTTAGTGATTGAGGGTCTCAAGTTGAATGCTGCTGGTAACAGTTTTTCAGTTATATAACTGTGTGATATGGTGCTGAGAAACCAAGGGTCATAATCAGGGAGACACATAATCATCAGCTCCGGACATGAATAAGGGATGTAACTCTACACAGTAAATTGTGGCACTTTTGCCTTTATACAAAAACATTGTTTGGTTCCATTACCTTCATCACTGAACATTGAGCTCAAATTGAGAGATCTTGTTGTTGGATCATATCGGTCACTCATTCGTTCCTGAAAAACAGCACATTCAAATTTAGAAATATTGACTCATGATCTTCAGTGTGATGGTCTCGGCATGCATTTGGACAAATTCAAATATTTTGTAGATACAGAACAAGCATATCTTCAGCTGTATTTGCAATAGAAAACATGTTTGTTTCTTTTATTTTTTTATACATATGATTCATTTCATCTGGTAATGTAAGCAATTGATTCGGAGGTCATGGTAGCAAATTGATTGATTTTCTATCTTCACCAAAAACAGGCTAAGGAGGTTTCCTGATGTAACATTCAAACTCTAAATCAGGTTTCACACACCTGAAGTTTCTTGATTGCCGACTCGTCCATGGGAATGATGGGCGGTTTGCTGTACATGACGTGGAGGACCATCTACAACAACAATGTATCACCACTTTCACCGAAAGTTCACAACAAAGTGCAGCTTCTCATGATCTAAATATAGTCATATCACACTTGAGGCATGTGAATATCGGGTTAGAACTGGTCTTCAGCAACCCATGCTTGTCGTAAGTGGCGACTAATGGGACCGGGTTGTCAGACTCACTGACTTGGCTGATGCATGTCAGTGTATTCCATGGTGTAGATCAATGCTCATGATGTCAATCACTGGACTATCTGGTCCAGACTATTATTTACAGACCCATTTCATATTGCTGGAATATTACTGAGCATGGTATTAAACAACAAACAAACAAAACACTGTTTAGATGGAATCTAGGTTCTTTTCCTCGTCAATACTTCATGGGTAAGTATAGACCACGTTCTTCATCACCTGTGAATTCACTGGATTAATATTTGGTGTCATGGTGACATGTCTATTTTCAGTAGTAAGCAAATGAAATGCTGCTGCTTATAACTCTGTACATGAACTCAAAGTGAACCCTACATTGCTGGACACTGAAGCAATGTGGGGAGCAGATACCTCAAGACCATGGTACATAGTTCACATGCATGTCAAGTGACAAATTCTGCAGTCTGGTCTGAGTACTTTCCCTCTTGTTCGAACCGGATCGTCATTTGAATTGACAATGAAAAATAGAAACAACATCACAAACCAGACTTAAGAATTCATGGGCGATGGAGGAATGTAGTGTTTACAATTGGGCTGGGACGGATAACTCGGGTACCCGGGCCGGGTGGGTACTGAGTAGGACCCTGGTACCCACAGGACTAACCAGACCCATGTTTAGTCACGTGATATGTTTAATGACAAAAATTATCTAGAATTCTATGGTTAAACTACAAGTCACTAATGTTCGCATTTCTCTCTGACTAGGCCCCCATTCCTTCTGATTTTTCATATGGTTGAATAAAGATATAACTTAATTCAACTTCAGTGCATGAATGACCAGATTGTTTAATACATGTATCTAAATACGCTTTACCAGGGCTATGCTAAAATGTTCCCAATCGGACATTTTGAGACATCTCCTGAGACCTACAGTGAGTACCCGAGTAGGGTCGGGTAATAGGGAGGTGGGTACCCAGGTAGTAAATTTGGACTCGTCCCAGCCCTAGTATACAAACCTGTGAAGTATTGACACTGACATATATTCCACAACAAAATCCTACCTAAATAAGTAGAAAAGGCTTTTCACCACAATCAGTGTCTGAGAACCAAGTGATTTTATTTCTTCAACCAAACATTAGAACATGGGAATCTATTATCTTCTGAACTATGTTTTGCTATATGTACTGCCTACCTTATAGCCATTTGGCATTGTCATCCTGTTGGAGAGTCTCTTGATGGCACTGCCTACATCCGGGTCTTTCACATAGAACACTGCATTCTTCCCTTCATGGTGAAACTATAACAAAGGAGCTGCCTTAGTAGAGTGAGTGAGTTGGGCTTAACAACACCTTAAACAGGTATATTACCTGAAGTAGGAACTACTTTCAAATTTCTAGTTGACCTTTACAGGTCACTTGATTATTTCTATAAATAGATCACTCTGCGATTTCCTATCAGAATGCCGATAATTTTTAGGAAATTGCTGAAACTGCAAATTGATTGTTAAACATGGACGAAAATGTTCACAAGTAAAGACAATTAACTCTTCGTTACGGTATTAGATTTGCACTGAATTTCAAGTGAAGTGATGAAGACCTTTCACTTATGTTGTCTAAGAAAGGTTTCATGCATTCTTGTGCATGAGATGACATGTGTTAAATGTTAAAAGTTACTCCATAGATTAACAAGATCTCGCGAGGAAAAAGACTTCATTCAAGATGGCGGCGGTCAACAAGTGATGTCACCAGGATAACATATAACTGGTAAGTGATGTTCTATGTGACAGTATATGTTACATAAGCATGATAAGGGAGGTAGGTTGCTGGGGGATGACAGTTAGTCATTAGTCTGGTTGAAAGTGTTGCAGTTTGAGAACGTATATGTCTTGTCATCTGGGCCATATTCGGATCTAACACATGCATTGATGTAACAAAACCAGAACTTGTGCCATGAACATAATATAGGGTAAAGAATGGCAAAAGATTGGATAAAATAGCAATTTTAGATGGCTCTTCGTGTTTTTAATGGCAAAAACGAATGATATATTTGTGATAACACTTTCTTAGTAAATTACAGATTCTCTTACTTTTGGGGGTTGAGTCCCATCCGGGATTAGAACCCACACATGGCTTTTCATGTTTCATGCATTTCATGTATTCATCTACGTACAAGTCAAAAATTGTAAACAAATGTGAAGCATTTTTAGTCAGTTTGACATGGGAAGTTCCTCAAAGTGAAGTAGGTCTTAGAGAAGTATCACACAGACACCACTTAAACACACATGTACAGCTAACAAGGTTAATGAAAATGACAAGTATTTTACATAAGGATGGAGATTGTCATAATGGATAAATCCAAAGAAGAATGCCAAAATTAATTTGCTGACAACATTACTGAGAAAGATAATGAACATGTGTATACTCACATAAACTGGCTCAAAGGGTGCAGTCAGTTGACCATTGATTGTTTTCAATAGAAAATCTTTCTCACATTTTTTACCATGTGGAACCTGTAAGACAAACAGATTACATATTACGTTTTCCCCTGTCCCAAAGAAGGCATGATAGAAAAATGAGTTCTGTTAACTCTTGTGTAAACACAGTGGTCTAGGAAGATTCTGTTGGACAGCATCCTGGTTCACCAGGGGTCAGTAACTTGTCCCTACTCTGAAGCCTGAGATAAGTAAAACTTCTGTTCAGTCCAGAAAGCTCAGCTAATAATAGTCCATATAATATCATTCTTTTAAAGTAGACAAATCTGTTTTGATGTTAACAGGCTTGTAAACTATTTTTAGGGAGAAAAGTGTGCTCACTTGTTCTTGTGAATAAAATATATACATGTTCAACACTGGAATAATTTCCGCTTAACATTGCTAATGGTTAAAACTCTTACGTTAGTTTTGGAAATATTTTTTTCTAAAGTCCAAATTATTGTTTTGTATCAAACTATTTTTTTCCATAGTTCTAAAAGTGTTTTCTGTAACTTACTGTGACTTTGGTCCATCTCGCCTCATCTGATAAAGGCAGTCCTAACCTCTGTAGGGTATTATTATCCCCTGAAAAATGACAGCAATGACAGCAACAGGCAACAAGACAGACATCATAGTATGTTAGTTTGGCAGTTTGGACAGGTCTCCAGGTTGATCTTCAGAAGCCATTTATAATAACATCAATATATGTTACTTATGTCTTTCATGTGGGGATTTTACACTTATTTTGATATGAGAAAAAGATAAAATATGAGAAGCCTGTTTGAAATGATTTACATGAATTCCAACACTCAATTATGGGCATTGACCCATTTAAAGTTGTTTAAATTGAACAAAATCTTCAGCTGCCAAATTCAAGTAATTTTTTTCTAAAACCAGTGGTGTATTCTTGTGGTGTATTGGTCAGCAAATCATTTGTCACACATCAAAATAGTTCAGTATTCTTAGCCTAAGCTTTACACATCATAAGACAAAAGAAATTGTGCAAAATTTTAAAAGCTGCAGCCAGCAATATTCAAGCTACATCATGCCAGCTTGTAAACAATCAAATTGGGGCAAGGCACATTAGCATTGCATAAGCAATGATACAAGCCACTGGTTATGATATACTGGGTGAGGTGAAATGGACTTTAATGTTGCGTTTAAGACTGTTGCACTTACATAGCGGCGTGCATGCACGTGTGTGTGTGTGGCTGCTTGCACTAGTCCGGACTAATGCCGATTTTATAGTGCTAGCCCATGAGATACCATGTTGCAGTTTTAACATGAACATCCCCGACTCAGACACAGTATACAGACTCCAAGCCGACCAGTCCTTGTTTTAGTCCCTTGATGCTGAGTGCCAGACAGCGTAAAGAAAAATCGAACTGCTGACCTTCGACTCTCCGGGCAGACACTCTACCACAAGACCAAGGAGGCAGTCGGGTTATAATATACACCATCAGCAAAGGACCCCTTTTCACCAAAAGGTCATTGAGAATAAAGGCTGTGGTCACCGTAGCCACTAGATCCTAATTTAAGTTCAACTAGTCTATAAAGCTCTTGGTCTACTCACTGTCTCTTGTCCTGCTGTACCTTCCTCTGCTGGAGCTTCCCCTGCCTCCTCTGCTATAGGGAGTGCTACAATGTAATCATCACCATCATCAGAAGAAATATCAACAGTAACATGTCAAGCTCTCAACTGGTCAAATCCACGACTATATAGCAACGTGCATGCTTGTGTGCGTGTGTGATACCGTGCTGCAGTTTAACATGAATACCCACATCAGACACAGAATACTGACTCCAAGCCAACCAGACCTTGTTTTTGCCCCGTAATAACGAGTGCCAGACAGGGTAACAACAAGTACCATTTTACTGTCTGTGGTGTGACGCAGCCGGGGATCGATCGTGGCTTTTGCTCTCCCGGTGGACACGCTAACACTAGATCACAGAGATGGTCCCCGAGTCTAAGGAGTGAGTAAGTATGATTTGGGTAATATTCCATCAATATCACAATAGGGAACACCAGAAATGTGCTCCACACATTGTACATATGTGGCAGTTCTAGGTTCTAGCTTTTAAGATACTGCCATTGTCTCTACTTACAATCGGGGTTTACTTCCACCAGAATCCATGTTGATGTCACCATCATCATCTTCAAACCTGGAACGTGGGTTTGGGCGACCTCCTGTCGTCCCCCTACCACGACTATACCCACCATAGCCTCGACCTGTGGAGGTAGATATTGCATTTTAAATCATAATCTTGAATATGATTAAGTAATGATGCAATCATCTCATTACTACTTCAAATTTATAAGGCTGACTGAATGCATGATTAATGCCATCTGGGCTTGCGATGCAAACAGCCAAGTCACAGAACCTGACTAACCTATCTACTTTAGTCACTTGTTATGACAAGCATAGGTTACTGGGGACAGTTCTACCCCGGAATCCCTACAGGGATAAGGACCCTGGGGCATCCTCGATTTCACCATATTCTTCAAACCTTTTCTCACAAAAAGTGAGTTAGTACTCCACATTTAGCATTGTTCCAGCAATACTATGGTGGAGGCACTGAAATGGGCTTCTTTGTCATACAATGTACAACAGGTATGGATTTCCTCCTTCCATTATTAACAACTACTGCAAGCTATTAGTTATGACTGATCACATCAAGCATGGCTATTTATCATTTAAATATTGCTGAAAAGAATTTTTTTTACCTTTCCCATATTTTTTATTTTTGTACTTGTTGCCACCACCATATCGGGGACCTGACCATCTGTCATCGTGATCTGAATTGACAGAAAAAAAACACATATCATGTCCCGAAAACCAGTAGTTGATCGTGTGAACAACCAGGCAAATTGTTGAGGTGATTATTTATCAGTAAGAACTATCTACTGGATTTATTCCTGCAGGGCCCGTTTCAGAAATCTTTCTTAGCACCGGGCCTATTTATCATGGTTATAAATGTTTGAAATGCAGGGTTTCAGAACCATTTATTTTCGATGACAGTAAATTACTGTCATCCAATATATCCTAAATGTTGGTTTCAAATTACGGTGATGATACATAAAGATGTATGAAAAAAAGTTGACAAAATAACGAAAATGCAAATTTCATGTCTTTTTTTGTTATTTGTTTGGACGTCTTCAGCAAAATCAATGTTTAAAGTGTTCACTCTATTTTAGGGCTCTAAACATAATAATGGTATGAAAATTGTGTAATATCTCATTTCGTATTTAGAAAGTGCACCCATTAGATTGTGAACCTAATCATCAATATGCTGCTTTGGTTGATGCACCGTGGTTCTATAGACTTCAAATATTCGATTCGTGGCTGCCATTTGTGGTTTTAGTTACGTCTAGTTGTTGTTTTCAAGTTATATTTAGTGAATTTTGCGCATGTCAAGGACTGGAACAACAAATAGAGGAGACGAAGGTATTACTGTTAAGTGTTTACTAAAAACATACGGACAAGTACGATTGCAAATGGCGGCAGGTAACCCACAGGAACTGATCCATGTGTTTAGCTACGAATCACACAATAAAGTCATTCATACCTCCAAACGAGCGAGACCCATCTCTGCCGGCGGTAACTGTGAATTTATCGGGGTCCCGTCTGTAGGCACACATTGTCCTGACAGAATATTTCACTTCGTCTGTTTTGTCGAATTCGTTCTTATGTCCCTTGCTGTGTCAGGAGAATTCACACACGAAGTGATGACGTCACGGGAATATATGTTTCTAAAAATAAACCAATGACGCCATCGTAACCAATGGAAAAAGCTCCTTTCTGAAGGGTAAATCCCACCAGTTTCCGCGAAAGGTTGGTTTGGTTATTTTGTTTAACGCCGCTCTCAGCAATGTTCCAGATATATGACGGTGGTCTGTAAATAATCGACTCTGGACCAGACAATCCAGTGATTACCATCATGAGCATAGATCCACGCACTTGGGATACGATGACATGCATCAAACACGTCAGCGAGCCTGACCATTTCCATGAAAGAGATTCTTTTAGATAAAATAATGGGATGGGTGGTTTACCATGCCCCTTTTCGTGTTTTTCGCAGACGTACCATGGATTTCCCTCTTCCCGCTATATTATTTCAGTATATTAAAAATATAAGAATATCAGTGTGAAGCTGTATGCAGAAAAATGTTTCTATTTACAAATCATTTCAAATGAAAGTTGTAATATTTTTGGAATCAGAAAAACTAATTGTGAGTCTATTTATAACAAACGCACATACTTTGACGACTCTATATGTTAATAACTAAATTTAGTACAGAGAAACACACGAAAAAAATAATAAATAGAGAGATTGCAGTCACCATCACGTACGTAGAACCCCCCGGGCCACAGAAGGAATTATAACAAGATTTCCTCAATATGCCTCCAGCTAGAATTACTGATGCAATTCCTGTCAGGGACACGTCAAAATATAATTTATAGCCATATAATGACAATTAATCTTCTAGGTCGAAATCTTGCATCCAAATAACATCACATGGCTTGTATCAGTTGTATAGACTTCCTGATTGTCTGAAGAAGGACCAGCCTAGAGGACCCTCTATTATCCAGCGTATTATATCTCCATGTCTCCGTTGCTCTGCTGTATCAGACGTTTACTAGTGTCAGGCGTTCATGCAAGGATTTACGGTAGTTATTAAGATAATTCCGTGCATAAAAACTACTAGACGTTTATTGGACATTTACTCGAGACCCCGGCGTTTATTTAAGTCCTGGCGTTTAGTCAAGGAAATACGGTACCCACACGTTTAGAAGTGTATCTATCAAAATCCCCTCAGTTGTAGTCGTGACTAAAACTCTAGGGATATTGAAAGACACACCTTGGGAACTTCACGACCCAAACAGTAGTGACTCTGACAGACACAATAATACCAGTTATCAGCATCTATGCCCATCACGTCAGTGATTCAACAAATATACCTTCTGCTTTCACAGATGTCCAGAAGGTTAGTTAAGCCCGATTACACGCCGGGTAGCTTTATGCACGGATGTCTCCCCATCATTATCAACGCCGGGGGTAAAGCGTAACTGAAAGTAACACACACCTGGGGAAATATGGTGCTGTGTATGCTAGTTGTAAGAATCGTATCACACAGGTATTGGTAACCAAAAAAGGTATTATGGATGTAATAATTTCATTACCAACTAAATTGAACTAATACATCCTGTGGTCCAAAGACACACTCCGGCGCAGTGGTGACTTAGCCATACAATGTTCTAGCATTACACCACTGCCACAGGCTAGTTTGCATATCACGTGACCGGACTTTTCTCTTGTTGGTAAACAAACGCGCTTTTTCAGAAATCGGACTAATGCAAATATTTAGGGGCGCTTTATATATTGTATTGCATAATTATATAGATATGCTGCTACAAATGCGACAGTGAGTTGCATGAGAATACATATTTACGCATCAAAGCGACCGTATCGATAGCTCTCCGAAGCAACTAATGTAAACATAGGATAACTACGCAAATGGAAATAGTTTTCCACGATTTTGGATATTTTCTCAATGTAAGTTAACCATTCTATGACATATGTTTATCTAGATTTGTAGACTTGTTAAAAATGAAACAGATGAAAAACATATGCAATATCTTGAATGGACTGTGTAAGATGTGATGAATCTTGACATGGCGCTGGCCTTTGGCAGAGGTAGTATGCTGGTCGCATGGAACTCTGGGTAGGAGAGTGGTTCAGAGTACTCAAACAGCTTAGCAATTCTTTCCTTGATGAATGTTATTTAACCGGTCATTAGCTGAGTGTGCTATTCCAGCTCAGTGGATAAGATCTAATGTTCTACCTACTTTTAAGGGAGTCGACAAATCAAATGCTGCAAATTACAATGTGCAATCTATCAATTTGAATTCTGTGTTTGTCAAGGTATTTTAAAGAATAGTGTCGAAGTGTTTATACAGCCACGTTTATGTCACATCACGTTTATCAGAGCTTGATAACGGTGTAAGAATGTACATCGAAACGTAGCTAAATGCAATAAAGCGGAATTTTTTCCCTATACAATTGTATGTTTTCTTATTTACTCACCAACTTCTAGAATGCCAATCAAACAATTTAAAAAATATGGTAATTTCTTGGCTCGGATGAAGCTTTATCTTTCAGAAAGGAAGCAACGTGTAGTCTTGTGTATTTGTAAATTAACGCTGTTCACCGAAACGTACAGTTACCGTCGGGGTACCTCAGGGGTATTTGCTGGGACCGTTATTGTTTCTTGTTTACGTAAATGATTCAACTGATAATCTGCAATATATGCATAGGCTTTTTTTCCGGATGACACATATATTTGTATTGCTACACAAATTACAGTAGATAGTATTAACAATGATCTTATACAGTTATCTGAAATATCTGATAATGTGGCTGGGTAAGTTTAATCCTAAGATATCTAAGCTTATCCCTTTCGGTCACAACGAAATTTGTCAAACACCTGATCTTGTTTACGATCGCGATCCGTTAGAGCGTGTAAATTCTTACAAACTGTTAGTTGATAACACAAATGGTCCAACCATGTAACCTCTATTATAGAGAAAGTTTAAAAAATAGTTTCACCCATGAGAAGATTATCACATGTGTTTCCAAAAATTATATATTTTAGGTCTATTTAAAATATGCATAAGAAATCGGGGATATATTCTAAATATGATACATTAAATACATTTTTGAAACACATGTTTTAATGTCCTCATGTGTTTCGTGATTTAATCAGCGATAAACTTGGAATAGTTCATTTAGAAGCATAGGAACTGTCACAGGTTTACCTACATTTGCACGTACGTCTAGCTTATATTATAAAACTGATTTGCTTCCTTAAAGTTCTGGACGGAATCATAAAAGTCTCTGTAAAAATTGTCAAAAGGACACTGCATGGAGTATTTTCAAGAATGGTCTAATTATAATCTAAGAGAGGCTATAATCTCCTACCATTATATCAAGGAATGTGAACCCCTAACCTCATATCCAGGTATGTGAACCCCTAACCTCACATTCAGGTATGTAAACTCCAAACCTCATATCCAGGTTTGTAAACTCCAAACCTCATATCCAGGTTTGTAAACTCCAAACCTCATATCCATGCAGGTTTGTAAACTCCAAACCCCATATCCAGGTTTGTAAACCCCTACCATCATATCCAGGTGTGTAAACCCCTAACCTCATATCCATGCATGTGTATAAACCCCTTACCTCAAATCCAGGTGTTTAAACCCCTAACATCATATCCATGTGTGTAAAGCCCTAACATGATATCCAGGTGTGTAAATCCCCGTCATCATATCCATGTATGCAAACCCCTAGCCTCATATCCAGGTATGTGAACCCCTCACCTCATATCAAGGTGTCTAAACCCAAACCTTATATACAGGTGTGTAAACCCCTAACCTCATTTTCAGGTGTCTAAACCCCAACCTTATATACAGGTGTGTAAACCCCTAACCTCATATCCAGGTGTCTAAACCCCTAATCTCATATCCAAGTGTGTAAACCCCTAACCTCATATCCAGCTATGTGAACCCCTAACCTCATATCCAGGTGTCTAAACCCCAACCTTATATACAGGTGTGTGAACCCCTAACCTCATTTAAGAATTGACCTTCACTTTGTGTGAGTTCATTGGAGTATGAACCTGCATAGAGTGAGGGCCAAACTGTATGAACGTCGGAGCTTGCGACAACGTTCATACAATGTTTGGCCCTCACTCTATGCAGGTTCATACTCCAATGAACTCACACAAAGTGAAAGTCAATTCTTATAATTTTTTATCACAATTTCTTTCCTCAAAGGACGTAGGCCAAGATCTAAACACAATTTTATTTAGTACGTGTGACTTCATGTTTACACCGACAGCCAAACAACAACCAGCTATACTGCGGAATAAAATAGTTCCCCAAAAAGGGTGGTGGCATGAGCGTATGGATGCAGAACTTGCTCTTCAGAAACATCTTACGCAACACATGTGTTCATATAATATCCCCATTAGATGAGAAAGGTATGTAATGAACTACCTCAGTAAGTCAGTCACAATGACAGCGCGTCGTAATACATTTACATCAAGTACAAGACGTCAAAATGGCCGACACGATTAACGTGACGGGAGCCTAGGATTTCCGAAGTTGTTAATGAACCTGTGGCGGTTACACGTGTTAGTCATAATTGATCAACTGACCGATTACTGAAAGGTGATTAAAGATGCGTCAAACAGACACCAAGGTAAATTCGTAGATTGCTGGAGACGGTCACTGTCAGCCTAGACACATATCGAGTCGATACTGACGATAGTTTGGATGTGCATTTTTTCGTTTGTTCATTAGGATTGGCCGTAGCGAGGAAATTCTTGAACAATAATGCAGTTAAGCTCTCTTACGTTTCTCAATGTATACTTAAATGCTGAGACCAAGATTAAAGGTTCTAAATGATCAGAAATAATGCTTATGTATGTTTTCGTGCTAGGGAATTCCCAGGGGTTTCCCCAGGAATGTGGAAGTAGTCCGTCAGTGTTTACGTCATTTCAAGAACGCCGTCTCGTGAAAAACGTATGAACGTCAAATTGTGTCGTTCATACACTCATGAACCACTCTCCTACCCAGAGTTCCATGCGGCCGGCAGCCAGCTAGCATAGTACCTCTGCCACAGGCCAGCGCCATGTGACGATTCGTCACATCTTTCACAGTCCATTCAA